CGAAAAACTTGCTAGCAATTGTAATCAAAACTTATTGAGTTCACAAGTTATTTGATCTTTTTAAAAATATCAAAACTTTAAAAAATGGGTATTACATGAGGCTTCTTGATTCTGGCTGATTAATACTCACCTCAGTGACTAAGTGGTTACACTCATGATGTATTAGGTCAGAGGGTATAGTATTCCCGGAGAACAAAGAATTTATTTGGCTTGATAGGTTAAAAATGCTTGTTAATTTTTTAAGCATATATACGCCAAAACAAAAAATATGCCTCCAAGAATAATTATACATTTAAAGTATTTGCAAATAGGGAAAACTTCATGCTGAACAAAAAAAAATTTTGTGGATACGCGTTGGTAGTTATACTTCTTTGGCGTAACAAGATAAAAATCTTTTCAAAAATTTTACTCTACGTTTGTAGAAAAAACGACACTAACAAAAGAAAAAACTAAAATGTTGACTATAGCTAACTTCAGGGTGTAAAAATTTACTCTCATAATTTTTCCCTAACGCGCCAAAAGACTTCAAAAATCTCACATTCACTTCACAAATAGATCGTTACCGGGGAATATTTCAGAGAAATATTAAGCTGGAAGTGCAAGCAAGGTGTTAGAGCCTGCTGGGGGTGAAGTGTGTGAGGTGCCGTATACTCTATACACCAAACAGTTTATGTTGTCAGCGCTTAAAATGATCCGAAACGTCATAAGGCTGTCATTATCATTTCGCTTTCCATCTCATTTTTTATTATCTGTAAATGGAATTGCATTGAAGGTTAATTATTGAGTAATATCCTTAAATGCACATCTAGAACTTCGTAGGAAAAAGAAGAAAGTTGTAAAAAAATGCTGAAAATTTTTTACACAATTTTTTTTGATCAATTTATCAAACGCAAACCTTACTTGCATTCAAATTATCTAATCTTCACAAACCCAACATGCAGTTTGTAAATGATAAAATAGCATCACATGAACAGAAATCAGAGTAGAGGAAATATGGTGTAAATATGGTGTAAAATAAGATAACTATAACATACATATATGTAACGCTTTAGTCTATAAGAGTACTCTAATAATTAGAATGAATTATACACGATATATGATACGAGATGGACGTGTTTACTTGATTCCCTACATCGCACCTTATTTATTTATTTCGTAATCCTACAGCTAACATAAATTATATATAATAATAAACAATTACACTGAAAATAGTTACAATAAATTCAAAAATTTACAAAAGGAAACAAACAAATGAAAAATTATTCAACATATTCAACTAAGTAATACCTAATTTGGCTGTGTTGTGTGATGGTGTAAAAGTGGGGGTAAGTACGTGAAGGTGTGTATGTGGGGTATGCTCATGATGCAGGTGATTTGCGCTATGGATATTCTTAATACTCCTTTTAACCATATTCCGCAAGTCAAGGCTTAAATATTGGTCGTTGTATGTCTTATAGGAAGAATACCACTCTTCCGTTGACCTAAAGGCTGACTTGTTAGCGAGTTTGAGCGTTGTTGGACTTTAGACTGGACCGACACCACTAATTTTCATCATTCAATGAAAAACGCGATTTCTGTTCACTAAAATAGTTCAAATAAAAGTTTATACTTCAGTTAGCATTCGAAATTTAAAAAAGCAAACAATAAAATGTCAGTGCTAATATTTGATACTGATCGAATCCAATGGAATATTAATATTTCGAATACAATTTAGCTCTACGCTCGAACAACGCAGTCTAGTCACCAAATATATTATAGCTGATGCGTTCTCTTCGATATAAATATATTTTTAGACTGTCATATGTTTATTTAAGCGCTATGCAATAATAGCAGCATCTAATATTCATCAAACAGAATATAGCTTTTATATACTTGTATCATAAAACGATTTTACGCGAACCTGTAGAGTAGTTCAAAGCGAAAATGCTTTAGATATTTTGAGTGCTTGGAAACTGCATAAAGTCTTATCGCTAAGGCAATTTGAGACATGAAAATTGTGGATGTCTTCGCTAGTGTATTACTTGCGGAATTATTCGCCTTTAGTTTTCAGAATATTTTATACCGAGTGACGTGAGTATAATAGCATTATGATATATTCGTTCATATAATTTTATATGTTTATATTTTAAAAGAATACCGAGAGTTACGCCGGCTTTTTCTCTCGGCCTATACCCTCTGCCTTCTTTGCCGATGAGTAGGGATGTCTAACAAATTTAATGACGTGGAACAAGTGATACCTGTATCTTATGTTCCATAATAATAATAATAATATTTAATGTGAATTTTGGTTTTTATTTGTTTCGTATTTAGTAGACATAGACACTTTGAACAGTCGTGGGCCTAGGCTTAAACGTACGCCTTTCAATCCTGAGTTCGTGTGTTCGTGGTCTTTTCTTTCTGTGTGTGTGTAAAGCCAGGTATCCACTATGTTCGCGAACCTCTTGCGCTCCGCGCACTTGCAACAGCTCCGCGTAGTGGATACGTTTGCGCACCATTCACGCTCCACGTGGATACCTGGCTTGAGCGCCCCTGGTTTGTGTACATTGTGTTCGTATATTGTAAACTAGCTGCCTGTCCCGGCTTCGCTCGGGTGGCCATTTTTTTTTTTAATTTTGTAGGTATTGATATGTTCTTTAATATTGTGGAACATTTTTTTGTTCTATCATCAATAGTTTTCGCAGCGCATGAGATGAAAGATTTTTATAGTAATTTTTGAAGTTATACTTCTTTAGGCGCGTTATGAAAAATTGATGAGAGTGAAATTTTAAGATGCGCGCGCACCGTGACACAAAATTAACAAAATGAAGTTGCCCACGGAAGATGCTACGGCATTGGACATAATTTAAAAACAACATTCGAATAATAACAGAATTTATGTTACACTTAATGTAAGAGAATAATAAAAAATATTAATTTATTTAATTTTTCAAATGTAGACTGAAGTTTATTGACTATAATGACATGACTCCTTTTCCAGTCTTTGATTATTTAATTGTAATTAATTATTTGCATGCAATCAAAAACTATTTTTAATAATGCCAAAGAATATAACTTCTTACGCGCGTACATAAGTACACGCACCCTTTTTTTTACACCTTGGGTAACATTATTGTAGTTTTAGTAGGGATCCTTATTTTTGCAATTAAAGCCTTTATTAATCAGTGATAATGCAGCATTCAAATGGTGTAAGAATTTTTTAAATCGGTCCAGTACTTTTTGAGCCAATTCGTTACAAACATACTTACATACAAATCTTTCCTCTTTATAATAATATTAGTATAGATAAAACCAAGCACTATGACAGGTCTCTGAAATTTAACGAACCGGGTTAGTACACGGTGTTATTTTTTTAGGGAACCTTATCCTATGATGTTCATCTCTTGATTGGTCCACCGCAATTGATACTTTCTTAATTTCGTCTGATATTTCTACACACATTTACTTGAATCACATACGCCCACTAAGCTATAGATAATCCAACAAAAATGCGTAAATAAATGAAAAAAGATTTATAAAATTTTCATTACATTTTGATTCACTCTCCTATGAATTTTATATTCAATAAAAGCATTCAATTTCCTTAATGAAAAATTGGGTAATAAACAAGTTGATGCGAAACAAAAAGGATTCGCTTGAGTGGACAATCCAGCTTCATCTCATCTAATGGATGGAAAAGTAAATATTTTCCAAAATATCTTTGCCATAACTTATTACTCTCATAATTAAAAGTAAGCGCGAGTTTGTTAATAATGCTTCAAGTTTTGAAGAGGTATCCTAAGTGTTTCGAGAGTTAAACAGCGTTAATGCTTTTTGGCATTTATACTTGTAATTAAAAAGTAATTTAAGCATAATAGAACATTTTAACCTCTGTTAGGAAATAACTGGAACTTGAATGAATTTACCGTGAGCCATTTCTGCCAAAACCCTCCATCTTTTAGTCGATACCACCTCCGGGGAAACAAATACAGATAATGCAACTTTTTCTACAGCTGTGACAGTTTTTGACATTCAACACCTTTTGTCTTCAGTCACCGTGACCACGCACGCTGTAAAGCACGCGAAACGTCGGTTAAATTTAAATTATGAAAAATAATGGTAAATACATAACTTAAATCCGGTAAAAAATTGTTTTATTATCAATTGAATTAATTTTATTTATTTATTAATCTTAGAGCTAACATACATATTATAAAACAAACACTTAGACAATATAGAAAGTCAAAACAGATTAGATAAACAGTATATTTGAAACAGAAAACATAAGTAAGTACAATATATAAAAAAATTATCAAACGATTTATCACATGTAATAAATCCGTTATTACTTAGGTACTCGCGTACAATGAAGGTAAGCTTTATTGAGTGAGAATTTACATGACCTAACAGTTAAAACAAACCTTCTAAACAATATAACACTCTAGTGCAGTGTTTCCTAATGTAGGACCCACGCCACACGGGGGGGGATACATCTCAGTGAGTGTCATTTATTATATGCTTTTCTTATATTTCTTATATAATATTAATTAAGCAATGTAAAAATAACATTCTTTGAATCTAAACCTAAAATCCTAATGTTTCGTTAACAATATCCTAGTAAATGCTTTCTAAACCTATCATTTAAAATTCTTAGGTATTTCTTTTTTAATATTAAAAATTACGCATTGGGGAAAATTTTTAGAAAATCTAAGGTGGGGCATGGCACAGAAGGTTGGGGAACACTGTGGAAGTTAAAGATTACCACCAATTTCATATTAATTTTTAGTAATAGACAATTTTATTTATGTAAAAAACTTCATGTTTATTTAAAGCGTCCTAATATATTACATACAAAATACTATGACTACCAACTTTACACGAATATCACAAAAGTATTAGAAAAGTTTTCGTACGATGCACATATTTTTAAATGATAAATAATAACAAATGTTTTAGACATTTAATCCCGACACGATTCATACATCTTTCATTCTTGTTTTTGTTTCTTTATGGCATAAGGTAATTTATAAATGTGTATCTCTAATTGGTATGCTATAGATTGGAGCAAAATCAGACATCATCACAGCTGGCGGTTCACTTTCATTACGGTACATAGATGTTGCGTTTACTAAAAGAATATCATCGTTTATATTTCGTTTCCTATACTTCCATCCTATCATACACGATGTTACACTTAAAAACATACCAAAAATAGCTCCAGATAACCACACATTTGAGTACACCTCACTCGAAACTAAAACTTTCATTTTAACACCGCAAGAATAACTGGACGCGAGAGTTTTCGTGCAAAGTCTTACTATATATTTAGCGGCAATTTGTGTCTTAATTATCAAACTTGTTATATTCCCAGAAACACAAAGAGTGTGGGGTAAAAGCAAACTATAGTCATTAAATTTAATTACAGGTGTTACTTCAACTGTGTAAGACAATACAGCCCCGTTTATGGTTTTGGGAGGATCCCATTTCACAGAAACGTCACCCTTTTCGCTAGCAGTAAGAAAGGTTATTGTTGGTATATCAGCATTGATAGCTCTTAATGTTTTAACAATATTACGAGCTGAAACGCTGCATTCTTTAGAAGTGCAGGCTCGTAACTGAAATTTGTAATTTTGATACGGTGCTAAACCACCTACTTGAAAGTTTTTTCTCTTACCATATATGTCTAAAGCTATGTTTTGTATATAATTACCAACAGTCTTATTAAGTGGCCTCTCATGTGTTTGATGACAGTCTTTTATTATATTACAAACATCAAAATATTCGTCTACCATTGCACCAGCGGTTGCCGTTGATAGGACACCGCACATTGACTCACAACTTCTGTCATATTTCTTTGGTGGTCTCATGACTCTGGCATGGACTGAAAAATCTTCTTCCCAGTCAAAATAATCATAATCTATACAATGATTATAATTAAAGTTATTTAAATTATGTAAATCTATAAGCGTTACATCTAATTCATACCTAACAATATAAGGGAGGTAATCTAGATGATCAACCCATCGAATGACAACTACTTCGGAAGATGATGCGGTTAATTCTACTATAAACGGTGGTTCCGGTTTACCGACGAATGTTGTGAAGATTTTCACTGAACTCCGAGCAAGACGACCAGTTTTCGGGTCAAATTTTTCTATACATATCGCATACTTTGTAGCTGGGCTTAATGAGAACAATTCCACTTCTATTGATTTATCTACTGTAGATTGAATACTAATCGCGTGCCATTCTGAATCACTACAAACCTCTGGAACTATCGCACTGCTCAATCCTGCTGGCACTTTAACATACAGAACTGTGTGCTCACTTGTATTTGATTCTGGATTAAATCTAGCTACAACGTTTGTTTCATTTTTAACATGTATAGTTAAGTTGAAAAAAGCTTCATCACAGCTGCCACTGTATCCATTTAGGCCCTGAGGAATTTCTAACTCCGTAGGTGGTACGGGAAATGCACGCACAAGTTTTTCAATTTCACTGACACAAAGCATTTGATTTCTATAAAATGAAACCGATCCTCTATCGACTTTCAAATGGTGCGTTACATTTGCTGTAAATAATGTCTGTAGGCTATGCATATCGTGGATTACTAAGCTGTATTTATCGCTAAAAAGATTTTCCCCTCTAATTCGTTTTAATGCGGGAAGGAAATCTAAAGACGTGATGACGAGGGAGCCCCTTATTTCAATGTAATCCGTAACCTCTTGAATACTCTTAAGATAATATCTCAGCTCCTTCATAGTTTCTGGAGGAGCTCTGACGTGAATACTTAAATGGCCTTTGATGTAGACGCATCTTGCAGCTTCCTGAATCGAAGATAATGTTTGTATAGTTACGTTGTTGCAAGTCTGAAATAGAAAATTTATTATGGAAAATGTATATTGAGCTTGTTTATCATTTACACAAGAGCTTTAGTACAGATATTAAAATACATCGATTTTTTCAAAAATAGAACATCTTTTCTAGATTTCTTCGGGGGCTAAAGGACGAAGTTGAAAATTTATGGACCTGTTCACCTTTCCCGAAGGGTTTTGGCTAAATGAATTACTATACTAAGTCAGATCACTTTGACATATCCCTGTATAAATATATTTTTTAATACTGATTTTTCACATAAAATACTGGTTTTAACCATAACTAATGGACTACGCAGCTTACTTCAATGGGACATAGTCAACAAAATATGAAATATAATTAATACATATATTATTATAGGGTATTTTTTTATGTAATAGGAAGCTAACGGGCTCACCTAATGTTAAGAGATACTGCCGCCCATGGACGAGTGTCCATGCCCATGCACATTGCCAGAAGGCTCACAAGTGCCTTTTAAGAATTAGTTATAGGGTATTAAAGTTAAAGTTTATAATAATAATAATAAACAGTGGCGCTACAACCTCTTTAGGTCTTGGCCTCATATTTCTGAATCTGTTTCATGATCATTTTTAAATCTAATAGGCAAGTAGGTGATCAGCCTCCAGCGCCTGACACACGCCGTCGACTTTTTGAGTCTAAAGGTCAGTATTCACATACGGTATTACTCGATCGAGCTAAACTGTCGAGTAAAACCCATGGCATGGGCTTTCGTCCACACATTGAGCATTGATCTATCGAGTGAGGCGCGCCGTTCAGTATTCACCTAAAGGTGGGAACTGACCAACGTTACGAGGTGTAATGTAACACGTTACACAGCGAGCATTCGTGCAGTCAGTACGTCGTGTTACGGGGAAACCAGAGTCGCTTAGAGTGCTCCACCCGGCTGTCGGTTTTTTGGCGAATCCTTTGACTGTTACGCGGTTCAGTCAGGACGCGTCGCACGTCGCGAGTGATCATGATTATGATTTTCTATAAATTGTGTCTTTTTAAAGTACTTTTGGTCCAATTAAATTCAACAGTTCTACAAAATCGAAACATGCGTAAAAAGTTTTTATACTGTCCAGTAATCGTTTGGTTTTTTAATATTGCAATCAATAACAAACCACCTCATACGCCTGTGTTTTTAAATAAGTTTGATGTCCAGTAACATTTTTTCTTCTTCTTCTTAATTTAGATGAAACAATAATTAAATAGATTGAAAGATATCACGTCCTCGCTGTCGGCCATCTCCTGAACACTGGCGGCGAAAGCGGAGCACAGAGTTTTGACGAGCATGTTACGCCGATTTTAAAACACAGCGTAACATGCTCGATGCGTAACACACTCAAAGCGAATGCTACATTACACCTCGTAACTTTGGTCAGTTCCCACCTTACCGTTCGAGCCAAAGGATATATGTGCAACAAAGGAGACGGTGGCTGTATTTAGCAAGTCTCACAGTGCTTTATAAGAAAATCAAAGAAAATGCAAAGAAAAATAGTTAAGCACAGCTAGTAATTTATCATAACAATCATTTCTCTTATTTTTGTGGGAGTAATCTTTGGACTTGACATTCCATACACACTCACACTGTCTATATGTGTTAATAAAGTCTTCTATAGCACTTTTGGAATAAACTCGCAAATCCATTTCTCTCAAAAACACGTGTTTCAATCACGATAAACAGTACCAAACTGACGCTCGCTTCGCGCCACTCGCAGTCACGTACATACGTTCGAGTCAAGATTGACGGTTCGCTTTGAGTAGGTTCGAAGGAAATTACTTACATTTAATTCCATCGAGCCGGCTAGGTGCGAGCCTTCGAGCTGTGAGTTTTGCGGTCCACACGTTGATTTTTACTCGACTTCGAGTAAAATTATCGAGTAATACCGTATGTGAGTACTGACCTTAAGACATGTCAGTTTCCTCACGATGTTTTCCTTCACCATTCGAGCAAATGTTAAATGCACACATAGAAAGAGAGTCCATTGATGCACAGCCAGGGATCGAACCTACGACCTCAGGTATGAGAGTCGCACGCTGAAGCCACTAGGTCAATAAGGCCTACAATAAATAGAAATAAGAGAATATACTAATAAACTAGATAAAGACATACCAAATTACAATTCTCGCATGGCACACAGGTTGTTGTCCCCTTAGTTTGTTTGACGTAGTTTTGTGGACACTCGGAGACGCACGTATTGTTCCACGGCCAGCGCTCCAAATGTGTACATTCATCTATTGTTACACAGTAATTAGTGTCAGTTAGAGGTATTCTGTTGGAGAAAAGAAAAGGTAACAATACAATAGTGAACCGAGCTTTGTAAGAAGTCAATTGGATTAGTTCTGTTGATTAGACTTTTAATAACGGGTGATTATTTAGCTTTTCTTTTATGATGCAATTTTCTAAACACAATACCGTTTAACTGTCTCAAAAGGCGTAGAAAATATATTTGAAACTAGGTTACGTCACGTGACGGTGGTGAAAGACAGCGATTGACTAGCTGACTTTTTATTATATGAAAAGCCTTAATTGCGCAAATATAAAAAGATTTAATTGCGCTTCCAATTAACGTCAACTGTAGATGGCATGATCTTAACGATTGAATATCATGACGGTAGTGTTTTTACTGATACTAAAATATAGTATGTCAAAATTAACAGCCATTTTTGTAATGATGCTAGAATAGGTCTTCAAGAAAGACTGTATACCTAAAGAAAACAAAAGGTTGCGATTGATACAGATACAGGCAAACATCTTGAACATTAAACAAGGGAGTGGGGGAAAGCTTGCGCGGCGCGGGACACAAACGTCAACTGATTTACCAAAACGCGATCGACACGTCACCCTCCCGCGACGCGCACCACCGCCCCCCCAGTGATACCTAAAAATCGCTTCTGCGAAGGCAAAGACATTTGTTCAAGATGTTTGCCGGTATCTATAATACTGGGGTAAATACAAAAAATGTTCAGTTTATTATAATGGTATGTGTATAAAATTATTGAAGACCTGGCAAAAAACTAGTCCTGGTCAAGAGCAGTGCTCCAATTCGACTTTTAACCCTGATATCCTGTGTTCAAATCTCGGTCGTGCACTTGGATTTTTCATTTTATATTCGGAATTAAAACTGACTCGTACGAAAAAGTGAACGTTCAAACTTGTCTATTACGAAAATTGTCTAAGAAATAAATGCATTCATGCATTAAAAGCGAATCAGCTACTACTCTGTAACAAATACACTCAGGAAAACTGATAATTACTAGTAGCTAGCCATATCTAGTTTAGATATTTTTCTGTGATAAAATGAATTTTTTAAGACTTATCTTCGGGAGAAAAATTTACTTGATTTGTAACCAAGTACACTTATGTACGTCAACAGAAAATATGTTACCAGTTCGCAAGTCAAGGGCGTAGAGCAGGCAAGAAGTACTGGCAAGAAACTCTCCGCCACTCTTTTTAATCGCCAAGTTTTGAGTCATACAAATTGTTTGTAAGGCAGAGTAGCCATAAATATAATATCTTAGGATCATTTAAGAATCGTCAAATTTATAAGCCTTATTGATTAATAATAAGCTTTATTGATTGGAACGGAACCTGTGATACAAACAACATTTAACAAATAAATATCGGTACCGCTAGTCACTACTAAATGTAAGCTAATCATAGACTAGATTTTTTATTGTGAATATTAGCAGCTTATTATTTGCCTCTTGCCACTTTAAGAGAGTGTCAGGGATGATTATATTAAGCTTAAGTTTATTTATTAAAAAACCTTCCAGTTTGTCTGTAAAGGTGCGTACAGACTATATAACATAACATGTTATACAACATTGCTATACAACATGTTTCAGATAATGTGGACACTGAATGTTATAAAACATGTTATTGATATCTACCACAATGTTAGATTGTTACTAGCTGATCCGGCGCAAACGTCGTTTTGCCATGTATATCATTTATAATAAAAAATAGGGGGTGAAAAGTAGGGGTTGTATGTATTTTTAATGCTGTATCATAAAAAATAAAAAATAAATAATTTATCTAAAAATTAAAAAAAAATAATTTAGGGGTGGACTACCCTTAACATTTAGAGGGATTAAAAATAGATGTTGTCCGATTCTCAGACATACCACATAAGCACACAAAATTTCATGAGAATCGGTCAAGCCGTTTCGGAGGAGTTTAACTACAAACACCGCGACACGAGAATTTTATATATTAGATGTTATTGATATGAACCCAGCATCTACATTTTTTTGTTTTTCTTTTGTTATTTCAAAATTACAACAGTCGCTGCCGCAGCCAGCAAAACGTCCTCTCGTGTCGACATTGTGGATAGCACTGGAGAGTGGAGAACGACAAACGTGAAACGACAATGGTTATATAACATTGTTATATTACATTGTTATTCTAATGTGTACAGTATTGTTTTATGTTACAATGTTGAATAACAAGGTTACATAATGTGGACGTGTTATAAAACACAAGTTATATAATATGTTACATAGTCTGTACGCACCCTAATAATGACAATCTCATAATGTCCTTTAGAAGCTAGTATTCAGTATTAAGAATCACGAAACTCAATACACGTAATTACATAAAAGAAAACAAAGAGACAGAAAACAAGCAAAACTTAGTACCTCATTTAGAATCGATACAGGCCCATTACTCAGGATTTGACTTGGATATCCGATGTCGACTTCGAATACTACGAAGCTGTATAATCTTTATTTTATTTCGAGAACAAGAGAGTTGACGTACGAATATAGACGAAAAATATCCAGCTTTAACTTAATACTTGAAAATGGTCGGGTTTATTAATTATTTTAAAATATTTGTTCAATTTTATATAGCTTTATTTTATAAATTTCCTGTGTTTAGATATATAAGTCAATATCGTATACGTTTTTTTTATGTCACAAGAGGCAAACGGGCAGGAGGCTCACCTAATGTCAAGTGATACCTCTGCCCAAAAATTGCCTTGAGAAACGTAAAACTCATTGTTAGAACGACGGAGGTTGAGGTGATACGGATCGTATTTTGTATTCTGCCTTGACGTCCGAAGATGAAACTCTGCATCAGGTATTAGTCCGAACAACTATTTATTATCAGATTGTATTTTAGAATTGTTTTGTTCTGTATATTGTTGAATGCAGAAGAAAAAATGTTGACAATCACGATAAAAATTTTGAGCAGCACAAACATGTTTTCCGAATGAATCTTGGGTATCTGTTTTTTTATGGACAGGCAATATCCTTCCATGTCATGGGCATTTCGTTCATTCTGTGTCATCTACACACATTGTAAACACACTGGGAAAAGACAATTTTAAAAATCGAACAGACGCATCGCGAACTTGATTGTGATTGGTCAATTTTAAATGAACGTACACTTAAAAGCCGCTAACGCTCCCATGGATAAAATGCGTGGTATTGCCTTTTGTTGTTGGCCTGCTAATTTACTCACCTATTTAATAAAAACAGAGCAAAAGCAATCGACACGATCTATTCATTTTTCAAAACCGTACTCTAAAAGAAAACAGCACATTGTTACATTTATTTCGGTATACTCACGTCCCATTCGGACACGTGTTGAGGCACTTATTTCGATACGTATAATATCGGCAGAGGGAACAAATAGATCCATCTCTTTTGAGACATCCGACACACTCCGGGTTACATCTTTCCGCCTCCGGACCTTCGAGAAAGCGCTGACATTTCCTGAAAAATATCTCCTATTATGAAATACTGAGTAGATAACATGGTTGAGAAAAGTCATCAAAATTATATTCGCATGAATGCACGAAACAATTGAGCAGCGTGGGTAGCTTTCTCTTTAGTTGTTAATAGAAAAGTTCTGTATGAGCGTGATCGACATCGCCGTGCCTATAGAAAATGATCAAGACAGAAATCTGATCTCAAAGCGTGACACTTTAGGCTGTTTCGGAATGAAGAGAATAAACGTTCGGAATAAACATCAATGATTATGTCAATATAAACAAAAGTCGAGAAAAATATTGTTTTTTATTACGCTGAAATGCGTGGATTCGAAAGAGTTGTGTGCGAGAAACAATAGGAAAATTCCTAACATTCACTTTTCGTAAGTTTTCCTTGTCGGAAAATTTTGTTAGACAGTAATAACTGATTAGTCTAATTTGTTTAGTAAAGTGAATTTCGTACAATCCACCAAAAAGCATAAAACGAATTACTGATATTGATTGAATTTATTCCAATTACTTATTATTTTAATTGAAATATGTTAAATAATATACTTTTTTCAGACAAAATATCCATAAACCTTTAGAATTGGATTCGGAATTAGTTCGGTTCAAAGATACAAAAATCAAAGAATTACATTTACTTCAGATAATTTAAATTTAGGGCTGGTTATTTATTTATTTATACGTTCTGAAACAATAAAAAAAACCAATGGCGCTACAACCTTTTTAGGTCTGGGCCTCAGATTACTGTATCTGTTTCATGATCATTTTTTAATGTAATAGGCAAGTAGGTGATCAGCCTTCTGTGCCTGACGCACGCCGTCGACTTTTTAGGTCTAAGTCAAGCCGGTTTCCTCACGATGTTTTCCTTCACCATTCGAGCGAATGTTAAATGTGCACATAGAAAGAAATTCCATTGGTGCACAACCGGGGATCGAACCTACGACCTCAAGGATGAGGGTCACACGCTGAAGGCACTAGGCCAACACTGCTCCTCTAAAAAAATGTGTATGCCTAAAAAAATACATGAAAATATGACCCCACAAATTTAACACACCTTAATTATATTAGAACATAAAATAGTTGTGTTATCAAATTATTAGGAAAATAGAGTAGTTTTTGCTTACATATTATTCCAACAGAAGTTAGTAGTGGAATTATCCGTACAGGAACAGGGCAAGGTCTTGCATGGATTGTATACGTCAATCCCACTTAGTACGTGTCTGGCATTCGGTGCGATTGCCCTCCAATCTACAGAATGTACGTAACAGGTGAGAGGACCTGGCCAGATTATAACTCCACCTCTGTCTACTTTTAGGAGATTTGCGAGGCCTATCTGAAAAAAAATTGAGAAACCTTCATCCAACAGTGTTTCTTATTTTTGTAGCACAAAATAATTAGGAACTTATCATGGTACTTATTTGTTTATTAAAACTAGGATAAAATAATTGAATTTAATAACTTAGAATAGTTAGTAGTGGTAGAACAGCTGGTGCACTGTGTACTGATGGTACTGGTATTACTGTTTATCCAACCTAATAAGAGGATTGTCAGTCTTATCAGTGGCTAAGGTCGGGAAGGTGTATTTATTTCTTTATTCAAGTTCACCACATCATAATACTATATCTACGGTGTATGTTACAAACTCTTTTATCTAAAATATAGGACAATTTAGGTAAACATGTGTGTTTACGCGATAGGGTGCCTCCACATCTGGCGAATGCGCCGCGAATGTGCAGCTCGCGCGCATTTCGCGCCTAATCTAACCGTACGCGATCGGCGCGTCCGCAGATGTTCTACTTCTTTGGCGTAACAAGATAAATATCTTTTCAAAAAATTTATCTTTCGCCTTATTCTACGTTTGTAGAAAAAACGACACTAACAATAGAAACAAGGTATTTAATACATTGAAAGTTTTATTATAACGTATTATCTAGTTAAATAAAGTTTATTTAAATATCATAAAAAAAATTTATACCTAATTTAAGAAATGCACAATTTTTATTTTAACATGTTGACTATGCTAACTTCAGGGTGTCGGTGTTTAGTGATGGTGTGCAGGTGTAAGTTGTTAGCGCGTTTCAGGGTATCGTACTGATGGTATATGACGCTACAGACGTAGCCTACTCTATGGTTGAAAAAATTAGTAAATAAATAAATGTATCACTAAAATTAATTTAAAAGCTCCCTGTGCCAGTGTCCATATTGCTGGCAGCATTTCCTCGCTGTATTCCTATTACGGTAAGCGAAGAAATCAACAGCTCTAAGACAGTCCGTCGATCGGTTGCCAATTCAAATCGATGATTGGCGTTTGTGCACTCGTACCACGGTCTCTTTACTCCAAAATCACAGTTCGAAGAAATACACTCGTATCAAGAAACTTTTACAACTAAAAGCCAGTAAGCTTAGCGGTAATTAGATAACTTTTTAACCGTAGTGATGATACGAGGGTTTACAAGAAAAGCTCTATCTATTAATTAGAACCAACTTAACCTGTCCTTCAAGAAAAGATCGGTACAATTCTTAAAATGCCGGCAACGCATTCGCGAGCCTTCTTGAATTTAGAGTGTACATGGGCAGCGGTATAACTTAACATCAGATGAGCCTCCCGTTCTTTAAAGAAACCAATATCACTCAAGGATATTTTAAAAAAGAACGTACCAATTCTTGAAATACTACCATATACCATCCCGCTATTCTGACTTTCATTGGACTGCACTATGAGTTATCATCAACGGATGTTAAAAAGTTGTCACTCCAGTCACTAATTGGACACGAGGCCAGGATTCTGAATCTATATTACGTTCGAGACTTACATACTTTGACATTAAACACTAGTGTAAATAATACCTCTCTAAGTCTTGGCATATTACTGATGATAAGCGCGTAGTTATTAATCAGTGTATTCCCGCGCACCCTCATTAGGTTTGGGAAGAGCCCGCCCACAGACTCCAAACCTGACGCCCCATAAATCGCAACACAGCCTGTCACCTGCAACAGCGAATATTAAAAATATAAATATGTAAATTAAATTAATTAACACTTATTTACACTATATATAAAATATAATTGCTTTATATTAACTGTTATATAAAAAGCGGTGATGTATAACAAAAGAAAGTAAAATCTCTTCTCAACAAAAACTCAGTCTTACTTAGGAAACAGTCATATTTTCCTAAATAGACCAGATCTTGCATATCTTGACATACCTCTCTGGCTTTGTGGGTTCGTACCACGACCTATATTTGGCAAAAATGTCCTGGTTTCAAAAACAAGGATTCTTTTACCAGCCTCTACCGCTATACAGTAAATGTGATTTTTTTTCTTATATACAGTATTTTGTCTCTTATGACAGTCACTTACCCACCTAAGAAATAACTGTAACCCCAATTGAAGTAAAGCTAAGCGTTTGTTATTTTATTATTATGACACTTTGTTTCAACATGTCAAGTAATAAACTAAAGTCACTTATAGGCAGATTTTGGTTAATATCAAAATGCATTCCGCAATCTGTACGTCATTTAATTTATAATTGTTTAGTCAAGCTACATTTCATATATCCAATTGAAATATGGGGTATAGCATGCAAAAACAAAATTTCTAACATACAAACACTACAAAAAAAAATTAATATAACTATTTAGATAAAATTGTTTAACACAGACTTATAAAATCTACCAAGAAACCAAAATTATGACGATTATACAACTATATGTTTATAGCACCTGTATCTTAATTTAAAAAAAAATAACTCTCTCACCACTGCACGCAATACTCGTCGAGCGAGTTTTCTTTTCTTGCCGAAGCCGCGTACAAATTATTTGAAGTCTAACAAGTATGAGGGTGTGCAATTATTTAATCAATTACGATCTAAATTTTGTAATATTAGCACATTTAACCAATCCAAAAGGGCATAAAAGATACATATCGGAATGAGCCTAGTAGACTTAAATTGGGACGGCTGATGGCGACGTGTATCTCGTTCGTGTATGTAAATAAAATACATTCTTTTTTGCAATGAGAAATAAAGTTCTTTAAACATCATCATACAGTGCCTTACAATGGCATTGTAAACCAAAACTTGGCGATCAAAAAGAGTGGCGAAGAGTTTTTTTTTAATACATAGTAGCATATCAGCTACGCGATCAGCCAGATATGTGGCCGAGAAGCTAGACAGCAAGGGAGTATCAAACCTCCCCACTCCTAAAATGGGACTTTATTTGCTAAAACTTAGGAATTTGGGAAATTCCTTTTTTTAAATATTGACGTTTTTAAGTGTACGTACCAATAAATAAATAAAAAAATATATTTTTGAAGTGAAAACTTTTTTAGCGGCGTTGTACTGTATTTTTGGAATGGGTAAAAATTTTTAGTACTTTTATACGGATAATTAAAGCAATTCGTGCTAAATTATTCCCTAACCATTCCAAAATATCAAAAATGCACAACGTTAATATTCAAGTTTTCACTTCTGCCGGCACTCCTGGAGTGCAACCCGTCGTTTTTATTTTCTCTATTATAACATTTGCAACAAACAATAAAATTACAGTTGAGAAGGTATTGGGAGACTGGTTTTAAAACGAGGTAAGAACCTGTGATATAGGATAGGATAAAAATATTAAATATTTATTTAATAGGATAAAATAAATTTTGATTTGATTTATTTGAGTACTCTTTCGTCTCTTTTATGTGTGTTTCTGATAAAAAGAGACACACCAATACTTCAGTTACAATAGACTGGTTCACTCGCCTTGTCAATGTATCCAATATCCGAACCATCTCATGCCCTTTCGTATTAATATTACTAAAACCTCTCCAATTTCACAGCGTTCTCCTGTCTAGTACACAACAGTCTTCGAATTTCATTAAATCGCTTTAAGATTGAATACACAGACTACAAGCTTAGCCCAATTTCCGCTATGTTCCGATTCATTGGGCCCTTAGTATTTTCATTCGCTCAAATCCGACAATAAACCTATCAGGAAATCTAGAAGCTAACTTTAACATTTCCAATGCACATTTCGTCTGGATTGGAAACGATTTATAAAACTAAATGGATCAACGTTTTAAACGCTTTGAAAAATCGTTCACCTTTATCGATGAAAGTATCAAGATCAAACGGTTGCTTTCACGATTAATCAGTTTTAATTTTTTCATATGAACGGGCTTTGGATGAATGTACTATGATACCGAAAATATATTAATAAAAAATATTAATGAATCTGTAGCGCAGTTTTATAACCTTTTTTTAGGTCTGGGTCTCAGATTTCTTCAGTCTGAAGAACAGTCTTCAGTATCTTACGTAATGATAAGTATAAAATAAGTGATCAGCCTTCTGTGCTTGACATTAGTGGACTGTGTCCGTTTCCTCGCGATGTTTTTCTTCAAACGCGCGAGTATAAATTGCGCACATAGACAGAAACTCCATTATGCATGATAGGTTCCCACATCTTCAAGCATGAGAGTTGCTCGCGGCCATTAAGCACAACATTAAGAACAATCAATAATATAGGTTAATTTGAATTGAAGTGGTTTGGAAAGATATCACTTACATAGTCTCTGTTATTAGAAAATGTAAACATAGTACTGTATAAACTATTGCGATTACGTCCTTTACAAAATTGGTAACCATGGCAACACGGTATCTTTAGTTCACGTTTTATAATAAGGCCGAATTTGTATAACACCAGATTTCGTATTCCCTTGTATTCCAGTGGTAGTAAGCAATTTTAACACCATCCATTTTAGTAAATACATATATACCCAATTTGAGTAGTATTGGCCTAGGCTTTAGCGTGCGATTCTCATTCCAGAGGTCGTAGGTTCGATTCTCGGCTGCACCAATGGACTTTCTTTCTATGTGCGCATTTAACCTTCGCTCGAACGGTGAAGGAAAACATCGCCAGGAAACTGGCTTGCGTTAGATCACCTACTTGCCTATTAGATTGACAAATGATCATGAGGCAGATACAGAAATCTGACCCCCCAGACCTAAAAAGGTTGTAGCGCCACTGATTTATTTGTTACAGACACTTTAGAAATGTTTTTTTATTTATATGCCTCCTCAATTGGAAAATGATCTACGTACGTGAATCTAGTATTTGCTGCAGTCTACTAAGTCCATCGTCCAGAAGATATCATAAGGTAAGATTCCAGTAACTCTCTTATTTTTTTTAAATACTAGATAATGTTAAACCCACGATATATTATGTTTATAATAATATATACCCCTAGTTCACAAGCAGAGCATAATATTCATATTATGGGCCCGTCGAATCTCATAACTTCGCAATAAAGTAATATTACTGCCAATTCTATAACCGCAATACATTCTTGGGACGGAAGTTATATCGAAATTTATTTACCTCCGGCGCGTTTAACTTTAAATATAAAGAAATATTCTTCTATAGCTTCTAATTATTAATACAGTATATTAATAAATCAGTCATATTAGCTACATATTATATCAAACATTACGTTAAACAAGTTAAACTATGTAACAACCAAAATTGAATTGGACAAAGAATAAATAAAAAACAGAAAAACAATAACTAACCTTAAAATATAATAACTAAAATATATTATTAAAAGGAGTCCCTTTAGGGGAGGTTCCGAAGATACTGGCAGCGTTCCCCTTTTGAATAGCTAGACTAAATCTTTGTCTTCTTTTGTATTACAAAGTTAAGGTATTTCTTTGGTAATTATTGAGCTTAAAATAAGGCAAAAAATTTAAAATATTGAATCCCTGGGTGGCTAAGTTTGATTTAACATAATAAATCGGGATGATTTATAGGATTGTAAATCGTAGGATACCTCCCTACCCTCCTCCCTCCTCGATTTTGTGGCTAGTAAATTCCACTGAAGATCTTGAGGTTCCAAGTATCCGAGTCAAAAATTTAATTTTGCCAAAAAAAAATTATGAGTTATGAAATAACTAAAAACCTTTATTATTATTAGTGGATACTACAATCAAGAAAAAGAGCCTTCTTGTCCTTAGATATCAATATCTGTACTGTAGATATCAGCAGTAGATTTTAAAATCTAAACCATCCCCGTTCACGAAGTTTTCCTTTACGTCTCTCTCCCCTAGCGTCTCCCTAGCATCGCCCTAGTTCTCCCTAGCGTGATAATTAGGAACTGAAAATAATTGAGTATACTCACCTCTTTTAATTTAGGAAAACTGACGTTCACAAAGTCACGAGGCCTCGTTCTTTGCAACTGTAACTTTAGGTCCCCTAATATCACCGTACAATTGTCCAACTTTTGTAGTGCATTAATTTGATTGATTAACACGTCTAAACAGAAGCCGTGGTATTGGTAGACTTCGTTTACATACATGGTGCAGCCAAGCTGAAGTACGGTTAGTGTTATCCTGAAAATTACTTTGCTTCAATTTTGTATTCCTACAACTAGTTATAATAGAACAACACATAAACTTATGATCGTAGAACAATGTCGGATTTGAATAAAATCCAAAATCCACTTTTTATCATAACTAAATATTACGGCTACATAAAAAAAATCCAGGTGTTTTTAATTTCAAATTAATCAGTCGGTAAAGTGACAGATTTGATAGAAACATGTGATTTTTATAGAAAACTTAGTTGGCTTCGTGCTCCGTGGCTTAGTTTTGACTTGTTTGAGTTTTTTGCACGGTTGCCATCTGCTCATAAGTTCATTTTTTAAGTTGTATTGCAGTTAATAACACAAAAATAGTGGAAGTGGAACCAGGACTGCCTGAGAGTCAACGCAACCTATGGTTGACCTGCAAGCTGAACCAGCTGGCTTTTGCCTAACAAAATAAATCTTCAGTTCTAATCCGTGAGATCCGTTCTTTTCGGAGACGCTGGGCCTACGGCAACACTAAAGTATAGCGCGGCAAACAGACGCTGAAATATCGTTGAGGAGTCGCTTGGAACACGCGTTATAATCAAATTACATAAATAATAAACCTCAGAAACATTGTGTAAAACAAAAAACTTGGCGATTAAAAAGAGTGGCGGAGAGTTTATTGCCAGTTCTTCTCTTCCGTTCTACGCCCTGGATTTGAGAACTGGCAATAAATGTAAAATTAGAAACATTTATATGTAGTTCTTTTTTGAAGTTCATAGGTGTACATTGTGTTACCTATATGAATAAACGATTTTGACTTTTGACTTTAAAAACCTCTTTTAGGCTTCAACATTTTCGAAAGCGGCATCACGATCCTTTGTTTGCATAAATCGATTTCTAAGCATATTCAAAATAGCCCCCATTTGACACTTGAGACCTCTGCCCTAAACAAATTGGATTTGAGAACTTCAATTGCCCGAATAAAAGATATTTGAAGCTCATTAGGTCCCGTCTTGCGGTCAATAGGGGTTGACCCCATTGGGAATCTAATTTCGTTATTATTATGTACTAACCGACTTTAAAAAAGGTTTGTAGTTGTATAAGGCTTCTAAGTGTATGTATGTTTTTTATAATACAAACAAACGTAGATCTACAAATTTCTAGGAAAATAAAATTATATCCACATAATCTCTCCAATTTAAGGAGTAAAGTTTTATCGAGGCTTAATAGGTTTTTAGATATAGATTGTATTATAAACCATTAGAAATACGTTGATAGGAATTGTAGAAAACCTTTTTTTAAACTCAAACTCAAAATAACTTTATTCATATAGGTAAACAAGTACACTTATGAACGTCAACAGAAAAGATGATAAATTGATTCTAAATTTACATTTACTACCAGTTCAGAAGTCAAGGGGGTGGAGCGAGCAAGAAGTACTGGCAAGAAACTCTCCGCCACTCTTTTTAATCGCTAAGTTTTGAGTCATACAAATTGTTGGAACTGGAGCACATCCATCCCAAGGATAAACATCATTTAAATGTAGGTACCTACTAGGAATCGTTTATAACATGATCATTAATAGAAGTTAATTTTAATAAAATACTAAAGAAAGTTGTAGAAATATCAGAGAAGTTTTTTAACCTAATAGATTCGCTTCTACTGAGAAATAGAAAATTAGTCACTCACATACACAGTCATTTTAATAATATAGATTCCGTCGCAATATAATTAATCGTAATTATCGTTTTTATTAATTAAAACGTTAATTAGTTCAATGACTTTCATGTATCCGGTGTTTGATGTTAGGTATTTCGACAATATATATTAATGATGAGATAAATTACTTAATTAATATATATAATAATAGTTTTGCCTGTTATTTTCCTAAGTTAAATATGACAATTTCGTTGCTATGCTATTGGAGATTAAGTGTTATTAAACATTACGCTTTACGGTTTAGCGACCTTTAAGAAAAGTGCGTACCAATTCTTAAAAGGCCGGCAACGCACTTGCGAGTTCACCGGCTCCCATTACTTATGAACCGTAACAATCAACTCTAAGAATGGCTCTCGTTACTCGTATGTTAAAAACTTATTAGATTTTAAGAGAGATTTGCCGTGGTTAGTCCGTCCCACTAACAATCTTCCATCTTCGCCTTATATACTTATGGCTTAAACTAAAACCATGCCAGCCTTTCGAGGACGACAATCTTGATTGGAGCAGTGTTGGCCTAGTGGATTCAGCATGCGACTCTCATCCCTGAGGTCGTAGGTTCGATCCCCGGCAGTGCACCAATGGACTTTCTATGTGCGCTTTTAACATCCGCTCGGACGGTGAAGGAAAACATCGCGAGGAAACCGTCTTGCCTTAGGCGTGTGTCAGGCACAGGAGGCTGATCACCTGCTTGTCTATTAGATTGACAAATTATCGTGATACAGAAATCTGAAGCACAGACTTAAAAAGATTGTAGCGCCACTGATTTTTTTTAAATCTTGATTGGAAGTACGTAATATAACGTATCATATCGTATATCAACGGGACTAGAAATGTGATTGGTACATAAAAAACGGTGCTACCTCTAGCCCAATGTTACCCAATGTAGGGCCCACGCCCCACAGGGGGCAATTCGAAAATGAACACGACATTTTCAATTATATGTTTTGAAAATTTACTTTCTGTGTTTCCTTAACAAATTCCTAGTAATTTCTTCCTAAAATCTATCATTTAAGTTTCTTAAGTGAATAAATCAATTGTAATTATTGAATATGTTTGTTACATAGGGCATAAGAAGAATATAAGAAAGCCTTATGTGAGGCATGTAGAACAGTGTTGGCCTAGTGGCTTCAGCGTGCGATTATCATACCTGAAGTCGTAGGTTCGATCACCGGCTGTGCACCAATGGACTTTCATTCTATGTGCGCAATTAACATTTGCTCGAACCGTGAAGGAAAACATCGCGAGGAAACCGACATGTCTTAGACCCAAAAAGTCGACGGCGTGTGTCAGGCACTACTTGCCAATTAGATTTTAAAAAATGGTCATGAAACCTAAAGAGGTTGTACCGCCACTAATTTATATTTTTTTTATGTGAGGCATGGCTGGCTCTGTATCTGTTATCTTCATCATTTTTAGAAGTCTGACACACGCTATCATGCCGGTTCTCTAACGATATTTTCGTTCACCGTACTAGCAAGTGTTAATAACTCACATGAAACACCTATCTACGAAAAAGAAGAAGAAGAGTCGTTTCTCTCCTTAAATACTCTATTACTACGTTTTACAAGCCGTGAAAATCAGATGTAGATATCAGATCATATAACTTTACAAGTCTGTGTACTTTTTTGTGTTTTAGCTAAAAGTATATCGAACAAGGAACCGTATATCACCGAATACAATTATGAAGATAACAAGAAATTTCTATTTATTGAGTAATCGGAATGACTCACATACGATATGTGTTCGGCATGCGAGGACATATGTTATTACATAATAATATAATAGTATTTAGCTATAAAAATGGCTTAAGATATAAGCTATCTTTTCCAGGCAACAAATTTTGAATGAAAGTTTATGAAACAAAGTAACGAAGTTTAATTGGCTTGACAAACGTTTGTTTTGGTTGGTTGTAGTGGTAGGGGAGCCCAAGAGGGGATTTCGGGATTTACTAAAGCGCGGCAGATTACTATATAGGGGGATACCTTGTACCCGGTTAAATACCTCCACAAAATATGAGGCCCATATATAAGGCCGCGCGTGAAGGAGACAGGATCAGATTAGTAAAAAAAAATTGACCATCAGAAATTCCCGAGCGCGTCAGATTAAGGTAGGGTGAGTTAATTACATCCTAAAAAGTGTATATTCCACTAATCTGACAATTTGAGAGTGACGGAAAAAAAGGGGAGGGCAACAAAGTTGTAAAAAAAAACGTCATCTCGACATTCTCGAGCGTAGCTAATTTTTCTTTTATTTTGAAGGAAATAATTCCAGAATAATGAAAAATATATAATCTGACGATTTCCGCAAGCCGAAATAACAAAAATTCGTCGATAAAGTTAAATGCGTGCAGCTGCGTGATGCCTACATTTCCTTAAACCGATCGGAATCTACTAAACGGCGTTCAAAATATTTCCCTCAAAATTACATTTCCTGTGAATTTGAACCGATTCGGACCGATAGATTTTGAGAAATTTTGAAAAATCTTAAAAAAATAAGAAATATTTTTTTTTAAGTGGTTTCTTTATCGATCAACTTCAAAAACTAATCCGCCTTTGAGCTTGAAAAACCACGTCGATCGCCACCAAGCTGGTCAAAAGCGGTTGATTCGTTCGAGAGATATCGTACATGAAAGAAACCCGAAAAAGTGTTTTTTCGGGATTACTCCGAAATTTGTGGTTCGATCAATTAAAATTGCAAAATTACTTATGAGAATGATAAAACTGCGTCGAATGCCGCCAACCGCGTGAAAATTGCTTGATCCATTCAAAAGTTATTGCGGTTTGAAAATTCCAAAAATAGTGTTCTATGAAACTTCTATCAGACTTTCGAGCTGGGAGAGCTCAAATGCATAGAAATGTTATTTCTTTGAACTCAGCGAGCTCAAAATATCAATTTTAAACGCCCAGGAATGGAATTAGCGGGAAGTTGCAGGGATGGCCCTTTAGGTGAACCGTTTTTCTATTTTTTTTTTGTCAGATCAGGCGAATCCCTCTAGATAATCGTCAGATTATGAGACAGTACGTTTAGAACATAAAGATGAACCACATATATCTTAATCTGACGCGCTTGAGTATTTCAAAATTGCGATTTTTTTTTGCAAATTAAGAAAATGGCTGTGGGTTTGCGTCCCATCGAAATCGTCAGATTAGTGAATGAGAGATTTTTTTGGTGCACTTAACACTCCCTTAGAAAATCTGACGCGCTCGATAAATTTTTTTTTTTTTTAATTTTCAACCCTTAAATACAACCACCCGCATCATGCAAACGATCAGATTAACATACGTACATTATTAAAAATACGTAGGGCATAGATGCTATCAATATCTGACGCGCTCGAGGATGTCCATGCAACAGTTTTTTTTTACATATTTAACTATCTATAGCCGCTTCCCCCACCGATGAAAAGGAATTTATCATATAACATTTTTTTCTTCTTTTTATCTAAGCTTTGTATCCCAATAGGTCTCTACGACGCTCGAGTAAATCCCCATTTAGCATCGTGGGCTCCCCTACCATAGAAACGTGAAATTTTCAAAATCATAAAAGAAACTTTAATTTGTGCAAAATATTTTTTTGTTTGTTTTCGGAATGGGAAACTTACCACTTAGTGGTATAAAAAATAACGACCTATTCTCGGACCTATCAAATATACACAAATATTTTATAAAAATCGGTCAAGCCGTTACGGAGAAGCTTGATTACAAACACAAGAATCATGTACCTATATGTAGTATACGACATAATATATCTGCGTCTGGTTCATTTATCGTTAAAACATACACACGTTCTGTATATCCTTCAGCGAAACGATTAAACGACTAAAGCTCGCTTTAAATTGTAGATATAATAAGTATTCACTTGGCTACATTGTGAAAGGACCGTGAGGACACGTGCCTAATATATAAGAAATCGCGCCTGACAGAAAATGCATGATTTGTGCTAGTCGACTCAAAGCATTCGGCGAATTGGCAAAATGAAACACTTTTTATATTATTAGAATAATCTTTGCTGGCTATCTTTGGTAATACAATATATTTATTTACTTTTCTTTGGCTCGTTATTTTAAACTGTCTACCTGAGTTAGACAACAATTACGGGGAAGCAGCAAAGAACTACAATACTGATATATACTATTTTAAAATTACATAGAATTTTTGATTAGTTATCTTATAATACATATCATATACGCGTATTAACTATGTTAGTAGGTTGTCAAAAAATATCAAAAACAAAACAAGGCCGGTAGTTGATCGCAGGATCGCATAAAACAATTACGCAGATGACCAAAAAATATTAAGTATATTGCGTATGTCGGTAAAGACTGCAGCACAATTATTATTGTAAAATGTTTCTTCTTATACAATACTCTTATTATAAATGAGTACTCACCATATTAACGTTGTCGACGCCATCTCACTTTAAGTTTCTCTTTTCCACCAAATCTTTTATACTTCTTCTGGGAATTAACTTTCGACTTCTGCTTAACAATTAATAGCCTTAGCAGCTTGAATGACGTACTAGATCCAAACGGTAAGCACATTGTTTATATTTCCATAATTAAATACAGCCTCGATTTTGACATTTATTTTCCTACAAAATAATTAATTAGTTCAATATACATGCCTAAGTATAAATATGACCTATTTGGCAAGACTGAACTCCTACCAAAGGGTAGGCTAAATTAGAAAAACGATTGCGATTTCAATGTCAATTTCTGTACATCCGAAATTGAAAGAAGAAGTTCCAGAGCTTCGAATATCGAAATTGCATACAAAAATGTCGGGATCAGTGTCACTCTTAAAAATTACAAAGTACAGGCCATGGAGGGAAAATTTGTCTGGAACTAGGATAAGTCGCGATGCCAGAAGTGCGACAATGGTAAATGCCGAATATTATCACTAAATAAGCATTTTATCGCTTTACATTTTAGAAGAATTCTTTCCGTAACACATTGACAACAAAACAAATCCTACGCTAAATGTGTACAGGAACTGGACTTTCGACCTTTTCTCATTTAGACATTCGCAGAAAAATTGTAACTAGATTTATAATGAACTGAAATGTGGGACATCAAAGTATTAAACTGGTGCCCAGTAAAAGTCTTCCGCTATTTCCTTTAGATTAAAGAAACTGCCAAAGGCACAGGACAAGAGAAGTGCAGGACAGTGCAAGCTGAATTGACGGCATTTTGACAAGGCCTTTGCCACAAAAACACAGGAATAAACAGCGTTACTTAGATACGTTATAGATACTATTAAAGAGAAGACGTTCATATACGATTTTTCTTATCCGATGTCTATGTTACCTACATCTAACTTACTCAAAAATAAGCAAATGTGCGATTACGATCTTATGAAGTTCAAAAATCAATCAAGAATTAAATTTCAAACTAAACAAAAACCTGTTCGAATTTCAAGTTCAGAAACTGATACCTGTTTGCAATCAGAGATAAATGACGTCATTAAGTTTAACCAGATAAGTTGTGTGTCCATTGTGACTTTTGCCATAACATCTTCGAAATCGACTTCATAAAAAGTAATACGTGCTATTTACTCACCAACCACTCAGATTCAGGTCAAACTTGCATAAAACGTTATCGCAATTAAAATTTTTGAACAAAAGAGTGAAACGTAAGTTAAAACGAGAAAGATTACTGACGTTTCGACACAAAAAATAGAAAACAAGATGGCGCCGAAATAACGAAAAATTTCGTATACAGGTTGTTCGCAGCTTCGCAATGTGCAATGGAAATTATGGTTAGAGTATTTATAAATAATCTAATCTATGAGGAAAATAACGTGAAGTTAATTATATTAAATGCGCCCGAACGAATTAGTGTTGCGATCGAGACTGACGTTACATCGAGTTAGTGCAAATTATTTAATTATACTCGTGAAGATTCGATAGGCTTTTAATTCAGGCCCGTGACCTCATAAGGTCACTTAGTTCACAGGGTGTTTATTTCCTGGATACTAAATAAAAATATTACCAAGTCAGTAACTCTTCAACATTGAATATTTATTTAAATACCTGTGTATTTATCGAAAATTACGGGTTTCCATTTAATTTTTAGATCTTTAAGTTCCTTACAGCTTAGGCTCGCTAAACAGCTTATTTAAAAAATAATTACAGATTTTGAAGTCGGATTAATTAAATAGGATTTCCGGTCCGACAATTTCATGTCCTCAATAAAAAATCTGTTTTAATTTTCCAAAACAATAGTGTCTCTTATCAGTTGTGGTACACTGCACATTTTGAAAAGGTAATATGTATTACTGTTATATTAAAAATTGTGTAAGTCATCACAACATACAATAATGCCCAAATTGGCGTCTCTTGGGTTTCGTGAAGCTATATTCGAATTTGTCTTTACACGAAGAATACAAGCAGGGACTAATTGCCTCACCTGCCGACTAGATCTAGGCCAAGGTACCTTTTACCTGAAAAATAATATTTCAACTCTTTTAAGCGCCTTTTCTAGAACGCTAAAACGAAAATGGTATTACGATTTTAGTTTTTGTATATTCATCTAAACGTCGATTTAAGCCTGTTTTATTGGCAAGTAAGCGCTCAAAATCTTGCCGATATATCTTTATATATATAATTAAATCGTACATGTGTATGTCACTGAACTCCTTTTAAACGACTGGAACGATTTGAATGAATTTATTGGACGCGTTTGGGTGGTTTAATATCCTAATCACTTGAAATATCATGCAAGACAACATCTGTCGGGTCCGCTAGAATACATATATAAAATCTTTATTGCCGGGAATCGAACTTAAGATTTATTCACCAATATATCGAGACTCAAGCCAGAATCTGGCGGTTAATCCGTAGATAGCAATATTGTGAAATTTACATAAAGTAATTTGAAAATACAATTTAAATAAATCGTAAAAAATTGTGTTATTATGTTGACTCCAGTTTAATCATAATTCAAAGAGAACTACGATTAAACCTCCATTAGAAGCGCTCACGTTACTTTCCATTGAGTTTCATTGTTCATTCATTTTTCGCACTAATATTTAAAGTAGTTTTAGCGTCACGCATACAAACAAAAATCTAATTACAACCAACGCGTATATGTACAAAGTTTCAATAAAATTCAGAAAACAATATTAAAACAATTCATTTATAACAAGCATCCTGTGTATTGTATAAGGCACTCGGGTCAAGTGGGCTTAACAAGTAATATTGCATTTTGTACGCTGTACATAGTGTACCAAGTGCATGCTTGTGTAAAGATAGCTTGAGACTTGAGTCGCCTTATGACTCCCTGTTCTACTTAAACTTCACAGTTCAAATTACATTTATATTGTTGTTGCAACTTTGAGCAGCGTTGGTCTATTGCTTAAGTACTTACTAAGGTCCGTCGTAAATGATTTTCTTACTATAAACCTAATTTACACTTGTACGAAACTTAGTCACAAAAATCGACTCAACCTATAGTCCTCGGCTTATTTTTATTGTAACTCTTGCATGCGTCATTAGGAATGTGAATGGAATTTATTCAATACAACAAACAGTACTTAATGTCACAATAAATTTAATCAATAAACAGGTGTAAACTATTTTTATCATAGTGTCGACTATCGAGGTTAAATTAATACTGAAATTTTAAATTTCGAAGGAAAAAATGCTGCGTTTTAGTATTTTAATATCTTTCAAAAAAACTATAATATATATGTAATGAATAATGCATCTTATCAGTATACTATATAGATATTACATTATAATGCAACGGAAATATATATAAACGTTATTAATGTATTTTTTATACATTAACACATCAGATATAACTTTATTTTGTCCTAAAAAGTTTTTAATATATTTTTCATAGAGACAAAGTGATCCGAGTTTTACAACAAAACTTAAAACTTATTACCTTGTTTACTGTCTGGAGTCAACTGCAAAGCCGGTGTGACATTTGCATGGTAACTCGCAGGTGCGTTGCCATCCTTTGTCCTAGACGCATGTGCATGTCTAGGAATGTCAGGCGTGTGTTTAAACTTTTTATGTAATCATTATTCGGTCATGAAGGTTGAGCTTCAAGCGACCGTCAGTCTCTCCAGACTATATTTATACCTATGTAATTAACATAATTTAATGTAATTTTCATAACTTAAGGGGGAGATAAGCATAGCTACTTCGTGCGTAGACTGATCTGGGAATTGTAATGAATATTTAAATGTAAATGTAGTACTTGCGTAAACCAGAGACAATGCTGAAAACTAAACTGCTGAAAAAAAACAATCCGGGAAGTTGTAATTTCACGGCGCTAACATTAACAATAAAGTATTTGCGAGTGAAGGTAAAAACTAAATATTCAACTTCTATACATATTATGCTTCGTGCTAAAATAAGGATGTGTTAGTTAGTTAAAATTCGTTAGGTATAGTGTTAGCTATTGCTCGCGACTCTACTCACTCCTATCAATGGAAAAAAATCCTGAATTATACCTATAGTAAATATAAAGTAAATTATTTAAGTTCTATATATATATTCATAAAATAAAATTGAAAGAAATAAAATAAAATTGATTAATATGCGAATACGTTATTCGGACATATGACATCTATATTGTACAATAAAAAACCACAACAATTTTACAAAAGAATCTTTTCGTGTTGTTGCAGCACATTGACAACGAGATAGCACTTAAATGTCGCCTTTAATCTGTAAATCTGTAATTGTCAGATGTCACTGTCTGACTGTAGATTGTTCATGTACAAACTACAAACAAAGCTCGCCGATTTTGTTTACAAATACAAAGGTTTTGAAGAGGTTAAATATAAAATTACAACTGTGCCAAATACAATTCTATAACATAATTGTTTAGATGTCGAACCAAAATAATACTCCAAAGCAAGTACATAATAAATTTAAAAATATTTTGTAACCTAGAAACTTAATAATTAAGTTTCTAGCCGGGAAATCTAAAAAAAAGCACAACATTTGGTATGGACAAAATTATCAAAGCCAAGGGCCTAGTGAAACGTTTAGAAGTTTGGTTGATAGCAAAGATATTATATCTCAAAGCTACTTCATTGTTCAGAAGTCTGTTAATACTGAACCAAAAATATAAAATACCAAAACTTAAGATGTTATAATATGTATAATATCCTAATCTTTTCCTATATCCTATACCTTTATCTTTATGAAAATAAATTCCGTAATTATCTTTAAACTTAATCATTTGTATTATATGATTGTTGTGTCTGTAGAATAATTAAATTTAACTCACAAGCTTTAAAGAAATAACAATTGACTATTAATTATCATATATGCTAAAGAAATCTTCTAAAAAGTTTAAAATTAAAATTATTGACTAAATTTTCCAGATTGCTGCAAAGAGGTGATTCAACAAATACAAAAATTAGAGAAAAAGGGTCTAAAATTCAAAGAAATATTCATGTTTTGACAAAACATAAACCGGGACCAACCAAACCACCCGATAATAGTAAGTACTTAGTGTTATGTACATATTAGTAATTGTGTATAAAATAAATTTATTCTAAAATTGACTTAAAATTCTAATATAACTAAAAAGGAACATGCCTTAGAATTATACATTTTCTCATTAAATAGCTTTTTTTGTAAAACATAAAACTGCTTAAAAATTATTTAACATATTAAAATAATAAATAGATGAATATAATTTATGTGCAATTATTTATAAATGGCATACTACTACTACTTTTAAAATATTTTTTTTACAGAAAAGCCAAGAAGTACTTTTTCTAATCGCCCTAAAGGTAATATAAAAATGAAGAATTCTGTAGTAGATACATTTCTATGTATTTTTTTTGTGTAAGCTTCCCAAGTAACATTCAGTATTAAGTCTTAGCTCACATTATACTACTGTCCAAAACTTTTTGACATACAGGTGTCATACTTATTGATGTTTCAACCCTGAATTGTAAATTTGAAAGCCTTATAAACAGAAATATTGCTTTCCGAGAATTACACAGAGCAAAAAGATATTATATTCAATCATTGATCTTTGTGGTTCATTTATACTTTCATAGAAATTTTAAAATATAATTTATTCTCTGTACAATAAATATCAACCTAAACTAAAAAACCTCTACTAAAACTTCTTTCAATTTGGTTGATTGTTATTTGATAGTTTTGCATAGTGCAGTTATTTTTTTTTAACAAATACATTGAAGATCTCTGTCACAGTCTTGCCTAATTCACAGTTATTATCTATAAAACAGATTTTTATTGTATAAAACTGGTCCTGTAAGGTAAAAAAGAAAAATAATAATTCAGTGCAGTAGTTTGGAAGTAAATTAATTTTTATTTTTAGATTCAGCGAGATACAGTCTGTTTGTATGAATATGATAATGTCTAGAAAATTTGTAATTTATTTTTATATGTAAACCAATTACTAATGTTACAGGTGTACCTCTTAAATTTTTGTTGAATACAGATTTTCAAGGTGCTATAACACCTCAACAAGGTAATTTCTATTTTAAAAACATTGTTTGTTACTAATTAATAATTTATCTTCAAAAATACTTTGTGTTGACCCATTATCTTTATTGATCATTGATTGTAAAGGTGATCATTTTCTGCTAGTCTCAAACGATTTTTGTTTTGGCGGGAATCAACCCCAAGACAGCTTCGTCATGATATGTGTAATATTAGCCAAGTATTGTTAACTAAAATTAATAGTTGGATAAATTTCGTTTTAAACAATATAATTTTATAGAGTCAATGGATGAACCGAATCGAACAGTGTCTGAGCAAATAAATACATATGATCAATCAACATTTTATCAAACTAAGCCATCAATGAACCAACCAATCCAAATGCAACAACCAAATCAAATATATGGTTATTCAATGGGGCAACAAATGTATGGACAACAACAAATGCTTTTTCAACCGATGTATGGTCAATCAATACTTGGTCCAGCACCCCAAATGTTAACTCAGTCAGCTGAAGGGTATCCGTCAATACCAAGGATACAAACAGACAATTTTACAAACGCATCAAGGGAACAGTATTCTCCAACTGGAATTTACGATGATAACGATAGTAAATCAGATGATGGTAAGATAAATTCATTAGTAACATTTTAAAATAATTATATTTAACTAAATTAATTTGTATTAATTGTGTGTTGCTTCATTTATGTTTATGTAGAAATTAAGAGAACATAGTTTTGTTCAAGCCACAAGTATCTTAAGTCAGAACTCAGAATCTCCGCTTGAGTACTCTCAAATATGTCAAAGATCAAATAGAAAAAAAATTATGTGCAAAACAGATTTAAGTTTGAGTGACGTTCTGGATAATATAAGCCTGAGACAGATTATTATTGGCTTTTATTGGTGTACTAAAGTATGGCTAATTTAATAGGTTTGACATCTGTCAGTTTTAGCTTCATAGTTCATAGACGCAACATCGTAACGGCATTCAATTCTCTATAGAACAGAAATTGTTTATGTTTAGAATGGTTAATTACTGAAAGTAAATCGTAAAATTACCTTCTATTGTCAATTACATTAAATACATAATCGGAATTTAAAAAAGTTAAGCAATTGTGAAACTTCAAAGAAGTGAACAACATATGTCGGAGCAATGGCGTTATTGTCATTATGTCAAAGAGCTTATAAATTAACAACGTCAAAGTCAAATCAATTCAAAACCGGTAATACTAGTCGTTAATATATTGACAATAAGGCCATTGCTCTGACGTATATTATGTCCGCCGATGTAACGGCGGTAGTAAATGTAAGGTTACGCTATTTAATTTTGATGAGGTGACCATGATTATTATTATTATTTAGGTTCTAGAGATTCAGACTCTTCAGATGTGTTAGAAAACCAGAAAAGGCGCCAAAGTGCCTTCGAAAGATTGGGGCCACAGACTAAACAAACTAAACCCAAGTTGACCATCAATTTGTGTCTCGATAAAGACCAACCTATCAGGTGAACCCACTTTTTAATAAAAACTTGGTGTGAAGTTTTTATTTCATTATTTATTAATTATTATATAATGTTCTCGACCATGGCTTAATAGTAAGGCATATATTTAAAATATAGTGGCGCTACAACAGACATTCCTCCGCACGAACGAATATTAAATGCGCACATAGAAAACGCGCACTTGCACAGCCGTGATACGAACGTTTGTGTGTGCCACTCCCACAATTCTATTAAACTCTTCAGGGGCAACCTTGCAGCCGAGCACTGCGCCATTTTGACATAAGGATCTAGCTGAGAGGGTATAATGTTGGATAAAGTATTTCAAATCATTAAAACTTTTCACAAGTATTGCCGTTGGAGTGCCTCTGACCCCCTTCTTCACATCTCGCAGGCGTTCTGCGCAGCGTAACGCGGGCTCGTAAACATATGAAATAAAATAAAGAATAAATCAGTGGCGATACAACCTTTTTAGATCTGTGCATTAGATTTTTGTATCTCTTTCGTGATCATGAATCTAATAGGCAAGTAGGTGATCAGCCTGCTGTGCCTGACACACTCCGTCGACTTTTTGTGTTTAAGAGGAAACCCCTCACGATGTTTTCCTGTACCGTTCGTGCGAATGGTAATAGCGCTAATATAAAGAACCTACGACTTCAGGAATGAGAGTCGCACGCTGAAGCCAATGCCCTAGTGGGCTCCATCCTATGAAATCTCTGTTTGGTCTCTGGCAGAATGACCAGATCTGTAAAACACGTCTGCATCACAACATAATGCTGAGCCAGGGCCAGTTACAACACACACACACATTACGCACTTAAAATGTACCTTATGCCTTTTTTCTTTTTTGATTATTTTGTGTTTCTGTGTGTGTTTCGTTAGTAATAAATGTTTTCTAAATCCTCAAAAATAAATAACGTCACTCAATTAAATATTTCTATAGATTCGATTTCCATCATACATTTACATAAACATAAACAGGATTTTTTTAATATATATTTTAAAGAAATATTTATATATTTCAGAGAAGTAGTATCAAAGCAAGTTCCCGTATATGAACGAGATGAGATAATGACCAGTACGGACCCAACTGTTGTGAAGTTCAGATATCTCTGGCCTTGGAAGAACACTATACAGCTTAAGCGGAGTGTCACAGCACGATCTTCGAAGGTAATGTATTAACACATATAAAAACATTGTGCACCACGCTAAGTGATTGCTTTCCAGGCAGAAAATCGTTATTTATATTTAAATTTTTAACCTTCATAAAACGATTTTTCATAATATTTTAGAAGAGACAACGTCTAATAAATCGATTAACGCCGGCTGCACGTACGAATTACTCATTGTCCCGTTACGCTCATTGTACGCTTGCGCCGCATCTATCTATCTTCCACTCGATTGGCCTATGCGTCCGAGAATTCACTCCTTTGTATCCATACAAAATAGTTCAATAAAAATGATTAAATTTGATTCATTAAAGTATACTATCATTTCATCAATGTTTTGTTATGACGTCACGTTTAACTATCATCCGTAAACCAACATTCAGACAACCATTTTTCATTTAACTGAAAATTAAAAAAGTCACCATATCTAATATATAAAATTCTCGTGTCACAGTTTTCGTTGCCATACTCCTCCAAAACGGCTCGACCGATTCTCATGAAATTTTGTGTGCATATTGGGTATGTCTGAGAATCGGACAACATCTATTTTTCATCCCCCTAAATGTTAAGGGTAGTCCACCACTAAATATTTTTTTTTTATTTTCAGATTTTTTTTTCTGTTTTTATTTTTTTATGATACAGCATTAAAAAATACATACAAACCCCTAACTTTCACCCCTCTACGATCAACCCCTATTTTTTTATTATAAATTATATATATGGCAAAACGACGTTTGCCCGGTCAGCTAGTAGTAAATAAAATTATAAACAATGTTTGGGAACGCAGCTTTTCTGTAACTTGTGTGGTAATAAATAAATACGTGTATAATACGAATTATGTGTATGTTAATTTTAAAGTACTACGCAAATAATATAATATTTATTATATCGACGTAGGAAAGCACATTTGCTGTAAGTAGACATATTGCAATTGTTCACCAGAGCCAAAAAACTTTATTAATTTCGGAAAAAAATTAATAGTGTCTGACCTATCCATGATATTGCTACCATTTTTGAAACATATATTTATTTAACTGCCAGTCACCATTTGCAATGTAAACTTTTTATCCAAAATTACTATAAGTACGTGTTTGGCTAGTTACAGCAAACAGTTTTTTAAATCACAAACCTTTAAAACGCTGTAACTAAGGAAGAAAAATGTACGCGCGGAAATATTATCAATTAACAGGCGGTAAATATGCTGTATGCAGGAAATTTATGTATTTGGGTACTTTTAATTGCAATTCAAGATGTAAGATTAGTTTATAATTATGATTAGATCTAGAAATGCAGTGGGTCATTTGGTAATGTAATGTTTGGTTGAAATAAAATGTCGTAAATGGTAAAAAAAAACCAAAACTGTAGGTTCCCTAAACTTGCTGTAAGTAAACGAATGTAAAAATCACACGCCGCTGAAATGCTGTAAGTAGCGTTAAGTTTTTAAATGGGAAGAAGTAAGTATTTGTAAAGAAAAAAATGCAGATTTTCTTTTGCTGTAAGTGCAAAATGTCTGAAATGACTAGATTTTGGTCTACATACAGCATTTAATCTTGCTAAAAATAATATAAGTACGGGCGTTTTCAACGGCGTATGTAATTTTTTTTTCATCGTAGAGACACAGGACCCAGGTCATTCGATGCGGCTTTTTTTTCTGATTCTAATGGCAGGAAAAAGTCACTTTAGGTATTTTGTCTACTTACAGCAAATATGCTTTCCTACGTCGATATATAGATATATATTTATTTATTTTAAATAATATAATATATATTATATGATTATTAGTATAATATTTTTTTCCGCTGTATAATTCTTTTTTTCGCAAAAGTAGTACATTAAGTCGATTTTTAAAAACTAGAGGAAGATCTGTGCAGCCATTGGTATCATTGTTACTTCAACTGCATGATTACTTCCCTTTTTGAAAAATAATAAGCTATTAAGGCGTACTTTAGTACTAAGTACGCGTAAATATATGCAAATATTCTAGCAAATATAAATTTACTAGTGACATACCTCCTTTAAATAGTTTACTATCGTAATCACTGAATAAACATTGGGAACAGGCAGCTCAGCTACTTTTTCGTCTCAGACGTGACGCTCATCCCCTTCAACTTCTATACTCAATTCTTTTCAATCCCAAAACTCCTTCTTATCTTAAAAATTTATTGCCAAATTTATTACTAACTTGTGGCTACTTGTGGTGACTGGTCGGACTTGAATTCGTGTATGCGGTGATGTTAGTTATTTCGACTATGTATTTGCGTGTTGTTCCCACGAGAATGTAAGTGAGTGCTCCTACTTCACCATGCTTCCTGCTGATAGAGGACAAATCTTTGTTTTTAAGTTATTTTATTGTTATTAAATAACTATTAATTACTTAAGATTGATGGACATGTGGAACATGGTGTTAACGTTGTGTAAAACAAAAAACTTGGCGATTAAAAAGAGTGGCGGGGAGTTTATTGTCAGTTCTTCTCTTCCGTTCTAAGCCCTTGATTGAATACTGGCAGTAAATGTAAAATTAGAAGCATTTAATGTTAAATTATTTTTTGACGTTCATAATTGTACAATGTGTTACCTATATGGATAAATGATTTTGATTGATTGATTCAAATTCTTAGGTCCTTATATGTAACGCTCCTCCAATAGATATTTATTGGAAATTCCATCCCACAGCTCATTATTCAAAGGCAATTCATTTAGGATCTAAGCCATTAATTGTGGAATACGCTCAAACCTCTTTTAAAAATTTTCTACATAAAATGGTTGCGCCGGATTCTTATTTTATAATAATGGTTGCTCAATATACCCATCCTAATAGTTCCTAGACGCATATCTGATCACCCACCTATTTTATGTCCCAATCCTATGAAGGTACTAGTTCCGGAACGGGCTAGGTGGCGCGCACGACGATGAGTCTACAATTGGAGACAAGGATTAATTAATTAGTTACAATTTCATGACCCGCGATATGGTTCGTTTTGTTCGCCGCACGCTCGCACCACCTTTTTTTATAAACTTTTAACTTTATTTAAATTTTCTGTTTATTGTTAATATATTATTGTTTGATTATACTTTTGTGAAAGTGTTTGGTTCATTAGTGTAAAATAAAGGAATCAAACCACGTGAAGAAGCCACGAGAAGAAGCCACGAGAAGAAGCCACGAGGTTGAAGGTACTGTACCGACATACTTTCTTTCTTTTTTCCCATTTGTCCAAATATTGAGCAATCATATTATAAAGAAAAATACAGTCCACAATTATAAACAATTCATTATTTAGTTTAATGGGTATAAAGTTTTTATATAATATATTGTTACGAAGACGGGTCGACTGCAATGTTTCTTGATTTTTCCACTACTTAGAGAAATTTTCAGCAGGCTGAAAAGTGATTTCTGATCGGTTCAGGAGAGGGTCAATCACATATTAGAAAATCGTAATTTACATAATGTTACCCTAATTTTTAGGAGGCTGAAACATTTTTTCAGGCTGTTTCAGAACACGTGTAGTCGAGTGGTACACTTTTCACGAAACCAGTTTTCAGGCCTGGTTATACCCCTTTGATGAAGGAATAGTCTAGAACGAATTTTCTAGGTGTGGGACAAGGACGGAATGATGCGAGAGAGAGACGGAAGATTGGAACCTTCTCGAAGCTAGACCGAGCACTCCAGAACACCGTACGACAAGGACGGAGCAATGTGCGAGAGAGATAGCGAGTATGGACGTTGTAGAATTGTGCGACCGCTACTCAGTAGCGCTCACGCCTAGAGAGTTCTCGAACATCGTTCAAGACTATTCCCAGGGATATATAAGCGAGCCGCAACGCGACCAGTTAGTTCAGCTTTGAATGCGATATCAAGAGATAAACACCGAAGTGACAAAGTGCGAATATAGTGAAGACAAGTGATAAAGTACTGTGTGAAGTGCGTGTAATTAAAGTAATAAGTGACAGTATTTTGTGTGTGTATTTAGTGAATTTTTGTGCGTGATTTCCAGTTTTTAGTGTAAACAAATTCCTCGTAGATTTAATTGAAAACAAACCCTTGAAGAATTCTACGGCGTTTCTATCCGATCCCCTAGCTCGTAACAATATTAACAACCCGCGCCGCCACATTTCTTAACCATATCCTGTCCTGTATTGCATTTTAAATTGTGATTCACAAATTGGCTTTTACTTTTTGTTTATTTAATTTAGATTCAATTTGGTAATTGTATAATTTTTCAGAGTTACTTGTATTTTTTTTTGATTTGGTTATGCACTTCTTGTACTCTAACTTTAGTTTTTTCTTTTTTAGGGTCGCCTGGAAGCGATGCATCTCTAATAATTTATGTTTCTTGTTTTTATTTGTTACGTAATATAATAAATAAATCAAACCTTTTCAGACTGTGATGATTCTGGAACGGGAACAAGTGGAGGAAGAATACAAAAATGATAATTTGTTTATGATCGTGTCTGTAAGTTATTCAATTTATTAATTAAACATAAGTTGTGTTTATTATTATACAAATAAAAAAAATCTATCAGCATTGCTTGCCTTTACGTGTCCAGAATTCGTATATCTCAAAAAATACTGAATCAATTTTAATTTAATGTAGATAATATTATACACGTTCCTCCCAGAAAAAGACCCATATTTAATGAATGGAGAGTAATAAGAATAGCCTTTTCTTTCAGATACTTTTAAACTTAAACTCATTTATATTTCTACTATTTCATTATTTTTACCCATGTGCCCTTTTGGTAAAGACCTTCTCCAAATCCCACCATTCCTGACTTAAATGCGCCACTCTCTGTCGTGTACCATTTGCTGTGTCCTTAATTTGGTCTATCTCCTTTTTGTTTTAGTACTTTCTTGCTCCACTTTTCTGTTCCTCCTGGCATGTGCCCCACCAATGTCCAATTCAGTTTATTTATTTTTGAAGTTATACTTCTTTAGGCGCGTTATGAAAAATTGATGAGAGTGAAACTTTACGATGCGCGCGCACCTGAGACACAAAGTTGTCAGTGTGATTATAGCGTGCGCGAGCGAGATGGGAATAAGACAATCTACAAGTAAAAAGAAATAGAATATGCGTGAAGTTAGCAGCTATGCCAAGAATTTTGAATGAACATAATGACATTTACCTTTTAAACAAATAAAGGAGTTTTAATTATTTTTTCAAAGAAATTTAGCAATGCTTTTTCACAAAGACCTATTGTTACTTAGTTAAAAGGTTATGAAACATACCTAGTTATTAAATTGAATGAATAATATAATAAAATAATAAATAATAATAATTATTAATATTAATTAATAATTGAATAATATATTAAATATTATTAAATTATTAACGTTAAATATTTGTTATTAATTATTTAATATTTAAAAAAAATAAAGAGAGCCAAAGAAGTATAACTTCTTACGCGCGTACATAAGTACACGCACCCTTTTTTTCTGTATTGTATTGTATGTGTGTATAATGAACGAATATTTAAATGATCCTAATCCTTGGGATTAATTTTCTCCAGGTATAACACTTTGTATGACTCAGAACTTTGCGATTAAAATAAGAGGCGGAAAGTTTATTTACAGTTATTCTTGTCCCCTACGCCCTTGACTTGCGAACTGGTAGTAAATGTAAATTTAGAATTAATTTAACTTCTTTTTTGACGTTCATAAGTGTACTTGTTTACCTATATGAATAAGGTTATTTTGAGTTTGAGTTGGAATGAATGGATGTATCATATATTATTATAATATATTTGTCAGACACAAATAAACATATAATTATTTTTTCCATAACCTACTGAACCAATTTTGATTGTGTGTTCACTAAGTTGGAATATACCTTATTTGAATCAAAAAAGGCTTGATATAACCATTAGTTTTTGGGGAATGTTTAGAAGCATACACACGATATTTTTCAATCCAAGTAATAAAATAGGTCCAACTGATAACCTTCTTATGTTTGAGACAAAGTCACTTTGCAGGTGTGATCCAAAACTAAAAGAATTTTAGCTCACGCTTTGTCACGTGATCATTTTCATAAACATTCTTTTGGAGGTTTACCCTCCACAGTAAACCGCTTCGTTACGTAACGCGTTACGATGCCAGTCTGTCTAGCTTCCCTTTCTTTCACGCATGGCAGCGGTAGAGGCTTCTCCTCTCTCACTCTAACCTGCAGCGCTAGCCGTATTTCGGACAGATGCTTTCCCCTCTCACTACTCAGTGTTTAGTGTGCGTTAGACATTTATTGATGACAGCATATAACCTCAAACTATCGCAGTTTAAAAAAATTGTGCGTGTACTAGGTGTACACGTAAGAAGTGAAACTAAGAAATAAGATCTTATTTTTTCGAAAAATGATCTACTATATGCAACTTTACAGAAATTCGTTAAATTAGATAAAGTTTAACAAAAGGCTTTTATTATCATAGACATGAATACAAATATTTCATTTTACCTTTTTACTACGAAGATTATTATAGAATTTCATTAATTATAATAGAATTATTACTATCATTGAAAAACGTGACGATTTGCTACAAAATTTCTCCCATACGTCGATAAAGAAGTTTCATTCCAACGCCGATAAAGAAGTTTGACATCAAAAAGCAACATGGCGCGTAACCAAAATGTGACGCGTAACGAAAAAATGTTACACTAAATTTTTTTCCAACCCCGATAAAGAAGTTTCACTTCAAAAAAAAAATTACGAATGAAGCAGAAGATGATCCTCGGAACATTACAGAATTAAATAGTTCAACTTAGATTAGTTTAAGTTATCACTTCTGTATGGCGACCCAAGACGCACACATTTTTTTTTTTAACGGACACATTATTTTTGATTACTTGCATCTGCATGAATTGTTGTTTGATAATTTATTGATTATACGTACGTAATTAACAAGACCTTACGGTCCATTATGAAAAGAGCGTACCAATTCTTAAAAGGCCGGTAACGCACTCGTGATCCCTCTGGCATTGTGAGTGTCCATGAGCGGCGGTATCACTTAACGTCATGTTAGCCTTCTGCGCGTTGGCCTCTGTTATATAAAAAAATCTAAAACAGGATGCAATCCGAAGCTATATAATTTTTTTAAGTTTCAGGCATTCTTAAAGTTATTGACTGCATAGACATTAAGAGGGAAACTAAATTTTTCTGTATTGCATTTCAGGTGGTGGGATTTCCGCCATCATGGACTAAAGAAAATGTCTTGGACGCGATTTTAGAAGATCTCAAAGAAAAAAGTTTTATTCCCTGTTTTATTGAGGTATGTTTATTTTCGATACTTCACAAAAGTGACATGTATATTTTTAATGAGAATAAAGTTCTTTTAACCTAACCATCAGGTTATAGGTTCAAACCCCAACAGCCAATGTACTTTCTGTCTATGTGCATTTAACACTCGCTTGTACGGTCGGTACGGTTTAGGAAAACTTCGCAAAGAAACCGGCATGCCTTGGACCCAAAAAGTCGAAAGCGTCTTAGACACAGAATCCTGTTATAATTATATCTCGAAAAGATAGAAATCTGATGCCCCGGCTTAGAACCTCTTAATTTTTTTGAAGTGAAACTAGGTGCATGAGGGTAAAAATTTAACGGAACGTCACGGAGATGTGCAGCGTTTTTGTCGATGAAAAGGGAGAGAGAGTGAGAAGGGTGAATTATAGAAATTCTATTTTTAAAATTAAAATTTCGTAAAGAGAATTTATGAAATCTGATATGATGAATTGTAAATTAAAATGCCACGTGTTTTTATTATCAAATAAATAAATTTATAATTTGTATAAATTTTCGACGCATAATATTTTAATGACAATTAAATTCATTAAATTCCTAACACAATTCCCTCCCCCTAAGTCTCGTAAATCTAAAGTTTTAGATTTGTATAAATATGAACAAGAGTTAACAATTAGTTTGCCAAAGAAGTTTCACTTCTGACATGTGTACTTTGTACGCACGAGTAAAGGAACGGCAACGGACTTTTGGTTTAAAAATAATTTATTTAAATCAACAGAGTGACAGCACTTAATTAAGAACTAAACAATAATCAACTTAATATCTATTTCTTCGTGCATTTATACATTCAGATTTACTTACTAAGTATTGGTCGTTGCTGACGCACGACCTACATTCGGCTTAGTGCTAGCAAAGCATATATTAATAGGGTTGGTACTCTTAACTCCTCCCTCCCTAAGAGAGAAATTATCCGAAGGGGCTAAAGGTGACTTCGGAGAATTTCTTTTATTGCAAATAGAATATAATTTAAACTTTAATATTATAACAATTACTATTATTACTACTATAAAATAAAGAACTAATGTCCATACACTTATGTTATGTGTCACCACACTTTCCACCACTATTTCACTATTGCTATTTCTCACATTATTTAACATTTCTTTTACGTCACTGAAGTCCACGTTTGTCAAATCTAACTTTTTATCTGCCGTTGCTAAATCTTCCTGAAGTTCGGGAATCACCACCAGTGGCATCTGTATATTCACATCCGATACGTTGCTTGATTGACCGAAAATTGTTCTGCCAATTTGCATGTTGCACCCTTGACTTGGCGTCACGATGTAAGTCCCCAGTAAACTGAATCGACGGACGTCGTTTCTGCAGTGTTCCGACAAAATTATCTTATCTGCTGTGAATATCAACCAGCTATTGTTCATTATCTTCTGGATTTTTAGCTTCTCAATTCGTATTTGATGTTGATGACATAGGCTGTAATTATTCTTTATTAACATTAATTCCTCGATACATGTTTCCTCATTGTCTGTTGCCATATTTTCTTCTGAACATAAGTATTTGTTGTCTTCTATGCTCTCGCAAGGGCTCAACACATTTCTGTATTTCAAACCATTCACCAATAGGTAAGGATATTTAGGAATAATTGTGTAAGTTTTAGAGGATTTTGTTATAGGAATAGGAGTAACCTTGTAATAGTTATACGTTTCTGATTCTATCAAAGGAATTTCTAATACAAATACTAATTTATTCTTATCAATATAAGACTTTAATATAATATTACGTTCTAATTTAAGTAAGTTGTTTTTTGTTACTGGATAAATTGTTTGTGCATGTTTTTCTATCACTTTAAAAACACCTAATAACTCTGTAGAATTAATAATAGATTGGTGTAAGGTGTGCAATTTACTAAATGCAATAGCAGTTTCAATTTCTTGTATGCTCTCATAAATGTAACGAAAGTTATTTAGAATCTGGTATAAACTATTCATAGTACGAATGACATTACTAATTTTAATTTCTTTTTCGACTACTTTATCAAACTCATTTGTTTTAAAATGTAAATTTTCTATATTATGATTCATTATCTCGGATATATTGGCTAAAGTAGCAAATGCTTTGTGCATAGAAGATACTTTAATTTCCGTCAAGTGTTCTCTATTACTTATCTTACTAATTTCCTCATTAAATTTAACAGCATCTTCCTCGTCTAAATTTCCAGTTATGACTTTTACTAAAGAACCCAAAGGACTAAAAATAGCACGTTTCCTCATACTGTATGGAAGTAACTGGTGAAACTTACTTTCTACTATTTTAATTAATGTATCTATTTGAACTCTTATTACAACTAATTCCTTATCTAAGTGATTAACCATTATTAATTCATTTAATTTATTATATAGTTCTATATTATTACTTATTTGTATACCTAAAGTTTTAATGTCTACTGTTTTAAAAACTGTCCAATAACTATTCTTCATTACTGCTACTCCAAATTTCATTGGGATGATTCCTGGATTCTGGTCCATCTTTCGAAGTTCCAGGCTGTGGACTTGGCTCTCTAGTATCAGGAGTACTAGCCATGACCTGGGGAGGACGTTTTATATTTTTAGCAGCTACTCTGGTTTTTCTTTTATTCAACTCTACCGGTACAATGTTATGATTCGATTTTCCCACTACTTTTGCTTTCTCATAACGCGGCATTTCTTTAGCTTTTCTTGTTCTAGTAGTTTTCATGAAAATAGTATCACCTTCTTTAATATTAGATATTTCTTCACCACCTCTCTTGTTCCTAACTTTAATCTTATCCTCTTTTAATTTGTCCGCGACATATTCGTAAAGAACTTTGAGACGTTTCCTATGGTCTTGTAATAACTTTTGCATTAGATTGTGTTCTCTATTAATATCGAACACATTCCCACTATCAGTGTTTCCAAAAACAATCTCGAAAGGAGTGAATTCAGTTGCTGAATGAATGCTATTGTTGTATGCCATGATTGCATATGTCATTACAGAACAAGCGTCAAGTTCATTTTTATCATATTTAGCCAAACGGTATATTTCAATAATAGTTGAATGAAACCTTTCCACAATGGCCATCGAACTAGGATTATTCGGAGTTCCAATGTGGAATTCTATTTTGTACAACTTTAAAAGTTCCTTTATTAATTCATTATTAAATTCCGCACCAGAGTCACTATTAATTTTTTTTGGTAATCCATACATGCTAAAGTATTTTATGAGAGCTCTAACTACTTCAGGAGTACTCCGATTTGGAATACTAATAGCTTGTCCTAATTTACTAAAAGCATCGACAATAGTTAGATAATAGTTCTTTTCAATAAACAGAAGATCCATGAAAACTTCTTGAAACGGAGAATACTGATTTTGCGTTAACTGAATACAAGGATTTAATGGTTTTCGATCATACTTCATTTTTCTACACTGTTCACAAGCATTGATTACAGCGGTCACGGTTTCTTTCATATTTGTCCACCAATAATCTCTTTTAAGCTTAGTTAATGTTTCATTTATACCCCTATGACAAGTTTTCCCCTCATGGTATTTTATTATTACGTCTCTCTGGTCAACTTCTGAGTCAGTCAGGTTAACGATTCTTTCTGTACACTCTACTAAGTTACAAGTTCCCTTTTTGTATAATTCTATAACTACCTTTGAAAATATCCTTCTAAATTCAGGACTTTCAAAATATATATAATATTTATATTTAAAATCTACATATTCCTTAAAGAAATCCTTCACTAGACTTTCTTTATTCAGTGGCATATGTACTTCTAATATGCGTTGCTTTCTATTTGAAATATCTTTAACTGAAATTTTGTCAATGAACCAAGTGAACACTAATATTTGTCGTGGTTTACAATCTATAGCTTCGTTTAAAATAGGTATTCCCTCATGTTCCCTATTTGACACTGAATTAGCGGTAGCACCGTCGTCTGAAATTTCTACCAGTTCTATCGGTTCCTCACATTCTGTGTCAGAGATATCCATTCTATTTTCATTTTCTAAATCAGACAATGACATATCGGGCTGAGGCTTTTTGTTCCTAACCGTCACAAACTCGTCATTAAGTTCTTGTATCACTTTTTGAAGTCTTTCGTCATTATCGTCAATATTAGCCAAAGTCGAGTCGAGGTCATCGTCAAGAGCATTAATTCTTATTCTAGACAAAGCGTCTGCATTTGTATTTTGTTGACCTTTTTATATTTAATCTCAAAATCATATTCTTCTAACCTCAGACGCCAACGCGTTAACTTACTATTGGGTTCTTTAAGAGAATATAACCAATGCAATGGCCTATGATCAGTAAATATTGTAAACTTTCTACCATAAAGATACGGTCTAAAATGTTTCACTGCCCAAATTACACCTAAAAGTTCTTTTTCTATGGTGCTATACCTAGTTTCTGTGTCACTTAAAGTCCTACTCGCATAAGCTACTGGTTTATCATTGCCAATAGTACCCTGTGATAGAACGGCTCCTATAGCAAAGTTAGATGCATCAGTCGTTAATGTGAACGGTTTTTCAAAATCTGGGAATTGTAATAAAGGGGCATTTGTTAAAAGCTTTTGCAAGTTTCAAAACTTTGTTTGTACTCATCATTAATTATTATTTTATTTCCTTTTTTTAAACAAACTGTTAAAGGTCTCGTTATTTTAGCGAAATCCTTGATAAACTTACGATAATAACCAACTAATCCCAAAAAGCTTTTAATTTCTGTAACTGTTTTAGGTATAGGGTATTTCAAAACTGCGTCTATCTTGTCAGTATTGGGCTTAAGTCCCTCACTTGTGATAGTGTGACCCAAATACAATACTTCTTTTCGTAGAAAATGAGATTTATCTAATTGAACTTTAAGATTTGTTTTTCTGAACCTATCGAAAACTGCTCTAAGTTTATCAACGTGTTCTGGTAAGCTTTTTGAAAAGATGATGACGTCATCTAAGTACACTAAACAATGCATGCCCTGTAGACCTCTAAGAACATTATCCATGGCTCTTTGAAATGTCGCTGGGGCGGTCTTTAAACCAAATGGCATTCTATTAAATTCATAATGCCCAAAAGGGGTACTGAAAGCTGTTTTCGGTCTATCTTCTTCCCTAACTTCAAGTTGATGGTACCCTGATGCTAAATCAAGCGTCGTAAAATATACACTTTTACCTAACATGTCAAATAAATCGTTAATATTAGGCAAAGGATATTTGTCATCAGTAGTTATGTCATTAAGTCGTCGGTAATCTATCACCATTCTCCACTTTTTCTCTCCAGATGGTACTAGATTTGGTACTAGATGTACTGGTGCACTCCAAGGAGAGTGTGACTCTTGGATTATCTTGTCTTTTAACATTTTTTCTATTTGTTGTCTTATTTCCGTAGTCTGAACTGGAGGTAACCGATGAGCTTTAATATTAATTGGATCTTCATTTTTAGTGCGAATCTCATGTTTTACCTCATTAGTAAAAGTTAACGGTAAATGTTCACAATAAAAAATGTCCTTGTAATCCCTACAGATTTTCCCAATCATATTTTTTTCTTCTTCATTCATATGCTCCAATCTTAACTTTTTTAAATTATCATGCAATAATTTGTCAACCTCACGATGATTTACAAAATTTAAATTTGTTTCGCGATCTGTATCTAAATATGACACATCAAACGGTTCTACTCTAAACGGTGCCGTCACAACTAATTTTTGTTCAGCCTCAGTAACATTTTGTATAATGGTTGATGCAAAACCATTTTTACAGTTTACTAAAGCTGTAGGCATCCTAATCCCTTTTTGGAATTCGATAAAGTTCAAAATTGCATCCCCGTTTGTCAAATTGACTGGTAACGAAACTCTGTACTCACAACGAGGCGGCAAAATATACGTTTCCTTCATAGGAGGTGAATAATTTATTGGTATTCGCGTATTTTTTGTAAACAAGACCAAGTTTTCCATGTCAATTGAAGCACCTAAAGTTCGCAATAATTCGCTACCTATTAAACCGTCATATCTACTATCCACGCTGTATACATAAAATTTATGTTTTATCTGACTTTTAAAAATTTTAGGTAAATTTATATAAACAATTTCACTATGAATACTCGATGCGTGAGTACTAATCACTTCAAATGGTTCAATGCGTTTGTCGTTTTGAAAAAAAATGTTTGCTAGGTCTGGGCTAATAAAAGACCTAGTACTCCCCGTATCTATCATAAAAACAGCATTTAACTCTGGAATAATTATATGAGGTAAATTTAATTTTGTACAATTTATTTTTATCTTTTCGGTATTGTTGAGGCTATCATAAAAAAATTTCCTATTTGTTCATGGTTCGAACTAGTCGGGTTCGATTCACAGTTATAAGAACAAGATGGTTGAATATTATTATCAGTATCAGTGTAATTAACGCGTCTTGAACTGGCTGTTCTCATCGTAATATCGGTATTGGAGGTCGATGGCATAGGCGATTCTTGGTATTGTAATCCATTGTTCGTAAAATGCCGACGCTGCTGTGACGACTGTTTTACCGGTGACCTAAATACCGTGTTATAATTGTTGCGATTATTTAATGTTTTATCATTTCTAAATTGGAAAGAATTATTATTTAAATTATTTGAACTATTTGAATTATTTTGATAATTAGATGCATTCGAGTTCCTTTGGACGTTATGGGTTGGAGAATTATAATTATTAACTTGTCTCGGATGAGAATTCCTATTTTGAAATGAATTAAAATTATTATAATTAGGTCTAAAATTTTGATTGGACCTTGGGTTCTTACTATCATAAACCGTTTGAAAATTTTGTTCTTCCAACACGGTTTTTAAAGCATCTTCCAGCGTGGTAACATTACGTAATCTCACTAATCTTACAAGGTACGCTGGTAAATTAAATAAGAAAACGTTTAATGCCGAATTATTATATATCGCTTGTTTGGCCTGTCTTATTTCGGGGTTGTTAATGGTTTCATTTATTTTGGAGAATAAAATACTCCTTAAATGTTGGACACGATGACAGAAATCTAAATGACTTTCGTTCTTATCCTTTTTTAGGGAATCTAATTCCATAGCCAGACAATCTTCTGACCTTGGATCGCCAAAGTGTTGGCTTAATAATAACTTAAGGTTATCCCAAGTATCTATTTGTTCCCGTTCCCCAACTAGACTTGCGGCTTCCCCGGATAATCGACTAGTAATTACGTGAAACAGATATTCATTTTGTAAATTGCCACCTTGAAATATCTGTAAAATATATTCGCATTTTTTAATGAATAATGGTAATAATCTAGAATCACCATCAAAAACAGGAATAATTTTTACCATTTCTACAGGTACTCTTACAATATTTTCCATTTTGAATATAAAAAAAAAAAAAAATTATTTACCTATAAAATAATTGTATAAACCTAACTTCTATTAACAATATTTTGATTGTTTAATAAAAATATTTTTCCGGCGTTTTCCAATCCGAAATAAACGTATAACTAATACAAGAGGAAAACAAGGAAAGTCACGGGAAGTGAAAAGTTTTACTCACAGTCCTGTTATCTTGACCATGCTCCTCCGGGATACTGCTAGTTCTTGGCTGCTCTTCCACCGATGCCGTGCTGTCCTTAACTTATTTATTTGTTCGGCGATCTCCGTTAAAACGTTAAAACGTACGTTACCCGGTTGGTACTAAATCACGAAAAAAAAACGCGGTATAACTTCTTCCAGGCAACTTATGGAGATCCTACCGGCTGCGCCAGTAAAGGAACGGCAACGGACTTTTGGTTTAAAAATAATTTATTTAAATCAACAGAGTGACAGCACTTAATTAAGAACTAAACAATAATCAACTTAATATCTATTTCTTCGTGCATTTATACATTCAGATTTACTTACTAAGTATTGGTCGTTGCTGACGCACGACCTACATTCGGCTTAGTGCTAGCAAAGCATATATTAATAGGGTTGGTACTTTGTACGCACGCACTTTTTTTCGCCACTCCCGTAAACATTGTGTCCATTTCAGTTCAACTCAAGAAATTGCAAATTCCTAGTCAACAGATGTCGTTCGGCATTACTGGCTCTGCATTGGCAAGGTTTTTCTATTCGTAAAGACGACGTCGAACTGATGATAACCATATCGGTGACGACATTGAATACGAAAGTGTTGGAATACATCCCCCGTTTGGTGATTAGGAATAGGCTGATTTGCGGCTACGACGGCCAAAAGGTTGATTTGAGCGAGTTCACGTTGAAAAGTGGTGAGTTTTATAATACAGTATAAACTCTTTATAACGAATTTCAAGGGACCGAGTATTTTTTTTCGTTATAGAGAGTTGCCGTCATTTTAACGAACTACAATAATTTATATACCGTATTAAGGTAATAATGGGACGGTCACCTAAAACATACCGCCGTCCATAGACAAGGTCAGGACTGCGAGGTCAGTTTTGTAAGAGCGTTACCGGTCTTTAAGAAAGGCCTATGAGAGATAAGATGAAGGGTTCTTGAAGCCCCCTAAAGTAACTACGCACAGTTTACACTCTTTATAACGAATTTCAAGGGACCGAGCATTTTTTTTCGTTATATGGAGAGAAGAGAAAAACCAAATTTAACCAATTACAATAATTTATATATATAATAGATAAGTGACGATGGTGCGTTTAGTAACTGAGACCAAAATTTCCTACAGTCAATGTAATCTAAGAATAATGGCACATGTTAATGCGATATTTGTTTTAAATAAGTGTTGTTTGATGATTTGCTGTTTAAAAGAGTACCGAGAGTTTTTTACGCCGGCTTTTTCTCTCGGCCTGCACCTTCTGTCTTCTTTGTCGATGAGTAGGGATGCCTTCAAATTTAATGACGTGGAATAAGTGATATATGTATCTTTTGTTCCATAATAAACATATTTTATTTTATTTTCAATTAACAATAACAAAGGCGAGAAGGCTGTTTATGACATCAGGTTTCTTTCTTAGATAGTTCGATGCCTCAATAGGTTAGTTTTGTAAGCTGATTATAAAAACAATTACACTTAAGTATGTTGTTGATGTCTAAATATGAAAATATTTCTTCGTTATAGAAAATGGCTGTTGAGTTATAAAAATTGAATAAATGTGTGAGTTTTGTGTAAAACCAAACAAATTTAACTCTTTTTACGTTATAGAGAAAATTTCGTTATAACGAATGTACACTGTATTTGTAAATGACGACTCATTGGTCTAGTGGTAAGTACCCCTGATTCCATGGGTCCCGGGTTCGATCCCCGGCTGAGAAGAACATCGATGTGATGACCATTTGGTGTTGTGCTTAGGTCTTGGGTGTTTAAATATGTATTTATATGTCTATCTATCTATAATATGTATGTATATCCGTTGCCTAGTATAACACAAGCTTAATATTTTATAACGAATGTACACTGTATTTGTAAATGACGACTCATTGGTCTAGTAGTTAGTACCCCTGATTCCATGGGTCCCGGGTTCGATCCCCGGCTGAGACGAACATCGATGTGATGACCATTTGGTGTTGTGCTTAGGTCTTGGGTGTTTAAATATGTATTTATATGTCTATCTATCTATAATATGTATGTATATCCGTTGCCTAGTATAACACAAGCTTAATATTTTATAACGAATGTACACTGTATTTGTAAATGACGACTCATTGGTCTAGTGGTTAGTACCCCTGATTCCATGGGTCCCGGGTTCGATCCCCGGCTGAGACGAACATCGATGTGATGACCATTTGGTGTTGTGCTTAGGTCTTGGGTGTTTAAATATGTATTTATATGTCTATCTATCTATAATATGTATGTATATCCGTTGCCTAGTATAACACAAGCTTAATATTTTATAACGAATGTACACTGTATTTGTAAATGACGACTCATTGGTCTAGTAGCTAGTACCCCTGATTCCATGGGTCCCGGGTTCGATCCCCGGCTGAGACGAACATCGATGTGATGACCATTTGGTGTTGTGCTTAGGTCTTGGGTGTTTAAATATGTATTTATATGTCTATCTATCTATAATATGTATGTATATCCGTTGCCTAGTATAACACAAGCTTAATATTTTATAACGAATGTACACTGTATTTGTAAATGACGACTCATTGGTCTAGTGGTTAGTACCCCTGATTCCATGGGTCCCGGGTTCGATCCCCGGCTGAGACGAACATCGATGTGATGACCATTTGGTGTTGTGCTTAGGTCTTGTTTGTTTAAATATGTATTTATATGTCTATCTATCTATAATATGTATGTATATCCGTTGCCTAGTATAACACAAGCTTAATATTTTATAACGAATGTACACTATATTTGTAAATGACGACTCATTGGTCTAGTAGTTAGTACCCCTGATTCCATGGGTCCCGGGTTCGATCCCCGGCTGAGACGAACATCGATGTGATGACCATTTGGTGTTGTGCTTAGGTCTTGGGTGTTTAAATATGTATTTATATGTCTATCTATCTATAATATGTATGTATATCCGTTGCCTAGTATAACACAAGCTTAATATTTTATAACGAATGTACACTGTATTTGTAAATGACGACTCATTGGTCTAGTGGTTAGTACCCCTGATTCCATGGGTCCCGGGTTCGATCCCCGGCTGAGACGAACATCGATGTGATGACCATTTGGTGTTGTGCTTAGGTCTTGGGTGTTTAAATATGTATTTATATGTCTATCTATCTATAATATGTATGTATATCCGTTACCTAGTATAACACAAGCTTCACCAGCTTAGCTTAAGACTAGGTTAATTGGTCTGAATTGACTTTAAAAAAAAATGTTTTTGTACATTGTGGTCTGCACGGATACAGGCAGTAAAGTGAGGAATTGGAAAAGTGCTATGCGCAGGGGCCTTAGTCAAGATGCCTTAACAGTAGTGTATGTTGAAAGTCAAAAACGAAATTTGTATGAAAACTTTTCGACACGAACTGTCATTTCCATACAAATTTAGTTTTCGACTTTCTACATACACTACTGTTAAGGCATCTTGACTAACCCCCCAGGGGACAGAAGTGACCCGTCACATATTAAAATGATGCAAATATTTATTAATTCGAATTCAAAATCAATTATTCATTTAGGTAACACAATGTACACTTATGAACGTCTTTAAATAAATACATATTACCGGTCCACCCATTTATTGCATTACGGCTTTGTCGAGAATGATTCGATCGTCTTGTTCGTAGCATTGTTAATGATAATATCGGCACGATAAGCTAATAGAAACTCGAAATAAACACATCACAGATCAACTTCAAAACTAATTCTCAAATTTTCAATCATACTTAACCATAGACAACATTACGTTTAGCTGTCAGTTGCGTTTTGTGTGTCTATGCCAGTCTCCTGGTTCTAAGCTAACTCCCCACCAATTTTCAGTCAAATCGGTTCTACCGTTCTTGAGTTATAAATAGTGTAGTGGAAAATGTGGGTTGCCAGTCTTTGAGGGAGGGGAGGCACTATTTTACCGACTTGTAATAAAAGTGTTTTATTACTTCCTATTACAGATATAAGTAACTTTATATATTTCCCATTAAATCGTCCAACGAACCAAGCTGAGTTAATAGACCTTATACAAGGTTGCGATTGGGAGAATCTGGACCAGCTGGACTTATCGCACAATCGCCTTACGTAAGTACTTACGTGTGACCCAAAACCTCGACGTCCGCCGTTCCACAACTGAGCGTTTTTCAAGGCAGTTTTTGCCGCGCACCACCACTATGTGGAATCAGCTGCCCACTGAAGTATTTCCGAACCAATTCGACTTAGGGTCCTTCAAGAAAAGAGCGTACCAATTCTTAAAAGGCCGGCAACGCACTCGCGAGCCCTCTGGCATTGAGAGTGTCCATGGGCGGCGGTATCACTTAACATCAGGTGAGCCTCCTGCCCGTTTGCCCCCCGTTCTATAAAAAAAAACCTCTCACTCATGGGACAGACATATTCCGATTATCTTGCCGCTTTTCACTGACCGACTTCAAGAAGAAAGGTTATCTGTTTGATCTTTATTTTTCTGTAATGTTCGAATTGTATGCTTGTCCTCAAATATCTCAATCATGTCGAGGTCTATGATTTATATCAAATGTCATGTTGTTTTATTTACGGGAATTTGAAATCGGTTAAGTTTTTTAGATTACTTCAATTGTTTTCTGTAGTTTTTTAAAGCAGCTAGTAGCTTCAGCGTACGACTCTGATCTTTGAGGTCGTAGGTTCGAACCCCGGCTGTGAACCAATGGGCTAAAAGGTTGTAAAGATATAAAAGGTTGTAGCTAGTTTTATAAAGTAAGTTTTGAATAACTATCAGCTTTTCATTTCAAAGTTATTGAACTTGGAAAATTTCAATAACTGAAATGAAAAGTTTATTTCCTACCTTTTAAAATGCAGTAAAGAGTCTACCCTCAATTAAACTTCATTATTTTTTTAGATCCATACAGGATTTTGACCTCGTATCAAAATTACCAAAATTGCTACACTTAGACCTCTCATATAACTTACTGGATAATATTCAATCAGTGTTGCCATTGCGAGGTTTAATGTTGCAATCGTTATCGCTGGAAGGAAATCCATTATGTTTGAATTATGTGGACGGAGATTATTATATAAAAGTTTTTAGGACACTGTTCCCGTGTTTGAGAAAATTGGTAAGTTTTTTATTTTGTTTCTGAATTTTATCTGAATCACACCCTTAATATGACTGTCGTAACGTCACTGTAGAATGATAACCTCGTATATCAAAAAGCTATTTATTTTTTATTCTTAGACTCTTATGTCATTTAACTGGCATAATCATGAAGTAAGGACTTATTTATGTTATTAAAAAATACGTCCTTTTTACCATCTAAAACTATGGACAAAAACACATATAAATATACACAATATTCACCTACATTCTCAAATACATGCGCATACACACCTATTCACACACTCACTCATTCACTTCATTTGTAACACTAAATTTATAACTATATATATTTTATTATCATCTTTTTTTAACTAATTTAAACATGTACCACGTAATTATTGTTTTTTAATTACCCAAAACACAGGACCTCCCTAGTGTGGGGACTAGCGATATATGAATTCTGTCACAAACCCTTTTGTCATAAATAAAGTTTTTATTATTTATTTATTATTATTATTATCAAATATATTTACGAACATTGACGAAATGAATCCTTTCTTTCGTTTCCTGTAATGTTTGGTTCTCTGTGCTTGTTCGACAGTATGCCTATAATACAAGTTTTTTTAGTTAATTTGACGTCATTGCGCTCGAGTATTGTCCTCCTGTCAAGCGTCGACCCGCGCTTACATATTACAAATTTGTAATTTATTTTTGAAGTTATACTTCTTTAGGCGCGTTATGAAAAATTTACGAGAGTGAAATTTTACGATGCGCGCGCACCGTGATACGAAATTAACAGAATGAAGTTGCCCACGGAGGTGCTACGGCATTGGACATAATTTAAAAACAACATTCGAATAATAATAGAATTTATCTAACAGAATAATAATAAATATTTATTTATTAATTTGTAAAATGTAAACTGAACTTTATTGACTATAATGACTCCTTTTCCAGTCTTTGATTATTTAATTGTAATTAATTATTTGCATGCAATCAAAAACTATTTTTAATAATGCCAAAGAAGTATAACTTCTTATGCGCGTACATAAGTACACGCACCCTTTTTTAATACATGTGTCTTCACTGACACATCATGTAACATTACGATCTCACCTAACTTAAGACTATTAAATAATTTAAGTCAAACCAAATTTTTACTAATAAGGATTTTTAACATAAAAAAGTGTCCAATAACACTTACACTCTCTATTAAAGGGAAGACACTCTGTTCTTGTGTTCTTTTTATTCAGTTACCACTTAGTGTTAGTGAACTTACACTAGATCAAATGGTTTTGTCCTTTTCAATCTTCTCATTAGGCCCGTGGTATCAAAACTAATTTACTAATAAGGATTTTTAACATAAAGAAGTGTCCAATAACACTTACAGTCTCTATTAAAGGGAAGACACTCTGTTCTTGTGTTCTGTTTATTCAGTTACCACTTAGTGTTAGTGCACTTACACTAGATCAAATGGTTTTGTCCTTTTCAATCTTCTCATTAGGCCCGTGGTATCAAAACTAATTTACTAATAAGGATTTTTAACATAAAGAAGTGTCCAATAACACTTACAGTCTCGATTAAAGGGAAGACACTCTGTTCTTGTGTTCTGTTTATTCAGTTACCACTTAGTGTTAGTGCACTTACACTAGATCAAATGGTTTTGTCCTTTTCAATCTTCTCATTAGGCCCGTGGTATCAAAACTAATTTACTAATAAGGATTTTTAACATAAAGAAGTGTCCAATAACACTTACAGTCTCGATTAAAGGGAAGACACTCTGTTCTTGTGTTCTGTTTATTCAGTTACCACTTAGTGTTAGTGCACTTACACTAGATCAAATGGTTTTGTCCTTTTCAATCTTCTCATTAGGCCCGTGGTATCAAAACTAATTTACTAATAAGGATTTTTAACATAAAGAAGTGTCCAATAACACTTACAGTCTCGATTAAAGGGAAGACACTCTGTTCTTGTGTTCTGTTTATTCAGTTACCACTTAGTGTTAGTGCACTTACACTAGATCAAATGGTTTTGTCCTTTTCAATCTTCTCATTAGGCCCGTGGTATCAAAACTAATTTACTAATAAGGATTTTTAACATAAAGAAGTGTCCAATAACACTTACAGTCTCGATTAAAGGGAAGACACTCTGTTCTTGTGTTCTGTTTATTCAGTTACCACTTAGTGTTAGTGCACTTACACTAGATCAAATGGTTTTGTCCTTTTCAATCTTCTCATTAGGCCCGTGGTATCAAAACTAATTTACTAATAAGGATTTTTAACATAAAGAAGTGTCCAATAACACTTACAGTCTCGATTAAAGGGAAGACACTCTGTTCTTGTGTTCTGTTTATTCAGTTACCACTTAGTGTTAGTGCACTTACACTAGATCAAATGGTTTTGTCCTTTTCAATCTTCTCATTAGGCCCGTGGTATCAAAACTAATTTACTAATAAGGATTTTTAACATAAAGAAGTGTCCAATAACACTTACAGTCTCGATTAAAGGGAAGACACTCTGTTCTTGTGTTCTGTTTATTCAGTTACCACTTAGTGTTAGTGCACTTACACTAGATCAAATGGTTTTGTCCTTTTCAATCTTCTCATTAGGCCCGTGGTATCAAAACTAATTTACTAATAAGGATTTTTAACATAAAGAAGTGTCCAATAACACTTACAGTCTCGATTAAAGGGAAGACACTCTGTTCTTGTGTTCTGTTTATTCAGTTACCACTTAGTGTTAGTGCACTTACACTAGATCAAATGGTTTTGTCCTTCTCAATCTTCTCACTAGGCCCGTGGTATCAAGATGTTTAGAAGACAAAAACGCTTGGCAATAGTTCTAATTATATTGTTATCTTTGAAGTGATGTGAATATGTGTGGTGACTGTGGTAAATCACAGAACAGATTTTTTTTTACTTATGTAACTTTAATGACGTTGTGGTTTATGACATTTTGCTTTGAATAATTGTAATGTAGAGGGAGGGTAGAACTTGCTGAGTTTCTTGCCCATTCTTCTCAGAACAAGGCCTCCTGGTAGTTTTGCGAACGGATGGCGTAGTCTTGCTCTTTCGCGAATTTTGTAAACGTTTTTGACATTCATAAGCATGCCCTAAGACGCATCTAAACTTAATAAACGTATTTTGATTGGTTGCCTAGCCTTGACATTCAAATTTGTATCTTAATCATGGAAACTGGACTCTGCGCCAGTGAGAGTTGATAACAATACTAGATTTTTGTCTATTTCACTGGATGATACACCAAAAACCGTCTCGATGGAATGCTTTTATATATATCAAGAACACAAACAGAATTTTAGTAATGAAATTTTCAGGACGGCGTCTCCATTCAAAGAGGACATCGAATGCCGGAATTGAAACCATGCTATTGTTTGATTGACGCTAAACCGTTAGTTGAGAAGTTTGTGAGCTACTTCTTTAGGCTTTTGGACCTTGAGCCGGACAAACGAAATCCTATACAGGAAATGTATCATAAAGATGCAGTGTTGACTATTACCAGTAAGATTAAATTACGTAAGTAAAACCCATACGTATTAGCTAAAAAAACAGTGGCGCTACAATCTTTTTAGGTCTGGGCCTCAGATTTTTGTATCCTACCTAGGTAACACTGAAAATGTTTAGAAAATGTGAAACGGCTTAATGTAGAAAGTTGCCAATACTTTTATTGTATTTCGAAGTAATCTCCGTTCCTATCTACACATCGTCGCACTCTATGGAACCACTGAGAAAAGCAGAGGGCCTATTCTTCCTTAGGGGTCTCTTCTATGGCATTTTCGTACGCTTTCACCGCATCTTCAGAAGTCGTAAAGCGAATACCTCGAACTTTGTCTTTAGTTATAGGTTCAAAAAAAATTGATTTCAAAAAAGTTTTCATTAGCAATGATTCTAATTCGGCCAATTCTAAACATTTTCAGTGTTACCCACGAATTAGATTTCATGATCAGGTTTCATGATCGTTTGTCAATCTAATAAACAAGTAGGTTATCAGTCTTGTGTCTGACACACGTCGTCTTATTGGGTCTAAAACAAGGTTTCCTCACGATTTTTTCACCGTTCGAGCGAACGTTAAATGCGCAAATAGAAAGTCCATTGTTGCACAGCCGGTAACGAACCTATGACCTCAGGGACGAGAGTCGCACGCTGAAGCCACTAGGCCAACACTGCTATAATAATAGCTAGCTATAAACATGACAGCTAAGGGTTAAATATTATACATAAATGTAGATTTTTCAAAGATTTATATTTGGGAATTTCACTGCGTTTATATTTTAGCCTCATTATCAGTGGTAAGCCAGTTCTACAGATAATGTTTAATTCCCGAATAGGGGCTGTTCAAGTATTACGTAAGAATATTTACTGTAATTTATCCCCCCTTCCTCTTGACAGCAAAAGTAAGCAAAGCTCTCAAAAATTATAGTACATAAACGTATTTATTGTTTGTAGGAATCTTCGAAAATGCATTTCGTTCTCAAGCATAGACAATGTGTGTATGTGTAAAAAAGTAAATAATTACTGTAGATGTAATTCCCTCCCCCCTATAGTGCTTATGTAATACGTGAACGGCCCCATAATGTCTCTATTAGAAAAATCGCCATAACTTTGAAAGTTATGTGTTTGGCACGTATCGCCTCGGATAGGCAAATCTGTAGCTCCGTGCCTACTCATAATACTGTGGTAATCTATACTATGAAAAATATGAAATAGAGCACTTAAATATAACATCTATGCTATTCCAAATTATCAAACATTAAACAAAATGTATTTTGTAAAAGTAATTTGCAGAAAAGAACAGATTGTGATAGGAACTAATAATAATAATAAACTAAAATATTACGATTTTTTTTCCAGATTTAATATAAAAATTTACAAATTTAATTTAAATCGTGACTACTTAATTCGTTTAATCAGTGACTTCGAAATACACACACCGTACTTACTACTGCATATAGACTGTATATATATACCATCATATAGCGTGGCGTCGCGTCGCCACGGCATGCGTCGCCACGCCAGAAATCGGTTTCACGTGCGGCTATAGATGTTTCACATCAAAATACAAATATTATGTCTTTCGCTGATATGCCTCTCTAATTACGTTTTTTATGCGACCAACTCGAAGTAAAGAACGTTAATTTTTAAACTAAGTTTCTTTAAGGTTACAATCACGAATACAGCCTCGTACGTCAGCTGTTCATTCGCAGCCGTTGCTTAGCGGAAGGTAATTATGACTTCGTTCAAGGTTCGGAAAAAATCGGTAAATTGATACACAAGTGGCCGCACCTTCGACACGATATACATTCCTTTAACATCGACGTTATGATGCATACGGTAAGTAAGACTTATATTCGTTGTATTTTGAATTACATTGAACAATTAAATGCAAATACACAATAATAATAGGTAAACAAATAATGCTTCTAAATTTACTTTTGTTTGCGAGAACTGACAATAAACCACGTCGCTATTTTAAATCGCCAAGTTGTTTTTATTGTTAGAAGCTGCAACATTCATGCGATTTTAAATACGATATAATAATCTTAATATATATAAATTACGCGTCACGTTGTTTGTCCGCTATGGACTCCTAAACTGCTGAACCGATTTCAATCAAATTTGCACACCGTGTGCAGTGTTTTCTATTGCAAATTATTTGTTTATTATTTGACAGTCACAAATCTATGGCGCTGTGTTGAAAGTACCAACGTTTCACATAAGCTACAATTTAATGGCATAACCACCAAAAAATCATGTTGATCCCCATGACTCTTACTGTTTCCCTTGGATAGTTAATACTATGTAATGTAACAAAAACCTTAGCCATAGCGCTTGGCCGAGTCTACTAGTAATAATATAAATAGTTACAGTAAAAAAAATTGCGGCGCTAAAACCCTAGGCCCTATAGTGAGTTCTGTATCAGTTGTCTCTTCATTGATTTTTTTCTTATAAGCAAGTATGCTTTTTATAAATCTGACGATTATTTAAATGATTCTTATCCTTATTATTTACTGCATTTCAAATATTTATGTCTGCTCTGCCTTATAAACTTGACGATTAAAAATAGTGGCGGTGAGTTTCTTGCCAGTTTTTATCGCGACTTGCAAAAGGTTGTAAATGTAAATTTAGAATCAATTTATGTCAAATTGATTCTAAATTTTCTTTTCTGTTGACATTCTTAAGTGCACTTGGTTACCTATATGAATAAAGTTATTTTGAGTTTGAGTTTAAGCTTTCTGTGCGAGTGTTAAATGCGCACATAGTAAGGCCAAGACAGCTGCAGTTTGATACTACGACTTGCCAACACTGCTTTAGCTTAGCTTTCAAAATTGTTATTGAAAAAAATAAACATTGGTAATAAGTAATGTTATATTAAAAATAAAATAAATCAGTGGCGCTACAACCTCTTTAGGTCTTGGCCTCAGATTTCTGAATCTGTTTCATGATCATTTTTAAATCTAATAGGCAAGTAGGTGATCAGTCTCCAGTGCCTGACACACGCCGTCGACTTTTTGGGTCTAAGACATGTCGGTTTCCTCACGATGTTTTCCTTCACCGTTTGAGCAAATGTCAAATGCGCACATGGAAAGAAAGTCCATTGGTGCCGCCGGGGATCGAACCTACGACCTCAGGTATGAGAGTCGCACGCTGAAGCCACTAGGCCAACACTGCTCATGTTATATTATTTTTTATTATAAAATCGTCGAATTTGCTTAAACATCTAAGTGTAGGTGATCCTAACTTCATGATTGGTCTAAAGATCGGTAGCGCCTCGTACCTGAAAAATGGCCGTCCCGAGCAGATATGCATACAATAGTACACATTATGTACTGTTCGAGTACATCTATTCTCGTATAATAGTAATGTACTTATGATTAAAAAAAGTTCCGTTTGAACACTGGAATCTAGGCCCCTTAGTTGAGATGTATTCAAGAGGCCCAATGCTTAACCACACCAATATATATATTTATTTATTGATTTATCATATAATACTTGAACTATCGTCGTATTTAAATTTATATAATCAAAATTTATAATATTGGATTTTGACATTTGAGAGTTCGATAGTCGTTTCTGAATATTGGTATCTTGCTTATCAAGATTTTAAGTCAATTATAAATTTCTCTAGGAAACACAAACTCTACTCCGAATTAATGGTATTGTTAGTACAAGCACCGAGTCGTTGGCTGATGATGAGAAGGTCTTAGCGTTCACAAGAACTGTCCTACTTGTATGCGAGGACGGGATTGAGTACAAGATCTATAATGAGATGCTGTATTGGGATGAAGCTACAAAGGAATGTGCCGCAAACGCCTTCAGAGTTGCCATTGTGAGTATTATCTCAAAAACAATCGCTCAAGTACAAATTTTTATTGAAGTCCGTGTAACAATAATATTTTTACCGTGCATAGATACTATAAAAAAAAACGAAAATTAATCAACAAAGCTTTTTATAAATTTGAGGACTACTTAAATGATCCTAATCCTTGGGATTGAATTGCTCCAGTTCAAACAATTTGTATGACAATACTTGGCGATTAAAAAGAGTGGCGGAAAGTTTCTTGCCAGTTCTTCTTACCCGCTCTACGCCCTTGACTTGCGAACTGGTAGTAAATGTAAATTTACGATTAATTTAACTTGACGATTCAAAACTGTACTTGGTTACCCACTTGAATAAAGATATTTTGAGTTTGAGTTTATAAGTTTTTGAAGACTAATACATTTGCCAGTCACTGTAAAAATAGTTAGAGCTAGATTTTTGTGTATCAAAAGATTTATAATCCTTTATCGTTAGTACTTGACAATTTTTGTATTTTAAGACATGCCAGATTTCTTACTGTTTACCTTCGTACGTAGCCGGGGTTCGTACGCACTACACTTAAGCTAAGCTAAAACTGGTCCAGAGTAAATTATCTGAACGCCATAACCACATAGGTACTTATACTTGTTATTTATTTATTTTACAATACAATAAAAGCTTACATGTAGGTACATGCAATAATAATAATAACGGATTTTACAATATACAGTATTTAATGGGAAGATAAGCGCATGCTTTATACGTTATTGATAAATAACTATTTATTTATGCTTATATCAACTAAATGAGTTTTTATTTCTTTTAAAGGCCTCAATTTTGATAAAATAAAACTAGTAGAACAAAGGCATTGACAAGATTTTTTTTTTCAATGTAAAACAATAAACTTTCTAAAACGCTTAATATTTCTAGTGATTAGCAAGGATGTTCGCATAAAACGCATTTTATTTTCTTGTAGATATGAAGAATGTATATATAAAATCTATTGACTCGTAGTATTATTAAAATTGTGAGTGTGGATTTTTTATAAAATGCATTTAATTATTACTATCAATTTAATTATTAATATTATTACTATATTATCATTTTATTATAATTGAAAAAAGTTTATATTGTATTGTTTAGTATTGCTTAAGAATTTTCATTAAATTATGTTTGAGTGGTCTTAAGGTCAAGTTAAGACTAAAAATAAAGTTTAAATAGTAAAAATACTTTATTAATTGCAACTTAGGACATATCAACTACATTATGTACACACAATCACTGTAAGATATTTTTGGGGTAAAAAGTTTATATTATAAGGCTAAGTCTTAAGGCAAAACGTCAAATTATTAAAACTGATCATGACATATAAATAATTTGATAAAAAAAACAGAATGTGATGCATGTATGAGACTAAATCAGTATGCTACACAGTGTCCATACACTCCTCGTTTGTTGGTTCAGTCTCCATTTCCATCTCTTTCTCATCAATACCCTCTGCATATTTTAATCGTAGTTTGTCATAATGTTCCCGCTCCTTTTGTGAAACTGAAGGTTTACATTTGCTCAATGCAGCTCTAAAGTCATTAAAAGTAACAAATATATCGCCCTCCAGGGTTCCATTTGTTATATGCGTTGTCAATGAGTTGGTTGCAGCTGCTCGTAGTAAACCAGACAAATCTGCACCAGTATAGCCCTCAGTTAAATCTGCAAGGACTTGCAAATCTACATCGGGTCCTAACTTTGGCTTAGTCCCACATTTAGTAAGCTTCTCGAGAATGTCATGTCTGTCATTCTTTGCTGGCATGCCAACATACATAATACGATCTAGACGTCCTGGTCGTAATACAGCTGGATCAATAATATCTGGCCGATTTGATGCAGCAAGTACAAAGACACCTTCTCGGCTCTCAATACCATCCATTTCAGTTAGCAATTGATTGACAACTCTTGTTGAGCCATTGTTATCGTGGGAGCTTCGCCTTGGACATAAGGCATCAAATTCATCAAAAAATATAACACATGGAGCAGAGTTCCTTGCTCGTCTGAAACATGTTCGTACAGCTCTTTCACTCTCACCTACATACATGTTCAGCAGCTCTGGTCCTTTGACAGAAATAAAATTGACCCCAGCTTCGTTTGCAACTGCCTTTGCTAATAAGGTTTTACCACACCCTGGTGGACCACAGAGTAGGACACCACTTGGTGCAGCCAAGCCTAGCTTTTTCATTTGTTCAGGGTACTTCACAGGAGCTAATACAGCCAACTGTAAATCTTTTCTAACCTGGCTTAAAGATCCCACGTCATCCCATGTGACATCAGGTACTGTAACAATACCTTCTCTGACAGCACAAGGTTTTGTTGTTTTAAGTGCCTTAAGGAAATCTTCTTGGCTCAGTGCAAGGCCTTGAAGTTTGTCAGATGAATACGGAGTAGTATTTTCTAATAAATCTAAGACTTCAGCTACAGGATCAATTTCAATGTTGGGTTCATCAATATTATTGCTTTCTTGTATGGGCACAACAGCACCTTCAATGTTAGGCTCCTGTGGAACTGCCTCATTACTTTGCAGAGGTGGTTGAACATCAGATGTGTTTTTTTCTGAATCTCCAGTCTCGTCTGCTGTTACATTTGATGTAGGTTCTTCTACTTTTTCCCCATTTGGTATAGTATCTTTTGAAATTTCACTGGTGATATTTGCTATAGTTTTTTTAGTTTGTTCTTTTTCTAATTGTTGAATATCTTTGAATATCCTTTTTACTGCATAAGTACTTGCTTTATTTACTAATGCTTGTAAATCAGCTCCCACAAAGCCTGGTGTAACTTGAGCTAAAACATTCATATCCACTTCTTCACTCAGTGATAAGTTTTTACATAAAATTGTAAGGATTTCTTTTCGGGCTTTTAGTGTAGGAATACCTAATGTTATTTCTTGTTCAAGACGACCCGCTCTTCTTAAAGCTGGATCTAAAGTATCAGGATTATTTGTTGCTGCCAGCACTAAAACACATGAATTTTCCTCAGCTAAGCCATCTAAACATGCCAATAATTGGGCCACCATTCTCTTTTCCATATCTTTTTGAGCATTTATTCTATTTCCACAAACAGAATCAATTTCATCAATAAATAATATGCAAGGTGATTCTGAAACAGCCCGATCAAAAAGCTCTCTTATCCTCTCTTCAGATTCTCCTGACATTCCACCCACTAATTCAGTTCCACTAACTGCAATGAAGGGTAATTGTAATTTACCAGCTATAGCATGGGCTAACAATGTTTTACCTGTCCCAGGTGGCCCGTGCAATAATGCCCCTCGGGGACTCTTTATACCTAACTTTGTATACACTTCAGGATGCTTCATATGTAAAACCAAATCGCAGATCTGTGTTATTGTCTCTGACAAACCCCCAACATCTTCAAAACCAACTTTAACATTCTTTGGTATGCCAATCTCAAATTTCTTTTTTGTAGCTACACTTTTTGTATCTGGTTTACGCTTTTTGTCTGCTGGGTTAGAAACTACAGGTTTTTGAGGTGCTTCTGAGGTATTATTTGTTTTACGAACCGGAATATGTGGGGTTATGGTTATTTGATCATTGATTTTTGGAAGTTTTGGCGCCGCACCACCCTCTTCGTCACTGCTTATTATATCGATAGGTTCACCAGATTTATCCGTCTGGCGTCGAGAAGAAGCCGATCGCTTTTTGTCTTGCATATTGTACATTGTTAGTAAACGGTCGTTTAAGGCGCTGTTGTTATCGTCCAACAGCTCCAAATCGGACTCTTCCTCTGATCCTTCCGATGTGGATGCTCCGTCTAAACCGTAACTCTGTAGCACTACTTTATAAGCACTTTCGACCATCTGACAGAAAGCGTTGTCGCTCCTATTGTTATATTCGCGATATCGCTCTTTGAGTGACCGCGCCATTTGACTAACATCCACAAATGTTTTATCGACATTTTCCGCTAAGTAGTTCTTTACACGTGAAACAATTACTGGGTCGTTTACCGTCTTTTGTCTGGTTTGATGTTTTTTCATTTTAACAAGTTATGTTTTCTGTGAAAAGTTATAATTGAAATGTAAAATGAACCCACGCCGTTTAAGAGTCTAACACACAAGTCGTAGTTTGATTATTTGACAGTAGTTGTTTGATGCGAAATTTTATTACAATTGGACGTGACATTGACAGTTCCGACTTAACATCGGGCGGCATAGACAAGTCAATATGTTTTTTTTTTTCATAATTTTATGGCCTGGTAACAAGACCTTTAAGCCAAGTCAATATGTTGAGTTATGACGAACAAGTAAATTTACTGAAATGTTTTTTTTTTTAATTTTAGGTTCAAGATAAAACACCAAGTTGGAAATTTGAGGGTCCCTTAGATGACGAGAGCAAGAGTAGTCTAATAAACGTTTTCTCTAAATTAACTGGTTTGAATTCTTGTCAAAGTTCAAGGTAAATATAAACAAAATTCGAATAGACCATATACTTACTTGTTGTAAGTATATGGTCTATACGAATTGAAAAAACTATTCTGTGTAATGTTTTCATAAAATCTTATATTTCCGATACCAATGATTGTTATATTATAATGAAAGCCAGTTTTATACTAACCATATTACCATAAATATTATTAAAATGAAACCCTAGTTTCGCAAACGCGAGAGTATATTTTTTGACTCAGTTTTTAAATTAATTTTAATGACTAGTAATTAATGTACTGTTATAAATCATATAATTCTGTTACAGGTGCTTGGAAGAAAAAGACTGGGATTTAAAAATAGCTCTAGAATACTTTTCGAAATTACTTAAATTAGATAATATTGAATGTCTAGCAAATTAATGAAATTTCGTTACCCACCTAAACTGAAATCAAAAATAAGCTACTACAATAATTTTTTTAAAGGCTTATGTTATGCAATAGTAGAAATTAAAGTATCACAAATGTATAATTAAGATCATAAATTATGAAAAAAAATATTAGTATTGTTAAGGAAACTGTTATCATACCTTCCATTGAACAAAAATATAAAATCTCTAAATCACCCTAGTCCATATAGAAACGATGAAAATAGGGTTTTATGCATTAAACTTAAAATGATTGTTTCCACTATTGTGTGATGTACATGTTTGTTACTACAAAACAGATTTCAATGCAATTGTATTGTAATTATTATTTTTAAACCTATAAATAACATAGTAATTTTATTCATACATTTAATTACTTTAATGACAGTCTCAGTACAAAATCAAGATTAATAAAACTTATGGGTAAATTTTAAAATTTCAGTTGTATAAACATATTATAAATACTAAAGAATTTCAAGTTTTTAGTAATTGTTTTATTTATACAATCATCTCGAGGTGTCTAGCATATTCAATGGTTTGTTCAGCAAGATCTGACGAAGGAAATACGCCAGCAGCTGCTGCACAACTTTCTTCAGCTGCATTGAACTGGTAGCAGTTGTCTGACCCGAGGATCCAGTTACGCTAAAAGTATAACATTGAAAATGGCTATTTTTAAAATTTGTGTATTTTAATTTTTTAACCATAACATAATTGAAATATAAAATTATTAGAAAATGGTAATATTTCCTAATATACATATTTGATATCTAAGCGGACTATTTTTCTGAAGGGGTCTACGATATTGGTTATAAACATGGTTACAAACACTATCTTGAAATTTACTTACCCTCTTGCCATATTCAAGTACAGCCTGCTGTGTGGTCAAGTTCAACCTTCGAGCAGCCTCAGCACAAGGTATCTTCAGATAAGCCTTTTCAATACAAGCTGCTATTTCCCCACGCACTGTATCTAAGAGAGTATCCATGAAAAATGTATAACTCTCTGCTGGTACATTGTCCTAAAAACATGAAAGTACTTTAAACATAATTGTAACTTTTAAAATGAATTAACTAATGATTTAACAAACCTTTGCCAAAAATATTTTATTGTAACTTCCTTCCATGAGATATTGCTCCAAAGCTAGAGGATGTTTTACATAAGGGTCAGCTCTGATCACATCAACAGGCAGTCTTTCCAATTCTGTATGAAACTCTGCAACTCTATTTTGAGCGAGGAGAAATAGCAGATTTAAACCTAAGAGTTGGTACATAAAAGCTGACTCTGGTAAGTGATCTCTGAAAAATGATAAAGGTCAGATAAGTCTTGTATTCTTTAAAGGGAAATATATAAATACATTGTTTTATACTTATAAAAATATATTAAAGCTTACTTGTAATCAAAATAATAGCATTTTAACTGAGACATGTATCTCTCAAAAGCTTTAACATCTTTAACAGCCACCGCCCATTGTGCTCCAATTTCAAGAACATCTCTAGCAAGTATTAACTCTTTCTGGTTAGCCTGTGTGTTATTACTGGGTAAAAATGTTAGATTGGTCAGGGCAATCTGAAATTAAACTTTATTTTAAAATTTGTAAGTAGGTATGCAGCAATACTGTATTTGAGACAATACGTCTCAACCGACGGATATTCCTTCTAGTTTTTAAAACTAATTTTTGTAAGATAAGCAACCATGCTTTAAATAAAGTTCACACTCTTGAATTCACCTAAGTTTTGTTATGGAATTGAAGAATCGCTAAGTCATCATCACCTTAATTTTATTAAGAAGTTCACCGCATTTGTCCAACTTGCGTGGTTTTTTGGCCCATTCCGTTTTTAAATTTTGATACAAAGATGCAGCGTCTTTAATTGAAGTCATTTTAAACGAATTACTTTAAATTATCTAAGGATGTTCCACTAAAACTATTGCTTTGTAGTTTTTTTTTCCTTTATGGCTCGCTTCGTAGTTATTCGGGACTTCTTGTTTGTCCCACAGATTTTGGTTTGTCCACAGATGAAATAAAGGTGGAGGTTCTCTTTGATTTTTACTTTTCTTGAAACTTGTTAAGAAGAATTAAGAATAAAAGAATTAAAAAAAAAGTAAGTTAAAGAATTCTAGCGGCATCTCATGGCAAACAGGGAAATAAAATAAATTGTGGGCAATACTGGGGAAATTGGATTAAATGATCTTGATTCTGTTTTATTTTTATTTGTCTTTAGTATTTGTGAACATGAAGTAGGTTAGTTATTTGTATGAAGAATGTTTTTATACATCAGGTTCTTAAGATTGGAAAATATTTAATGAAAAATAAATCAATCGTAAATTACTTTATGTACTAATTTTCAACCATACAAATAAAACTTCATTCAGAACTAGAAAAAAAAATCGCGTTTCTGAGTCTTGTTTTCAATTTTGTTTACATGTTCACAAAATTTTCGCCAATCCTCTGCACCAATTTGTGAGAAAGCTTTTTCTCTTAATAATTTTATGTCACTTGCAGGTCTATTTAAATTTTTATCAGTTGTTGTTAAAACTGTTGGCTTCATTATACCCCAAATAATTTCTATGGGATAAAATGTGCAATGATAAGGTTCATAACCGTGCAATTTTATACTTCATATATCTCATAGAAGGGCGCAGACATGTTTTGTTTCACTACTTCAAGTAATTGTCATTTACGCCAAACATCATCATAATGTAAATCATTTGCACGGAACCATTATTTTATATCAGCGATACGATTGGCTTGTGTGGGTGGTTTGTTTAAGCGTACGGAACGATAACTAGAATTATTCATTACATTTCTCTAAAAAAAATACTGCATAAATAAAACATAAATATATAATTATAATTGCATAAGTGGATAAAAATGCTATGCTATAGCTTCACCGCGGCAGTCCCCAAGTGCTACACGTTTTTTATTTATACTAATTTTTTGTACAATTTAAATAATAATATTAACAATAAACTTAAAAAAAATGGTGGAACGGGTGACCTTAACGCTACTAAGCGATCTCTTCCTTCCTCTTGTTTAGTCTTCTGGTCTGCTACCCTGTCTAGATTAAATATCATATGAAATCTAAGAAGATTTAACTGTGGTATTTGAAACTGATATAAAATATAAAAACTTAAAATAACTCATTTACAGAATTAGAAAAACATTTTATCTGAAGATACCTGGCAGCATACTAAAAATGTAATTTTATATTATATCAGAGAAAAGATTTTGTAAGTAATCAAATATAAAGAATGCTTCTGCTTTCTTTTCGATATTTTTAGTTACTTCATAGAGCATAGCAAAAATCATCTACTGGCATTGTTATAGTAAAATTCGATTTCGTTTCGTCTTTGTATTTCAATTACCGCTACAACTAAATTCTTGAAAAAAATCAGTTGTCTGTAAAGTCGGTTTACTGACGATAGTTGAACGTGACAACGTCATAAGAAAATACTGATGGAATGTTGCGGACACATCGCTCACTCATGTAGGAGAGATACAGATGTCGAACGCTGTCGAATGCGGAGGCCGATTGTACCTCTTTGTCGCTCGTTCCGCGCTCTCGCTCGTGCGTGCAGCGGGCTCCATCAGAATTATTATAAGACGTCACGTCTAAAATCAGTATATCTATAAATTTTACTTTATCTTAGTCGGTGTCTGTTAAAATCTAATAGAGGTATAATATTATACATAAAAAAAACCCTATATGGGTATTCTTAATACATAAAAAAATCTTTATTAATCCTATGTCAGATTTTATTGTGATTCTGATTTTCCATGATACACCATGTAATAGCCATCGTGACGCTGACGACACAGCACGCAGAAGTCTATTCCTGCCTAATAGAATTCTAATATCTGTCAATGCCACAATGACAGATTTCATTTTTCAATAATATCTGACATTCTGATAATGGGCCGCGGCTGAATCAATTTTGCCGATTTTTACGGACAAAAGAAATAATGGTTTTATTATTATTAAAAAATATGCAAGATGTAGGGTATATTATTAAAAAATGAAATAGAATAATATAATTTTCAATATGAATTCATCATCAGTAGTGGCGTGCCGTGAGATTTTTGATGAAAACAGCCAACCATCAGCAGAGGGTTCGTATTGGATTTGTTTGTATTCCTTTAAATTAAATCAATAGTTTTTAATTTTTTAAATTGCTGATGATGACCAGTGTAGAGATAGAGAAAACAAGATTTTAACATTTACCTTTACTTGCATTCTTAGGTCTAGTTATCAGCATCTAGTAAGGAATTATATATTATTGCTATTGTTTTAATTGTTTTTATATAGAAATATCAGATTATGCCTGTCAGTTGGGAATTGATCCTGAGAGTGAAACCCATCTCTTACCTCTGGCCCGGGATGGGCTCATGCAAGCATTACCTCCTCCATGGAAGGCCTAGTAAGTTAATAAAGCTTTTTCATTTGTTATTTATATAGATCCTAGAGCCTTTAATTTTTGTGGCACTTATTTAGTATTAATTTCCTTTTATATAAACTTTATGGGAAAAATCTAATTTAAATCTTATTAGAATTACTATTTTTAGTATGTTGAAGTTATGGTGTGAGCTTAATTTTGTAATTTCTAATTAGTTTAAACTTTTCTATATCCACTAAAAATTATTCTTCTATCCATGAAATGGTCTCTGGATCTGGTTGAAATAGGCAGTGAGAAATAGTTTAAATTCTGAAATTATTAAGATTCAGAGTCCAAAGCTTAGCAGGATTTGTAAATCCCGTAAGTCAAAAAAGATGTTGGATTTTAAATATTGGAGTGTTAGTTCATGTTTTGATACTGAAACTTAACCTTAGTTTCTCTTCACCTTAATATCTGTGTTTATAACACTCACTAAACAATTTTTAGTTATAAGTATAATTTTTTGACTTTTTTTATATTTAAGCTTTGATGAGAAACTACAAAGCCATTATTACTACAATGAAGAGACAAAAAAGACCCAATGGGAGCATCCACTTGACCATGTCTACAGGGAGCTTGTGAAAAAAGCAAGAGATGCTTCCGTGTTAGATGATACTTGTGCATCTGTTCAGGTAACTAGGGTTGTAGTAATTGAGTAAAAAGGTTCATAGAGAGATTTGTAATGGTTGAATAAATATAAAAGCATATTGCAAATACAGTTTGAAATCAGTATGAGATGTCTAGTATTTTTTATGCCGTTTGGTGTTTGTGCTAATACTTTAATATTTTGGTATAAGCATGTTAAATAATATAAAGATAATGTCTAAAATACTTACTAGGATTGCAATCTGTGTTTGCCTATGAAATATAGTGGTTTGATTTTTAACTTAAAAAAACGAAATGAAACAGTTTTTTTAATATCATTTATACTTTATTAGCATGTAAATATCACAAATATCCGTAAATAAATAACTCATTGCCGCAATCTAGTTTCTTTATATTTATTCACCACCAATTCCAGGAATTACTAACATCTGAGGAAAACACAAAAAACCTAGAGAGAGTTGAAACTAAGGTTGAAAGCGATGAAGATGAATTAATAACAGATAGCGAAAACCATGCATCCGATGTTAAAGAAAATGCATTAATCCAAGGAATAAAGAGACCTATGGGCCGACCTCCTTTAGGTCCACTGTCAAGACTTGATAAGAAACTTGGAGATCTACGAATATCACCTTTGCGTCGGAGTGTAGACAGTTCAATATCGCCTAAACTGACTGCTACGAGGAATCCCTCTGAAAGAGATGTACTTAGTCGTCCAACCTTTGAAAGGCCTAAAACATTGTTTAAGCAGCAATCTGAAATAATTGACCTTAAAATGCATGTACTAACGAGTCCCGAAGAGGAAAATTTTAGTCCTTTGTTGTCGGCTAAAGTTGATAAAGGATTGCCCTTCACAGGTATAACATTACTGCTGTTTGCCTAAAAGTTTCATTACCGGCACAATAATAATAGTTTGTGTTTGAAGCCTCAAATGACTTCACATTAGCTCTAGCCAAGATCAAGTCTCTTAAGAAAAGAAAACCTTTGCCCCACAGAAATTAACATTAATAATATTGAGTTCATTATAAAAACTTTATCACAATTTTATATAACATTTATCTAATAACTATAGTAGAAATAAAAATAATTAACAACTTCTTTCGCAATTATTAAAATTACATTTATATTCTTATGAATTCAAATGTATTTTTTATTTAATAAATTTAACCATACTAGATTGGGATTTATTTGCTTGTCTTGTGATAACAAATGTAGGTTGGTTTTTAATTTTGATATTTTGTGAAATGTCTTACGATATATTTTAGTAAGCATAAACAATCTTGTATTAGTCTTCCTTCATCATTAGTAACAAATAATATATTTAATTCCATTAAAAACTAGTGTCCCCGCGAACTTCGTTTCGCCTTAATATGATTTTTTTACTTTGTCTACCATTTTAGTAGCTATATACCAAAATATGGAACATTTTGCTATGCTACCACAGAGACTGTTCGCTTATCCAAATTTTCGTTTATACTCCATAAAAACCTTCCTCAGTCAAGAACTACAAAAAAAAAAAAATATTGTCCGAATAGCTAAATTTTTTTATATACTATTACTAGAAGCACTACATATTAATAAGATAACATTTTCTTTGGATTGCTAAGTGTTAAGATAGTAATCGGCAATGTATAAAAAAAAAAATACTTTCAGGTAAAGGCAACATGTTTTTAAGAATATCCAGATCAAATCTCCCCAGTCCAGACACAGAAAAGTCTTCACATTTAGATTCTCTAACTAAAAGTGACCCGCCCAAGGGTATATTGCGGGAAAAATCATCGGATTATATTCAACGGAAAATCGAAAGTATTACTGGAAAAACTAAACAAACAGCAAGCTTCGATGAAGATAAGAAAAGTGTCAGGTAATTGTTTTAAATTAAAAATATAGTACTAGAAACATTAAAATGAATTAGGAAAGAGTTTTTATGTTTGTAATGAGCATAATTTAAAGCTGGGCTGGCTACCCGTGTTAGCTACCGGACAAGCTTGTGATGTCATTTCTGCATTTGCCCAAGTAAAACAAAAAGTGATGTAATTTTGCGTTTACATTAATGATTTAAAAAAAACCGAAGTGGATTAATGACAATCTCTGCTTTATGTATATTTTTAAAGAGATTTAGTTATATAGGTCATTCCTCTATGCGCAATGTGTATTGCAAATAAGTTTTGAAAATAATAAAAAAACCTTTCTACAAAGGGACAAAAATAAAAATAAATTTAACTCAATATTATAATTATTTGATTTGTTTGTATGGAATAGGCTATAAAACTACCTGACTGATTTAGAAATTTCTTCTACTATTAGAATCTTACATCATCCCTGATAATCATAGGCTATAATATAGAAATAGAAGCAGATAGCAACTTTTTTTTCTCTCTTTTTGTTGCAATATTATCGTTTCGCTTTTGTATTGTTATTTTTAACTCTAGGTAATCAAAAGGAATTTGTACTGTGGCGTTGTGCTAACTCTTAGCTTATTCATATTGTTTAAGAAATAATTTAAAAAAAAATAGAAGTACCATATTTAGAAAAAAGATAATATTCAACCATCTTCGTATCCACAAAATCAAAATCGTCGGTGCAAAGTAAAGTAAAATGAACAAGTTAATTGCAAAGTGCATTTAACAATTAAAAATATTTTTTCCACAGATTCAAACTAGAGAATCTCCCCGATCCAACAATCAGTCCCGGCTCGAATAGTTCGTCGGAGCAAAACGACGGGCAAAGTTCAATAATAAGCGCGCCTTATTCGAAAAATCCATTAGAAATACCCCCATTTAGTTCATTAAATAAAACCGAAGTACCCTCATTTCCTGCCCAAATTCCCAATGTGCCTTTAAACTCCATTGTCCTATCACCTTTAGCCGGCCGACCACCGATTCCACCACGAATTGACAGCCCGAGGGAATATAAGAATATATCTGAAAAGGATTCTATAGGTATTATTTTCTTTTATTCAAATATAAAAATAAAATAAATCATCGGCGCTACAACCTTTTTAAGTCTGGGCCTGAAATCTAATAGGCAAGGTAGGTGATCAGCCTCCTGTGCCTGACACGCCGTCGACCTTTTGACTCGGTTTCATCACGATGTTTTCCTTCACCGATCGAACAAATGTTAAATGCGCACATAGATAAAAAGTCCATTGGTGACATAGCCGGGGATTGAACCTACGAATTCAGGGATTAGAGTCGCATGCTGAAGCCACTAGGCCAATACTTTATTCAAATATTTTTCTTCTTAATCTTACCTCTTCACCTTCTCTCCTCTGTCCACAACGGAACGTTACTTAAGCCAGTTTTTGCCGCGCATCGCCAATGTGGAACCAGCTGCCCATCAAAGTATTTCCGAATCAATTAGTCTTAGGGACCTTCAAGAAATGAGAGTACCAATTCTTAAAAGGTTCAGCAACGTTCTCTTCACACATTCATCCCTTAACACCAAGTGCCTGTTTGCCTCTGTTCTATGAAAATAGAATAGAATATTATTTTCGTAAAAATAAGAAATAATATTTGCTTAAAATTAACACAAATAGTTTATTATGTGAACAGGAGTCGTCACTTATACTTAATAATAAGTGCTAGTAATTAAAACCAATAAAATAAAATTAAAATTAAAATTAAAATTAATTTAATGTAATAATGATAATTACACTGTGTGATAAAGTATGGGCTCACTGAAAACCAACGTACATCTTTCGTTAAACTCAAACTCAAACTCAAACTCAAAATATCTTTATTCAAGTAGGTAACCAAGTACACTTTTGAATCGTCAAGTTAAATTAATCGTAAATTTACATTTACTACCAGTTCGCAAGTCAAGGGCGTAGAGCGGGTAAGAAGAACTGGCAAGAAACTTTCCGCCACTCTTTTTAATCGCCAAGTATTGTCATACAAATTGTTTGAACTGGAGCAATTCAATCCCAAGGATTAGGATAATTTAAGTAGTCCTCAAATTTATAAAAAGCTTTGTTGATTAATTTTCGTTTAACGAGGGCTTTGAATTTATTTAGTGATAATTCTCTAATTTCGCTTGGGAGCTTGTTGTAAAAACGAATACAATTTCCATATAAGGAGTGGTTTATCTTTTGGAGCCTGGTTGGTCGTACACTCAAATTAGTTCTATTTCGCGTATTATACTGGTGAAAGTCACCATTTGTTTTAAAATCGTTTATATTTTTTTGGACATACAACAAGGCTTCAAGAATATATTGACCAGATAGTGTCATAATATTTAATTCCTTAAACTTATTCCGTACCGACTCCCTCGGAGAAACACAACAAATACCCCGAACAGCCCGCTTCTGCAGCACAAATATGGATTGAACCTCTGCAGCAGCACCCCACAGTAAAATGCCATACGACATAACGCTATGAAAGTAGCTATGGTACACAATTTTAGCCGTGTCCTCATCAGTAAACTGTCGGATTTTCTTTACTGCATATGCTGCAGAGCTCAGCCTATTCGAAAGAGTCTCTATGTGTGGGCCCCATTGGAGTTTACTATCTATTGTTATGCCTAGAAAAACAGTTTTGTAATCGTATTACAGAGAGTGAAATCCGAGAAACTCGCGGGACGTCTCCTCGTAGACGACTTGTGAAGCCCCCAGTCGCGGACTACATAAAACCTGGATTGTTTCAAAAGAATTTTCAGAAGATTTCTGACTTGGTGCGGAAGATAGAAATCGAGCCGACGAACTTAGAGGAACCTTCTTCTGAAAAGGAAGTACGACCAAGGTATGGATTTGATATTACACGCTAATTCTGTGAAAATATGTTGGCATTTTTTTAATAGGAAAATGGACAGTTAAGTGATAACGCCGCCCATGTACACTTACACTCCCGAGTGCGTTGCCGGCCTTTTAAAAACATTTTTTCTTGAAGGACTCTCAAGTCGCAGTGATGTGGAAAAAAATTAAATTAAAAAAAACTAAATTTCCTTTCTAAAAATGAGTGGTGGTACCTTTGAGATCTGGGCCTCAGCTTTATGTATACGTATCTGTTTCGTAATCATTTGTTTTTTTTCTAATAAGCAAGTAAATGATCATCTGTCCCTGACAAACGACGATTTTGGCTATAGGGCAGGTCGGTTTCGCACGATGTTTTTCTTGCCACAGTCGGGGTTCGAATCTACGAACGCGATGAGATAAGCATGCTGAAGCCACTAGGCCAATACTAGTCCTTCTGTTTGTTAAAACGATAATTATTATTTTTCGAGAATTGATCGTGGTTCTGCTTTTATTTGAGATCTAAAAATAATCAATAATAATTAATTAATAATTATTAATTATATTATTATTATTATTTTATCCTATTTCGGTTAAAATACAATCTATTGAAACTTACGTTTCATATAAAAAACCACTGCATTAAAAAATATTTACTTCCAGGTCACCACTTATACCACAAACAAATAAAATATCAATAAATTTAATGGAAAGCATCGAATCTGAAACCTCAATAGACTCCCCCGATAGAGAATTCGCTAACATCGATTTAAATGACTTTGATGAAGCTGAAAACCAAAAAGATACAAAACCCAAAGAAGACAAATCGCCCCGCAGAGAAGATGAATCCGAAAAATCGAATTCCAAGACTGATTCGATAAGAAACATTCCTTTAATCAATATTCCGAAACTAGATTTAAAATCGAAATTTGCACATTCCGATTCGGAGGACTCGAAAAAGTCCACGGACGAGCCGAACACTGGCGGCCGCTCGAACAGTATAGACATTCCAAAAGACTTGCCCATATTGAAATTATCGCCGACTCCGAGCTTAGGATCCGACAGACCTAGACTGGAACTAAACAAGCCCTGGTCCAGCCCATTATCCACTTTCAAGCCGTTAAACAAAGCTGTCACACCGCTAAAATCTTCAGACTCGTTATCAAAAAGTCTCAGTCCGAGATTAGATGGCGTGATGCTGTCTCAAGGGAAATCCAGCACCGACAACGTGGTAGTCGTTTATCAGTTCGAAACTCAGGATGAGAGTCCGAAAATCAAATCTCCCATACCAGATATGGGGGTGAGGGAAATGGTGGAGAGAAATAAAGCGGATGAAAGAAGGAGACTGGAGCTAAACCTTCAGAAAGAGTTGGAGATGATAAGGATGGAGTTTAGTGGGAAAGAGAGGAGGATGAGGGCGGAGTTGCAGACGGAATTAAGGGAGGTGGAAGAGAAGTTCTTAATGGAGAAGAGTATGAGGTTAAGTGAGCAAAGTGAGAGGCATAAACGTGAAATGGAGGAGGTAAAACTTTCTAGAAACGTCTTTTTTTTAAATGTTTGTTCTCTTTGTTCTCAAAATCTTTTTGAACTTTTTACATGATTTGTGATTTGCAGTCTGTGTCTATTTACCGCTGTTATAGTTTCTGGGAATCGAACTGACAGCCTCCGAGTTTAACGCCATCTTTATTAATAATTCAGTACAGATATGGTTTTCAAAAGTCTGTCACGTTTTATAAAAAATTAGGGACATACAAACAAAAACTAATATCCGTAATAATTTTAGGTTTTAACAACGAATGAGAAAAATTATCAGGAGACATTGGAAACTCGACTCAAAGAGTTGGAGAATAAATTTCAAAATGAAGTCGCCGCGGCTCAAAGACAACACGAGAGTAATCTCATCAAGATCCGCGAAGATTACTCGGTAAAGCTTTCAGCGCAGAAGGAGCAGTTGGAGATTGGTAAGTTATTTATGACGAAGACAAAACGAAAGACCACATAAATGTGCTGAAATTTTCCCCCACCAAAATATGTGCACATAGGCTCGTTATCCCCCCCCCACCACGATCGTGTATATATGAAGAAAAACCGTGTTTTTTGTGACAGTTTCAAAATGACGGTTCAATGGTTGCTTAAGATTAACTTACTCACACTCAGGGCCCCCCAACCTTACTTAACTTTTGCTGATTAGATCGGGTACTTGGTGACTTCTCCACGGCGTCTTTCTAGCGTTATCTGGACCTCGGTATTTATTAAGTTATATTTTAAAATTCGTTATATTACAAATAAAAATAACATAAATTATTAGGGAGACAATGGGCGGCTTAATCGTTAACAACCGATTTCTCGTCCAGGGAAGTCCCTAGTAAGGAAAGAAAACAAAAAATTAAATACTTAGGGTAAAACAAGAAGTGCATAACCAAATCAACAAAAACAAAATTACAAGTAACACTGAAAGTTACACAATTACCCAACTTAATCTAAAAAAATATATAAAATAAACTAAATGACTAATGAGAATTTTTTATGAACGGAAATTAAGGCTAAAAAATTGCGTTTTCGGTCTTTATAGGTATGGGTCAGAGGTATAGAGGTATATTGTGAGGTTGAAATTAAAAACGATTTTTTTAAAGTACAAGAGCAAAATGTATTGGTACCTACATTTGGGTGTTTAAATTTCTTAACTTAGAACCAATGAAGATATTTCTTATAAAACGGATTGTTTAAGGCTTTTTACATATCAGAATTTATAGTTTTTGGGAAAGTCAGAAGTGCGACTCATAAATAATAAAAAATTGTGCGTGTACTAGGTGTACACACGTATTACGCGCCTTAAATATCTGCGAACCTCGCTGGAATGCGCTTCCCCGCACCCCGCCCCGTTTTCGCCTATCCAGTACCGTTGCCAACGCAATCGTTGCCGACGCACGTGTATTATTCTTGCTTTCGTAATCGCATTTTAGTGTTTATTGTTTCTCTGTTTGGTGAAATATTACATAAACTACCTATTTAGTGCTGTATGTAAGATGGGTAGGACTATACATAGTACGAGTATCAATAAAAATAAGTACACAAATAAAATATTTTTTATTTTTACATCTTCAATTTTTTTGCTATCTCTCCAGTTTGTATGACGTCATTAAGCCAGGTTCGCAGATATTTCCGACGACTTGTAAGAAGTGAAACTTCTTTATGATCTTATTTTTCGAAAAATGATCTACTATATGCAACTTTACAGAAATTCGTTAAATTAGATAAAGTTTAACAAAAGGCTTTTATTATCATAGACATAAATACAAATACTTCATTTTACCTTATTACTACGAAGATTATTATAGAATTTCATTAATTGTAATAGAATTATTACTATCATTGAAAAACGTGACGATTTGCTACAAAATTTCTCCCATACGTCGATAAAGAAGTTTCATTCCAACGCCGATAAAGAAGTTTGACTTCAAAAAGCAACATGGCGCGTAACCGAAAAATGTGACGCGTAACGAAAAAATTTTACACTAATTTTTTTTCCAACCTCGATAAAGAAGTTTCACTTCAAAAACTTTATTCATGACATATATGATTTTGACAAAATTCATCTATCTCTAGTCCCCACACTCCCTAGTGTGGTGCCCTTGTGTTGTGGGTAACTAGATAACAATTATTCCGAGGTAGGTACATTAAACATTTCTTGTAACTTAATATATAATTGATTTTTACTTTAAAACTCAACTGTATGATTCAGAAACATGTTCCATTTTTCACTTGGTGCACTTGATCCGGTATTAAACCGAAAATCATTTTCAAATACAACGTGTTTTAACTTTTACTGATAGAAATAATTATCTGTAAATTAAAAAAATATTTCTTATACGAAAATGATACCATATTTTCTTCCAGAAAATGAACGTGCACTCGCAGACGTCCGCGATCAACTGCAATTAGCTCTATACAGAGAGAAGGCTCGAATACTCGAAGAAAATCGTGCGACCATAGACGCGCTAAGAGAAGAACACACTGCGAGGATTACGGATCTGAGACATGATTATAGGGCGGAGGTATCATTATTTGATTTATTAACACGCTTGTATTAGCTTCACCTGTATGTATGTATGTAGGTATGTATGTAACCGACTCGATATTGACCCACTTTTAACGGACAGATTTAATTCAAACTTTGCGCACCTGTCAAAGATCGATGACAATGCAATAATCCGAAAAAAAAAATTTAACTAAAAAATTAAAAATAAATAATAGTTAAAAAAAACTAGAACACACGCTTTATATAGAAAACTAAACTAAAAAACAGAAAATAAATTTTAATAAATATTAATTAAGAATAATGTAATTTTTTTTAATAAATATATAAGTTATTAATAGTTTGAATAAGAAAAAAAATGTTTTATTGTAAAAAAAGCGTGGAGTGCATGGTGTCAATAGTTATGAATATTTAATTGACAGATATGAGAAGGATTACCATTTCGATAATATCTTGAAAAGCACCCCCGCTTTTTACTTATATTTAATAATTTTTTTACATTATTCTTAAATAATATTTATTAAAATTTATTTTCTGTTTTTTAGTTTAGTTTCTATATAAAGCATGTGTTCTAGTTTTTTTAACTATTATTTTATTATTTATAGTTTGTTTATTGAAAAACACACCCAATTTAGGGTGAATTATTGTTGTCACTTTTCAGTTATATCTATTGTTCGAATATTCAGTCCCATGATCACACCTAATCTTGTTTACCTTCAACCGAAAATGATTCTCCGCCAAAAATACACATTGTTTCTTTTAATCAAATATATCACTTTTACACGATAAAAGGCTAACCTCAAAATATTTTTAACATTGTACCGCTATCATTTGTTTCACTAAATATATCTGTTACTTCAATACTTACAATTCTTCCTCCTTTTTTTTTTTTAATTTTCATTTCTTCCTCTATTATTTCGCCTTATAACAACATCTTAACATGATGGTTTCGGGTACCATCTCCTCAATCTCATTTTTTTTTTGGCCAAGAATTTCTATACAAAGCGGTTTCTCCTTTAAGGTGGAAAGGCTTCGGAGCCAACACTCGTGTCACTTAGAAGAGTTGAGAGTGAGATTGTCCGGCGAAAGAGCAGCAGCCGTGAGACAAGACGACAGAGTTTTACACGACAAGTATCGGTGTCTTAAGGAGAAGTACGCGAGACTCAAACATGATGTTAAGGTAATAAGGGGACGGTCACTCAAAACTTACCGCCGTCCATAGACAACTGCGACGTCAGTTTTGTAAGAGCGTTGCCGGTCTTTAAGATAGGCGTTGAAGGGCTCTTGAAGGCCTTTAAAGAAACGGTTTTTATTTAAAAGGTCAGGTTAGACAACTATACTTAATGGCAATGTAGACTTTTTGAAAAAAAACACCGACACCACATCATACACAAAGCAAACCCACAAATTATAAACTATCCAAAAAATGCATTTTCTTCGCAACGCAATTTCCCCTTTAGTGACACTTTCATCTTTAACCTTAAAAAAAAACTTTTTTCTTAACGATTCAAAACATTATACATTCGCTAATGATCTTAAACAACAAGTATTCTTGTCGTACAACAGTAGTTTGATTATAAAATTATACATTCGCTAATGATCTTAAACAACAAGTATTCTTGTCGTACAACAGTAGTTTGATTATAAAATTATACATTCGCTAATGATCTTAAACAACAAGTATTCTTGTCGTACAACAGTAGTTTGATTATAAAATTATACATTCGCTAATGATCTTAAACAACAAGTATTCTTGTCGTACAACAGTAGTTTGATTATAAAATTATACATTCGCTAATGATCTTAAACAACAAGTATTCTTGTCGTACAACAGTAGTTTGATTATAAAATTATACATTCGCTAATGATCTTAAACAACAAGTATTCTTGTCGTACAACAGTAGTTTGATTATAAAATTATACATTCGCTAATGATCTTAAACAACAAGTATTCTTGTCGTACAACAGTAGTTTGATTATAAAATTATACATTCGCTAATGATCTTAAACAACAAGTATTCTTGTCGTACAACAGTAGTTTGATTATAAAATTATACATTCGCTAATGATCTTAAACAACAAGTATTCTTGTCGTACAACAGTAGTTTGATTATAAAATTATACATTCGCTAATGATCTTAAACAACAAGTATTCTTGTCGTACAACAGTAGTTTGATTATAAAATTATAAGTGTTATGTAGAAATTCATCAAGTACCGTTAATATGTCAAATGGTGACCTGGTGCCCACGACACAGGCTTAGTGGCTAGTGCTTTTTCTCGTATAATAAGTAGTAATAGTATTTCTTTTCTTTTCATTTCACTGTTAAAAAAATAATATAAACTACATATATCTTATCAATGCAAAACGAAGCTAGTTTTTATATAAAAATTGATACGAATTCAATAAAAATGTGTGTTAAGGCTGGACAAACATAGAAAAACATTTAATATAATAAAAATCAACGTTTTCAGATGACACTGGAACGTCGCAACAAACGTCGCGAGATGAGTATGACAACTGGTTCGGAGACTGAGAAATCTAATTCGCATAAAGCGACGCAATCGTTGGAAAGGTATAATTTAATTCAATGTTAATATATCATTTTTTTTAATGGCTCTGGCACGATTTGTGCATTAGCCAGCGTCAAGTATAGGATTTTTTATAATTCGTGCTTGTCTTTAGAAATTCGACCGTGTCCTCCATGTACGGTTTAAGCACTCGCCCGGTACCGCACAACCCTCCCAAAGGCCGAGAACAAATTTTAAATTGAATTAAAACTTGCATTCGAACCGGGAATCGAACCCGGTACACCTCACCTAGCTGCCCCTTAATATAATATATCATTTGAAATTGAAATGTTTTTTGACGGCATTAAAAACTTTTTACCTTGAAAAATTTTAAAATGGAAATGTTTTTACTTCCTAATGCTTTAAATGCGTCCAGTACGTACGTCAACTGTCGTTACAGAAGCGTCAAATTTTCACGAAACACGCAAATCCCGCCCCATTTATAGTACTTTTAACGTATGTCCGTAACGTATGTAACGTAAAAATAGTGATGTATTATGAAAAGGTTGCCATTATTATTACCCATGCATCAGTTAGCAACGGTACTTCTAACATGTCCGATTTCAGTACTTTTGTTATAGGTACTTCAAAAGATACAATAATATGTAATAAATTACGAAAATGTCTGCCCCATGCCCCATTCAAATATGCTGCTTCTAACATATGTGTCAGCGGGTTTGCTGAGCCTGAACGTACTTCAAAAAATATAAATATATCCCTTGGCTTTGCGTAGAGATGTGGGGTCTCTCTGCATCTTCTACCGCATTTACGATGGAGAGTGTTCAGAGTTGTTCGGATTAATACCTGCAGCTGAGTTTATTCGGACGTCGAAGCAGGATATCTCCACCCGTATCACCTTTATTTTAGCCGTATGGTGTAAATAATCAAACATTTTCAGATGTAAAGAGCTGAATGAGACATCAGTTAGCGCGATAATAGAGACGGAGCCCCCGCGTATACGCATCAACAATAATCCCGTGAAATGTGACAACGAGACGTCCTATTCTGAAAACGTTAAGTCTGATAATAATAATGACGATTGGAAGAGCAATAGGGATTCGGTACGTTATTATTATTATAATTATTATTATTATTATTATTATTATTATTATTATTATTATTATTATTATTATTATTATTATTATTATTATTATTATTATTATTATTATTACTATTATTATTATTACTATTATTATTATTATTATTATTATTATTACTATTATTATAAGTACGTCACTCACGCAGGAACTTATAAAATTAAAAAATACAGAAATGCATGTGACGGTGGAACACTAATCGGAAAAATTTCTCCATCCGAAGAATTATAGAACGGGCTAGGAGGCGCATCTGATGTTAAGTGGTAGCGCCGCCCATGGACACTTACAATGCCACTCAAAAATAAAAGACACTAAACTTGATTAAGATATACAAATTTAATATATTTCTTTGCCATTGTTATTATTGATGACGAGTTGGTATGATATTATGTAAATAATTTAATAAATAACGTTTATTCATATCCAATAGAGAAGTTTTATTCAAATGTGTACGTAGCGTCAGTTCGTTTTATTTTTTTTAATGGCTCTGGCACGGTCTGTGAATTAGCCAGCGTCAAATATAAGATTTTTATAATTCCTGCTTGCCTTAGAAATTCGACCGTGTCCTCCATGTGCGGTTTAAGCACTCACCCGGTACCGCACAACCCTCCCAAAGGCCTAAAGCAAATTTAAATTAAAACATCGTTTTAAAGTTGAAAAATATTTAGAATACCTTGTCTACGTTTTGACAATATTATATGAACGTGTCATCTGTCAACGGCAAAAAGTGTATTTTTTGTATTAGATTAAATTTTAATGACAGGTTGCGGAACCGGCAATGACGTCACTAACGTCTGCATTGAAACAGTCGCGTGTTCGACGAACTGGAGTCGCGTTTCGTGAGCCACCTCGTCGGAGTCGCGAAAGGGAGAGGGACTTAGGTGAGATATAACGCAAATATTAACAAATTTTAACAAAAGAGTGCAGTGTAAAGTAAATCTGTCTGTCTCTTTTCATCACAGCGTAAACACATTTTGAGAGAAAGAGACAAAATATGACTAATTTTAAAGAGTGTAATGAGACTCAGTTTTGAACGAATAAGCCGTAATGCCTTCTTCAGTTAATAAAACAAAATAGGGAAATATTTTTCATTACGCAACAATTACTGTGATAATAATAAATGGATCGCGCTCACTCGTGACGTCACGACGCGAGTCGGTGATCGCGTACGAGATATTTGCATGACGTCATATTTACGCTTTTACTTTGGAAATTCTTTACAAATTTTGTTTTAAAAATATTTGTACGAGAATAAATTTAAGACCCTATATTTGGATCTACTGGTGTGAATAAATTAATTTAATAATAAATATTCTGTTGTAACTAAAAACAGAAAAATTATAACATTAAATTTTTGTGTATTTTATGGGTCGGCAAACGAGCTGGCACTTAAAGTGAAGTGTTTACTGCCGCCCATAGACACCTGCAACACCAGGAGGTTTGCAAATGCGTTGCCGGCCTTTAAGGTTGTTGTATCAAGAAAGTAATACTCATACAATTAATAATTGTCTTTGAAATGAAGATTTGAGTTGCAAAATGATTTTGTCTTCACATTTCTCGAAAACTAAAAGTTATATTGTTTTTTTTTGATAAATCAGCGAACATAGGAAGTTCATCAAACGCGGTTTAGTGATTTCTGAGATTCAAATAATAAATTATATAAATCAGTTTAATAATGATAATATTTACAATTTCAGAACATTAAGGATAATTAATTAATATAATACGATAAGTAATTTGCGCAGGCGTCGCTACGGACTGTCAAGATTCGTCGGACGCCACCACAGCGGATGAGAAGCCAAAGGAAACTGTTAATGGTGAGAATTACGGTTTTTATTAAATCAAATGCTTTAAGTACTAAATAGTATATTTTAATACAGTTCGGAAAGCATGTCATTGCAAAGAGTTCCGACAGTCGGAACAAGTTGCAATGACGGTTCCGCACGGTTACTGAACAACTATTTTTAATACAGTTGCAAAAAAATTTAACAATTTAATAAAATATTCAATACATAATAAACTCAAGAAACTAATAATTTCTTTCTTATAAAAGTTAATTCACATGTACATTGAAATTGGTACAGTTTTTTATACTAACTGGGGAAGTTTTAGATTGCATATTTACTGTTTGAGACAAAGTATTGTTAATTTCGTATGATTGTTCATCTATATTTAATATATAATATAACAAACAACTAAATTCGCATAGAACATCTTTGGAAAATGGCGCCAACTGTAAAAGAATATAAGCAAAGATTTTTTTTCTTCACCCATTCTGGGTAGGCAAAGGGAACTATGCCCATACAGCCAAGTCTTTAGTAGAATTTTTTTTATTGATATGAAATGAAAATGGAATTTAATGAGATGAAATGAAATGAAACCTAATCTAACTATTTTAATCAAATCATTAAATTTGATATTGAAACAAATTAGTACCTTCTTTTTAGTAGTATTTGCATGAATCATAACTTCTATGAATTTTTTTAAAAGTAAAAACTTCGTGGTTGGTTTTTTCTTTTTAAAATACATTATTTTGACAGTTGGGAAAGAGAACGCACGCATAAAGTCAAAACTATTGCCATAATGTTAAAAAAAAGAGTACGCACGAGTTCGCAAAAGGTAAAGATAAAGCACTACGCCACTTTTTGAGCAACTGTATTAAAAAACATATTTCAGCGATTTCATATTTAGAAAACTTTAACGTATACCGCTCGCTTATCAGCTACTTCTAGGCTATGGTTAAACATATTTTTGTTTAGGTCACATGCGCCGGAGATTTACAAGATTAAAATCAGCATCAACATCCAGATTGAACTATTCACCCAAGTAAGTAAATACAATTTTTTTTGACGATACTTGAACAGAAAGTTGAAAAATAAAAATCGGGGCGCTCTCTAGGTTCTTTTGGCGCGTTAGGTAAAAATGATGAGTAAATTTTTACGATGCGCGCGCACACCGCCACAAAAAACCGACACCCTGAAGTTAGCATAGTCAAAATTTTAAAATAAAATTGTCAATTTTTTTAATTATGTAGAAATATTTTTTTTGTGATATTTAAATAAACTTTATTTAACTAGATAATGCATTTAATAATACTTTCAATGTATTAAATACCTTTTCTCTATGGTTAGTGTCGATTTTTCTACAAACATAGAATACATTTTTTTATCTTGTTACGCCAAAGAAGTATAACTTCTAGAGCGTGTACATAAGTATATTCACATGTTTTTTTTCTTAATAGGTAAGTAGGTTATTAGCCTATGCCTAACACGTACGTACGTACGTGCGAGTCTTAAATGCGCACGAACTAACGAACTCAGAGTTGAGGCGCACGCTTCAGCCGCAAAAACTACCCTAAAGCCCAACGCTGCCTGATCTGATCTTGATCTGTATATTGTTTTATTTTGAACTCTTGCGCCGGTGTATGGTTATTTATTCATTAACACTTCGTTGCTAGTTTACAGAAATATAGTACAATTGAAATAATGCACTAAAAAGGTTAAATAGTAAATACATATTACACAATAGCATTCCAGATACATTTGCTTTAAAGCAATATTTTGTAGGAATATGAGGTATTATTTTGTGGTATTTTTAAAATTTACTGGACTAAACATGTTTGATCGTTTTTTTATCATTATTATATACAGTAAGTATTAATTTATCTGAATAAATATCATATTTTCCAGACGCGGTGAAGGCTGGGCGAGTCCTTTGGAATCCCTTCGTCAACAATTGAGAAAACTTGACGATCTAGAAGACCAGTTTCCGGACCTCGCTTGCCAACCCGCGTACAGTCTTCGGTATCCATTCCCTGAGTTAGGTAAGGAATATTAAAAAAAAATTTATTAGTATTAGTAAGCGTTCAGTCGTGTTCATGATGTCTATAGCTGAACATCACTTTGCTCTATTGTCAATAGTTTCCATAGCAGTTCGCAGTTTTTATGGATCCTTAACTTTTTTGAAAAAATTGTATAGCCTATGTTCAGCTAGGGTAATGTGAAAGATGTTCCATTAGTTTTGGAGCCTATTTAATCAAAACAAACAATCAAATCATTTAAATCAAAACAAACAATCATCTTTATAATATTATATAATAAGACAAAGCATATTGTCCAAAATACACATTTAAATAAACAGAAAAAAAGTTTAAATATTCTGAGAGAGTCTAATCTCTGCGTTGCATAAAATAATCATAAGATCGAAGTTCATTCCATACAAAAAATTTCCTTTGACTGCTCGTGAACAATAAAATGATAATTTCGGACACCATGTAACTTATTAGGTTAGTAACAATTTTAATTAAGAACTTTGTTAGTATTCTTACCTTTTTATTACTTAAGTTGCTAGCAGCCAAAGGTGAAAATTCATATCAAAAATTTTCTTTACTTTCAAAAAGCTGGTTTTTGGTTTACCTGTTCTTTTTGTGTTGTGTTAAAGTGTATTTTATAATTTTTTACTTGCCTTATATCAATCATGAATTGACTTGCGTTCCAGGCCCAGTAGCGACTGCAGACACGCCAGAATTAGAATTCGTACGTCACCGTGCGCTCGTAGAACGGGAAGGTATGCGACGTGCCCGCGCCGCCTTGAGGCGACGTAAAGCGGCGCTTAAGGAGAGTCGGGCCTCGCTTTCACCGCATAGAGCTGCATCGGTGAGTTTACTAAGCACGGGCATGTGAGATATTTTTTAATATTTCTTATACAATACTGGCGTCATTGACATATAGTTTTATTTTGGTGGTATGATATAGTTAACTAAAGTCGAAGAATAACATACATAAGTGATTTAGAACTTCACCCGTTTTTGGACCGTTGCGTCCACGTGCGTCAATTCGTTTCTCTATTTTCGTTTTTAAAATATTTAAACAAAATTTATATTTATAATCTATAATAAAAATTGGTTGTATGTAAAGTCGGTTTACTAACAATAGTTGATCGTGACAAAGTCATAAGAAAATACTGATGGAATGGTTACATTTTTCAAAATAAAATTTTAATTTTATTTGTTTGGTAGCTAGATTTTGTATGGATATCGAGAAGGAGGTAAATGGAAATCACAATTGAATTGATCAAGTTACATTTATTTGTACGCATAAATAAAATTTTGTCAATTTTTAACGAACGAACGCTGCCGAAATCTGCGGCCTATTGTGCCTCTTTGTCGCTCGTTCCGCGCTCTCGCGTGCACTTCAAGCCTTAAATGGAACGCCTCAGAGCGAGGTAACGCCGCATGCGTCATGTTTTTTCGTGCCTGCAGCCGGCTCCATCGAATTATAAGACGTAGTCACGTCAAAAATTCTCAAGACTATATGAAATGTATAATAGAGAATTCGGAAAGGGAACCGATGTGAGATTTGAGGTCGCAGCTGTGTTAAATTACTTTTTTGTTTTCGTCAATACGTCATTGTAGTTCGACAATAGTGTTGATACGAAATACGAAAATATTAAAAGCATGAAATAGTGAATAAATGAATTGACGCGTCGCAAATTGCAATTTCATTAGTTCGCATAACTAACGATGGTCCTGTTTCCACATACTGTTATTTTAATAAGATACATATCTTTCGTTTTACATATATTTTTAAATAATTAATTGTAAAGATTACAATTGGCTTGATAAAACCTGGAAAGGTCTAGAATTCGACGGAAATGTTTTTTTTATAATAAGGTTTTGGTACTCTGTTACAATCATACTCGTGAACGGGTGCTACTTGTGGTGACTGGTCGTACTTGAATTCGTGTATGCGGTGATGTTAGTTATTTCGACTATGTAATTGCGTGTTGTTCCCACGAGAATGTAAGTGCGTGCTCCTATTTCACCATGCCTCCTGCTGATAGAGGACAAGTCTTTGTTTTTAATTTATGTTATTATTATTAATTACTTAAGATGTCATGTGGAACATGGTGTAATGGTTGCAGCTCCTTACAAACGTTGTGTAAAAAAAATATGGCGATTAAAAAGAATGGCGGAGAGTTTATTGCCAGTTCTTCTCTTCCTTTCTACGCCCTTGATTTGAGAACTAGCAGTAAATGTAAAATTAGAAGCATTAATATGTATTTCTTTAATGACGAATCACAAGTGTACATTGTGTTACCTACGTGGATAAATAATTTTTGAATTTTGAATTTTGAATATCCGGTATATTACGCACGGAACGCACTTGCGAGCATTCTGGCAATGTGATTGTCCATGGGCGCGGTATCACTTAATATCAGGTGAGCCTCCTGCCCGTTTGCCTACATAGAAACAAATATCGAACGCGTCAGAGGTATACAAATAAAATCTAGATTTAATATTATTTTGAAACTTATGCATAGAATTATAATGAAACATACGCATCTAGGAAATTTCTTTTTCATAGTTTAGTCGTTCCCACTACTAAGAAAGAAAATTATGAATGTTTTTCTGATAAAAGGTGTAACATTAATCAATTTCCACATTAATGTCTGAAAAAACTTATCATAATGTGGTTACTATTTTGGTTTGCGTCGATTTATTTTTTATTTTTTTTGTCTTAAATGTATAAGAACGTCATAACGTTTCTTAATTATACAACGTTGAAGGTAAACATCCTGAGAAAATTACTTACTAAATTACCCTTAGTTAATTTTGTAATTCAAGTATCTCGTAGTTATTATAGATTAGAGCACTGTTTCCCAACGTGGGGCTCACGTCAAACAGGGGGGCAATTTGACTGTTAAAAGCCCCCCTGGCTTTTCTATTTTTTTTAAAATAATTATTGGTAATTTCAGTTTTTCATATATGCTTTAAAATCTACTTACTGTGTTTCGTTAACAATTTCCAAAAAAATCCTGAACCTATCATTTAAGTTTCTTTAAATTAATTTATAAATTTAATTTCTTAGCAATTGAATTTTAGATTATTAACCATTTTGTATGTTCCATTTTCTTAAGAATTTTAGGTAGGCTACCGTGGGGCATGGCACAAAATAGGTTGGGATACACTGAATTAGAGTATTCAAAAAGAGTTAGGATTTTTTTTAATGGTATATGGTATTTATGATTCAACCCCAAATTAGATCACAAATAATTCGGGATGAATTAGTTTCTAGATATGTTGTAGAATGTGTAGGTTTTCCATTACAAAGCTTATTTAGAAATTCTAAATCAGTCTAATCACACTTTAGTACTCATATGTCTCTCTAGTAGTGCAAGCGCAGTTCGGGAAACTGTTACCCTGCGTCGTCCATAGTGACTAGATGGAGCCCTTGGATTTAGTGGGTAGGTCTGGAACCTCCCGGACAATGAACTCTTTGGGTCACTTTACTAATTTGCTTCGTTGCATTCCATCGCGGACGTATTGTTGGGAAATCCTTTCACCCTGTTTGGATTTTCCAACAATAAAAAAATTAGACTGGTTTAAATCGTAGGAACAAGTGTTTAGTGTGGAGATTAATTTGAAGTAACAGTTGTATGCGCTCGTCATTGATACCATTATATTTTGTTTTACACTCCAATCCATTTTTATATAGGTTTTAAACATCTGGTATAGTTTTCAAATTTGTCGGAAGGAACTGAATAACATTAAATATTTAAATAGTTCTATACGACCAGCACCTTTTTTTTTAAATATTATGGCAATAGTTTTGACTTTATGCCAGTTTCAAGTAAAAGACCAGCACCTTTGTCGTCTTCGTTTTGTTTTCGTTTCTTGTCATTCAATTTTTTAGTTTCCGACAAATAATTCGGTATTTCTAGAGTGTCGTAAACATATACCAGTTATAATAGGAGGAGCGCGAGGCCACAGAACTAGAGGTGGCGTTACACCGAGCTCGCGCCTTGCTCGGTGAAAAAGAGATAAGACTGCAACACATCGAGCGCGCGCTTCGAAGACTGGCAGATGCCCATCCGCCGCCTCTCATTCAGGTTGAGGCCTTAGGCCTTAGAAGCCTTTGCGTTACGCGATTATCGCATTTAATGTGTATAGCACGCTTTATGGCCTAAAAAGTAGCTTCTTCTTTTTCGATATATACAGGCAGTCCTCGTAGTTACGGCATGTTAGGTTCTCGAAATACGCGACGAAACGACGTAAGTCGAGACATATTTTGTCGTATGTTTGTACTCCAAATTTAAAAAAGACTGCAATTATAACAAAGAATATACATACTTTATTATCAAAAGTAATTTCTTAAAATAATTATATATGCACTTATGAAATTGCTAGTTATTTTTGGTATTTGTGTGTAATTAATTTTAATAATAATTATAAAACTTTATTATGAAATCATAATAGTAATGAGAAATAATAAATTAAACTTTTGGCTTAAAGAAACTATCAATTCTAGATTGCTTCGCTTCTTCCTTCTTGCTATCATACAGATCTTGGTAACACTGATAGGCTGCACAAATTTTGTTATTAACGTTGAAACTTCTCTCAAAATTAGGATCATATTCTTTAAAAATTTTCATGGCATTCACCAAATTTGCACAAGACAAGTGAATTCTCCTATGCCTGAAATCGAAACAAATGACGTATGCTTGAGGAATAGTGTCAAAACATTGTTCGACGTAACATGAAACGAAAACGTAAATCGAAACGACGTAAGTCGAGGACTGCCTGTATTACAAATTCATTTATGTAAATAAGAAACTTTACGTGCACGTACACGCGCGCGTACGTGCGACTTGCTGAACGAAGTAGACGGACGTTACCGAGATAAACATGCATTAACTGCTACCTCTTACCTGCTTTATCATAAAAACTAAATTGGTTTTTTACTATATTTTAATTAAAGTATGCATTTATAGCTTTTTGTGAAATTATTTTCTTTGTGTCTAGATAGAGCAGCGGTTTCGTTAGACTGATGTTTACTGATCAGACGAGGCTTATGAATTGATATTCGATCAGGCTATGAAGTTTTTTGGTTTGTGGTTATTATAACATGTATTACATAAAATTGTTACCTAATTTTAATTTGTTACTGAGCAATTTGTTGCAAAATGTTATAAAATTATGTACAAATTTGTCTTGTCTTTGTCAACTTCGTGATTGCCTCCTAAATCTTTTGTTGCTTTTGAAATTTACAGATAAATAATGTTATTAAATTGTATTACAATATTTAATTGCAAAAAATATGACAATGTGTGTATGTTTTCTTTAATTTAATTTTGTTTCAGCTCTTCATAAGTCATTAAACCATTTTCATTATTAATGTGAAATTGTGTGAGTAAAATAAATTTTATATAATTATTCTTCATGGAATAAACATTAATAAAATAAAAAATAAACATTATTCTACACGGTACAAAAGTCAAAATGGCTTGAATTCACACAATTTTTTCGTAATTATTCAGTTACATCTCTTTATAATAAGCTTTGTTTTAAGGAATTCAGCCTTTCAATGTTTGCTTGGCTTGTTGCATTAATATTTTTTACTAGAATTAATATATTTTCAGAATATTTTTGAAAATTCAATTTAAATACTTAACACAAATTTTAATAAAATGCACCTTTTTAATGTGAAATTTTTGCTGTCGCTATTTGGATAGTTTAATATCTTTTAGGTATCCAATTCCTCAATACTCCGAATACTAAACGTATTTACCTTTATTCAGAGTCGACCCCGCGCTACGCAACCCTCCATTGGCATTTGAGAGGTCTCGATTCTGAATCTTACTTTAAGGGTGTGACTAAATATAGAGCGGCATTCGAGCGGTATGCCGCGTTATCAGTGCATTCGCATTAGGGATGATCGATATTAGAAAAACATCGATATTGACATCAATATCATAAGAAAAGAACCTTTTAATCTATTTCTTTGTTAATAAAGAGTAGTGAGGAAGTGTGAGTGAGAAAAAGAGAGCGAGACTACGAAGAACGAACGAACGAAGTGATTTGTGAATACGTTCATAGAAAACTTAAAATTTTTCGTAACTTGCATTGGTCGTGCCGAGGCCGTGAGCTAACATTGATGTTCGATTCCCTTAACGTCGATGTTACGATATTTTTCGTAGAGCAACATCGATGTTTTTGCTTTCAACATCGATGTTCATCGAACATTGATGATCATTGAGCATCCCTAATTCGCATTGAGCATTCATTGTGTCCCACGAATGCCGCATGTTGCTGCCGCGCACCTGTTTGGTCACGCCCTAAGAAATTTTTTGACATTTGATATTTACGTCCCTTAATTGTTTCTTTGACTCTGGGATTGACAATTTGCTTTGCCGTTTTTTATGGTGTGTGTTTATATTATAGAGAATCTGACCTCATATCTATGTTATCTTTGACATGCTGAATAATTTACATTATTCTTGAATGCTCTTAATGAATATTACCGTATATATACAGATATATAAATATTAGGAAAAATATATTACAGGAAGCAACGACGAGCGAAGGGTCGTCGGGAAGCGAAGCCGGTCACGAAGTGGAAACGGGTGGGGCGGTTTTGCGATCTCTACGCGCGTTGCACGCTGATGTTAGAGACATATGGCGTGCGTTGGACGCTAGAAGACCTAATACGGGTAATTACTTATATTAAAACTAGCAGACCGGCCAAGCGTTGCTGTGGCTAAGGTTTTTGATATATTACATAGTAGTAAACTATTCAAGGGAAACGGTAGGAGAACTTATGTGAAAGGTAGATAGCTTATGTGAAACGTTGGTACTTCTAACACAGCGCCATCTGTTAGAATTGTATCAAATAATAAACAAATATTTGCAATATTTCGGTTATAGAAATCGGTTCGGTAGTTTAGGAGTCCATAGCGGACAAACAACGTGACACGTTATTTATATATATTAAGAAAAAATAGGTTATTATAGAATATAAGATACAGGTATCACTTATTCCACATCATTAAATTTGAAACGGTAGACATCCCTACTCATCGGCAAAGAAGAAGGTGTAGGCCGAGAGAAAAAGCCGGAGTAAAAAACTCTCGGTACCCTTTTAAAATAGCAAATCATCAAACAACGCTTATTTTAAAACAAATATCTCAAATTAATTAGAAGTAACCTGTCTAGCACTATAGATAGTCTAGTACGGGGAAATTTGATTACCTTTTATGCTTAGTGCGTGCCAATTCTACGTATTCATTAAACAAGTTTCAAATTTTGATTGACTTCAAGGGAAGTTATCATTTCGATCTGTAATGATTTTGACGTTACCAATATGAATAAAATACATTTTGATTATTGGATATTACTTGAAAAGGTTCTATTGAAGGAAATTCAAATAGGAGTACTAAATATCGTAAGTGCAAATTGGTCCACAAGTTACTCGGTGTTAAATGAAATTAAAATTTCCCGCCTTAATAGAATATTTGTCAATGTTATCTTCAGATGGCTCTCTCGCTCTTGGAAGCCCTCTCCCTCACACACTCTGTTCGTTGTTTCCAAGTGTTAAATGTATTATTAAGTATTGCGATACTCGGAATCAAATATGGATTATTTTTAAGTTTCAACAAAATCAGTAGTTTTTGAGACACAGGTATGTTCTTTTGGATGTGACATGTAGAATATAGGCTATTAAATTATCCTTTTCTTACAGTTGACATAGTATTTGAAGTTTCTTTTACTTTTATTTAGACCAACGTTTTCATTTCGGTTCAGGTTTTCCACAATTAATTACTCACAAAAATGTGTATATGAAATTTGATTTGCTTTGAAGTTGCAAAGAAGAACAAATTCTTTACTTAAGGATTATTTTATTAAAAATATAAATCGTAAATGTCTTTAAATATAAAACGAAACAATAACGGTTGGGCTGGCCTCATCCCAGAGATATTGCGATTTAAACACCAGCTGGCTTTCTGCTGCATATTCAAACTCACTCTTATGATGGAGGAAAACATCGCGAGGAAACCGGAACTAGACCTAAAAATGTGTCAGGCACAAAAGGCTGATTAATGTAAAGAAATTTAACATCTTCACTGGTTATTTGAGATTATTTTTCGCACAATTGTAACAAAATTTGGAATTTTATTATTAAAGGCTATGTATTAAAAACATAATTTCAGTGTCACCAGAAACAAGTTCCTGTAATGTGCCGACTACTTCCCATACAAGAATGACTATATCAGCTGTAAGTGTTTAACCATTAGAGCGACAGAATTTACTTTACAAAACATACATATAAAACAGTCGACTCTCAATAATTTAAAAACGAGATTTATTAATTTTAAAATCTGTTCTTTAGTTTAGTTGTTAAAATCTTATTTAATTGTTAATATAGCTCCACCAAATTATCTGTGAAATGGAGAAAATGGGAACTACGGCCGCCATGTTGAAATGTTATTCGATTGTCAGTGTCTACTACATTCGGGTGTTCTGTGTTGTGTGTGTAAAATATGCAAAATGCAGAATTACTTTTTTTAAATTTAACGTCCTAGAGTGGGAAGAGGGCAAGAAGAAGAAGTTTATTTGCAAGTTATTAAATTTCATTTGCCTACTTTGCTAAACATTTAGTTTGTAAGTGGGGTACCTACATTATATCAATTGAATGCCAGAGAAAAATTATTTTACCATTTTTATTAAAAAACAATGTTAGGTATTGTTTATAATAATAAAATTATGTTTATATGTTTACCTAGTTTCTTATCTGACATACCCAATCATGGGTAACTTTTATTAATTTGCAACACTAAAGCGACGGTGGCGCTACCACTCAGTTCACAGATAAGTTGGTGGGTCTGTACATTATTATGTATTACCAAGTATTTGAGTAAGCGACATCAGTCTATCTTTGGCATAAGAGTTTAAAAACATATGTAAACAAACGACAGGTGTGCATGATAAACTAAAAGAATAGGGAAGGCTCGACTTCAAATGATCCCATGTTGGCGGGCAAGATATATTCCTTAAACTTCAAATTACTGAGGGGCCAATTAACATTGATTTTATTCAAATTGTCAAGTACTTTTTAAGGTACCAGTAAAAATCGATAGTATGATTTTTTTAATTCAAATTATCGAGAGTCGACTGGAATAGCACAAAAGGCCATTTTTTGCGATTGAGATTGAGTTGATGGTCGAAGTACTACATATATACGTGAATTAATGGATCGATTTTATTATAAAAAAATCGTTAAATGAGATTTCAAATACCCCTTTAGTATTTACCCCGAAATAACATATTTTAGCTTTGATTCGCCTTAGACTATTCTTTCGTCATCAGTACAGCGGCGTTATACATCATTATACCTTTTTGCATGTCTAAAAATGCGTGGATCTCAAAAACTACTGAATAAATTTGAGTGAAACTGTTCCGTTTAAATGCCCGGCACGCACGAGTGTAGGTGTCCTTGATTGGCTGTAACACTTACCATGAGATGAACCTCGGTTACCGATATTCTCTTGGATATACTTTTCGAGAGTGGACAAACACACACAGTTACGAAATTATTTTATTTTTATATTAAGTGCACGTGCACGGTTAAAAACTGTTGATTATTGGCAATATTTCCAATTAAACTCGTAGATTTCTTTTTAACCAATGTTTTATTTAATCACTTATTGCATTACACTTTAGAGTCTGGCTAATGAAAGAAGATAATTTAGTTATTTGAAAACTTTCGGATGGCAACACAGAATGTATGATTTATTGTCTTGATACTTCATGCAATTACTCATTTTTATTTCTATTACTTACATATTTTTTCCGAATAGTTAACAGGTATAATATCCTAAACTTTGTTTTTTTTTGATAGAATATTTCGTTTCTTTCGTAGGATTTTGATTATTCGGAATAAAGTTGTGTTTTATAATAAATATAGTTTTAGCTAGTCATTTTAAGTGTCAATAGTAAAAGACTAAATACGTATAGTATTTAATTTTTTAGAACTACAGTTACCATCAATGTAAAAAATAATAAAATAAAATCAAGTATCAAGTAAGTTTAATCCACAAAATATATCAAACTTTTGGGGATACCATAACATTTTAATTTGCCGCGCTTTTTCGTTAGCTTCTTTTATTAGCCTATCACGTTATAATAGCATAGACTAGGGAGGTTAGCGCACCTAGTGACAAAAAAAGAAAACTCATTTGTACGTTAAAGACAGTTGGTAACGAAGTGTGTGTCTATAAAATAAATGTATAATCATTCAATAAAAACAATATAGACGACTCATTGGTCTAGTGGTTAGTACCCCTGACTGCGAATCCATGGGTCCCGGGTTCGATCCCCGGCTGAGACGAACATCGATGTGATGAGCATTTGGTGTTGTGCTTAGGTCTTGGGTTTTTAAATATGTATTTATATGTCTATCTATCTATAATATGTATGTATATCCGTTGCCTAGTACCCATAACACAAGCTTCACCAGCTTAGCATGGGACTAGGTCAATTGGTGTGAATTGTCTTTAAAAAATAAATAAATAAATATTTTATTTCAGCCTGAGCCGACTTTACAAGACAACACCGACAGTGTCGCTGAAAAGGCGAAAGGTTTGCGGGCGTGGTTGCAAACCACACCTTAATTAATATAATAGCAATTGTATAAGCATTCCACTAAATATATCGCCTAATATAGCCTATTTATAAATTAATTAACATATTTCAACGATATTTTCGTTCGGATGGCGTTTTGTTGATCTAAGTCGCGATAAGCCCATGAATCAACGTCAAGCTTAATTCGCCTTCCTTCACCAAGAAGAAGTTGCCTTGTTGACCCCAGAAAATAAATAGATGTTCATTTGTTTATTGCGTTTGACGATAGTTTAACATGACAACTTTTTTGTATGGATACAAAGAAGGAGTGAATCCTCGGATGCATAGGCCAATCGAGTGGAAGAGAGATAGATACGGCGCAAGCGTACAATACGCGTAACGGGACAATCATGCTTTTTCGTGAGTGCAGCCAGCGTTCATCGATTTATTAGACGTTGTCCTTGACGTGACCTTTGTCCTTTGTTTTTCAACACAGTCGGATAGTTTGATGTAATAGAAAGAACATCGCCGGGTGTATTAAATTTTTTTTTAATAACATCGATTTTAACAATTCGTATTATAGTGTTTTGACATTTCTGGGGACACCTTTACCACACGATTTCTTGACGTTGATTTATGACACACAGATATCTTGGTTTAAATCAAATTAAAAAAAAATGACATTGACATTTGGGAAAATTTTGAATGACCCACAAGATGGCGTCGATGTACCTTGAGTTTGTAAATTTCTAATTTCATGTAGCGTGTAAGTATTCTATTCCACTTTACGATGTGATATTTTTCATCTACAACCGAGGGCTCTTGTGCCTAACCATTTATGGTTAGGCGCCTGAGGCCGCGTTATAAGTGTCCTTCTAGCACAATTAGTTCTTTATAAAATCTGTTTTGTAATCTTCGACATGTTGCCATCCTTTTCTTTAGCACGAAGTGAAAGGGATAGCATCAGTCACCCTCCGTTGAATTCTAGTCATTAAAATGTATCCTATCTAGTCACATTGGTGCTAATTCTGATGTAAGACCTGGGACTTTTCAGTGTTCAGTCTCGACCGTACTCTTTCGTCTCATTCTGTCTAAATACATTCACGTTGCGATGGAAAGAGACAAAACAATTTTCATTACATACGGTTGATATTTCCGTGTGTTCTCACGAGTTGTACATCAGAATTACGACCATTATCTGCCAAATAAATACAATAAGTAGAGTAAAAGATTGTTCAATTAAAAATATAGTGTATTTAGATGTAATATTTATTCCAACTTGGAAACTGTTTTTGTTTAATAATTCGGAAAAAATCTAAACGGGACAAATTATTAACTGATTTAGGTTTTTAGTACGTTTTTAGACTGAGAATCTTGTCAAGAGTTGCTTAGACTGTTTTAAATTATATTTGGTACTGATTTTTGTGGAATTCTATACGCTTGTAAAGCTTTCTCGGGATACCTATACATATTTGGGACAATTTAATAGATCCCATTTGGCGCCTCATCAAAATTCAATAATTTTGAATTTAGAACTTCACAATTTAGATTTCAATTTTGATTACATATTTATTGTGATTGACAAAAATCACTTTCACTAATAAACAATTTCCTTCTAAAGAGAATATAGTACTGGGCTAATAGGCAGGAGGCTCAACTGATATTAAGAGATAACGTCCCCCATGAACACTCATTAACTGAGTGCTTGCGAGAACGTCGCCAGTCTTTTATGAATTGATACACGCTTTTCTTGAAGTACCCTAAGTCGAATTGGTACTGGTATTTGGTAGCTGGTTCCACAAAGTAGTGGTGCATGGCAAAAACTTTCTAAAAAACGCTCAGTTGTGAAATGACGAACGTCGAGGTGATACGGGTGGAAATTCATATTCTGCCACTACGTCTGATGAAACTCAGCTGCAGGTATTAATCCGAACAACTCCTCTGAACACTCCATGCGGTAGAAGATGCAGAGCGTCATCATGGCATATCTATTAAATTGGCCCTATTTTAAGTGTCTTAAAACAGAAACAAATATTGGCTATAACATACATTTATTTTATGAGCTGCTGAAAGTTTGATAACACTTTAGACTAAACATTACTCGTAATATACATAGTCGAGACGTGGGGACTATAGGTCTGTACAGATACCGGCAAACATCTTGGACAACTGTCCTTGCCTGCGCAGAAGCGATTTTTAGGTATCACTGGTAGGGGGGTGGCGGGCGGTGTCGTGTCGTGTTAGCTACATCCCAACATAGGCATCATTTTCCTATGCTAGAGACAGTTCGATTTTCTGGAATAAAAACCTAAGTATTAAATAAAACTAAATTTATCAAGTCATAAAAAGCCTTCCTCAGAGTTCAAGGAATAAATTTAAAAAATATTGTTATTCATCCAGCCGTCTTCGAGTTTTCAGCTTAGCTACATATTTTGCTATTTGTTTTTATTTACATAGTAAAAAATCGCAGCTGTTAGAAATTGTAATTTACGCACAGAATAGAGTAGTTGCACTAGGAATGACGGTGCGGGATTGGGAACGGATATTGATGACGGCTCTGTGATATTGTAGTTTTATTCGTCATTCGTCAATCTTCATTCATTTTTGTAGTTTCAATTTAATGTCAGTCTCCATAGCAACATATTGTAGATATTAATTATAAACTATTTATTGAGTAAATACGCGCTAATTGAGAGTCGCATCTTGCCCTAAGATAGTAAGGATTATAGGTGCGACCTATTCATCTATTTGTATTGACCATAGACAAACTTGCCAACCATAAACATAGCCAATCATACACCAAACATTTTGCTGGTAAAGTTCTTATTAAACCTTATCTGCTGAATTATATTTATTGAAACTTAGATCAGATTTAATTTTCGTTACTAATAATCTTTATATATTACATTTCTATTATTTTCTAATTAAACTATTTTTTTAATTTCACAACTCCAATTAGCGTTTATAGAAATATTAAATGACTTGAGGTTATAAAACTCGTATATCATTAAACACTTTTTAACTTATGTTTATAAGTGAAATAATTTTTCTGTAGAATAGTAGGCTGTCTACAGGTACAGCTATGACATATAATGGTTAAAATAAGCAACGATCATGTTCTTTAAAACAAAGAATATCATTGTTATTTGTGTTCATATTTTCCAATATAAGATTACAATTAATCTACACTTAAATATAATCCTTATTAAACTTTTAATAGTATCAACAAGACAAATTCTTTGTTTATTTTAAACAAACTAATATAATATATATATAAATTATAAATATTTCAAAAAGAATATTGACTATTATTAATTTAGAGCTTTAGCCGTATTGTTCTTTTGGATAAATCTAGTCAATAAAGGAGGTAGATGTCTAGAACTGTGTCTACTCGGCAAACGTTGACGCACTAAATTAATTTAAGTAAATTCCTTATCCAATAGATGGCGCTTAAATACATTTATAAAGTAATATTTATATAATTCTAAGAGCTTTTGGAATGTTCTTATTTGGATATGAATTTTGGCCTATGTGTGTTACTAACATAACCCTTTATCACAACAATAAAATCAACCATTTCAACTGTGTTTCGTGTCTGACAAATTGTGACGAAAATATAATAAATGATTTAGTTTGAATAAATGAATATTGGCATTTAAAATCATGTTTTACTAAAGTTATGGCCATTAATAAAATAATAGGTCAGTAAATAAATAAACTTTTAATTGCGTTCAAAGTTTAGATTGCGAACTAGCGACTAGGAAAATTACTAGGTAAATTTTAAAACTTATTTAAAACGAAACAAAAAAATATGATTTACATAACGTTTAGCTTACAGTGCTATGAGTGCTTTACAGATGTTTTATTTAAATACTATAATACTAGTACTCAATATTTTAGTATAAGGAATATTTATAATTATACTTAACGAAATTTTCCCTTGTGTATATCAATTGTTGTCGGGTAGACACAGTTAAATCAGTCGCTATATTTACTAAACTTTATTGTTCGATATATTATAACGGTCTGGTATATATCAACCGAATAAAACTCAGTAATGTTTCGTCCAAAAAAACCTTTATTTACAGTTTCACGTAGAGTTTAAGTTGCGTTGACGCACATTGTAAAGTTACTTTAAGTTGTTGGATTGTTCAATTATTACTCAAATAATAACATACTATTCCCCTTTTTCATAAAAATCTAAATAAATATCATACTCACCTGTCTCTTTTCATCAAATCGTAAACACAATGTGACAGAAAGAGGCGAATGGGTATTTCAGATAAAAGAGTGCCATTTAGTTTTTATGAATAAAAGGGTGTCTTGTGTGGATATTTTAATACCATTCCACAATTCTAAACGAAAACTATGTATAATAAATTTTTCTATTAATTTTTTTAATAAAATTTCTTTGGCTACTACAGTACTGGTAATTGTATAATTATTTATTCTCTGGCGCTTAAAAATACTGTTTATTGAAACAGTGATACGACTTATAGAAATGAAATTACATTATTAGAAATAAATCAATTTTCACTGTTTTATTGTCTCCAATCAAAATTTTTCACCATGTTTTACTGAAGTGCTCCTCTGTCTCTTTTCACCAAACTATAAACAATTTAACGGAAAGAGACGGAAGAGTTCTTTAGTTAAGTGTGGTGACTAAACTGATTATTTTTTTATGAATATCAACGTCAGATATGATAAGATTTAGGTTTCACAAACGTCACCTGTCAACTGTCAAAAACGTGGATTTGACATCGAGTCATTTTGCGTTAAGTCTTTATTTGCCACCTCAAATTTAGGGGCCTCATAGCCTAGTGGTCTTATTAAGTGGCAGCTAGGTGAGGGGTACCGGGTTCGAGGGCAAGTTTTAATTTAATTTAAATTTGTTCTCGGCCTTTGGGAGGGTTGTGCGGTACCGGGCGAGTGCTTAAACCGTACATGGAGGACACGGTCGAATTTCTAAGGCAAGCACGAATTATAAAAATCTGATACTTGACGCTGGCTAAATGCACAAACCGTGCCAGAGCCATAAAAAAAATCAAAT